CGAATCTACACCGCCAGGCCACCATGCACTTTTATCGAAAGGAGAAGGTAAATACAGGTCTAAATAACATAATATAAACCCAATTTAGAGCTCTAGGAAAACGCTAGGGCAAGATTTTTACCATCTTGGGCACCTCTACATCAAAAACGGTTTAACGCGTTGAATCCTCAAATGCAACGAAGCATTCAACGGAAAACCATTTACTAACCTGTATTCAGGTATGGGACGTCGACTACAATAGGTTTGCGTGGCATCCGCTGGCGATATCAAACGTTTTTTAAGGGGGGTCAAAACTTTTTCCTCGATTTTTTAAGGTGATTTTTGAAAATTGCCCCTAGATTTTGATAATCAACTATAAGGTAAGTCCAGCTATATTATTTTTTGTTACTAGCCTGTGAGTATACTACATACCAAGTTTGGTCCGAATTAGTACACCTTGGACCGAGTTAGGAGGGGGGTCAAAACATTGTACGGGGAGTATATCTTCCACCGTTTTTAAGATACGACAAATTTTCGAGATTTTTTGTGATTTTTTATATTCACCATGAAAATGATGGAATTTTCTGGATCTTTATAACGTATTTGGTATCAAACAAAACTACAAGCTTTGAGGATTCAGACAAAAAAAGAATCTTAAAATTTGGCCCAAAAGTGAAAAGGATATAGCCAATTCAAGTTGGGCTACAAAACTGCCGTTCCCTGCAGTGAAAGTTGAATTTTTCGAAACCTAAAGCAGTTGATATTTAGGACAGTTGGAGGAGTTAGTGTAGGGAGAACAGAGTGTCCGTTTTATACACATTGTACTACAATGAAGCCACAAAGCCAACCTTCACCGACGGTGGAAAATTTTTAGGTAGAAAATTGCCGAAAATGCGACATTTTTTTGAGTTTCAGCATGAAATTTTTTCATTTTATTTCTACCATAGAGAACAATCTTTCCCCCAAAAAATAAGCCTTTTCCCCCAAAAAACCGCAAAACTTATGGCAAAAAGTCTTTTTTTCTCTGCCCACTCTCCGCATTCCGCATAGTCTCTCCACCGCAACGATCGTTGAACATCCCTCCGAATTTAAGGGAGAGCCAAAGCCTTCAGCAGTTGATATGTGTCCTATGCTGGACACGTGCGCCGAATTTAACGGAATTCTGAGCGCTGTACTTTGTTAGTAAACACCAAGTTTAATTTGCACCACGGTTTGGCAAAGTGCAAGATCTCAAAAGAGAAAGAAAGAAGACTCTTACTGGCTCCTTCTCTGAACATGAATACCATTCTGTCGAGAAGATGGTGAGCGCTCTGTCGCATTGAAAATCGCATCGCCGCAGAGGAAATGAGTTGTGTCGGGGGGGAAAATGAAATTGCTTTTCAATCCAGCGGCACGACCGGCACAGCGACATTGTGCTCATTATTTTCCCGACAGACTGATAAGTTATTTTTTGAACGGGTGACGTCAAACTGAGGAGTCCGGTGACCGGAATAGACCCTTCTCTATCGGTTTTTTACACTTCGTCTTGATTTCACAGAGAAGTCAGAGAAAAAAAGAGGCACAACGTACTCTCTCGCCCCAAAAATTCCCCACTTCTTCTTCGACAGAAAGATTTTGTGCATCTTTTTTCGGCGGACTGCCAATGCGTTCACCGGATCGTGTTAGCTTATCTCAGTTTGACGTGCGGTCCCACACTTGCGTGCAACCAATCTGCGGGCAGCTAGAAGAATCACGGAGATTCTGCGGACATGTTTGGAAATCAGCGAACATTCGTTTGAAATAGAAAATTCAAGCGATGGATTTGGCAGTTAGATGTTGCGAATTGATTTTCCAAGTGTATCAGTGGCTTGAGTAATCATCATAGAGTAAACCAGACATTTTTAAAGGTTCAGAAACCATTTTTTGAAGACAAACTCCCATAACTTTGAAATCGGTAGATGAATTCAATAAATTGGTGTGCTGATCAGTACCAGGGAGTTGTCGATGGAAAATTTCTATCAGGCTATGTAGATTACGGTTGAAAAGTCGTAATTCTAATCAGTAAATGTCGGCTGCGGTTTCCCGCATGTGTCGCGACGCCTTTTTCTTTATTATTTTTTTGATCAACTGATAATTTCGGCATGCTTTTCTCTCATTTTTCTCTCAAAAAATCTGGGATTCTTCCTGATTTTTTGCATTCCTGTGCACAAATCCCTTCCCCAACCGCATTGTGCGAAGCCGGCGGCAGGGTGAAAATTAACTTTTCGCCGGCTTTCAGCGGGTTTTTGACACCCGCCGGACAAACTAATTCCATTAAGGTTCGCCTCTCCCCCTTTTTTTGCGCTCGTTTTTTGTCTGCCTGCAGAGCGGGGCCGTTCGATTGCGCCTTTATGCCCTGCGGCTCTCGACTTTTGCCCATCAAAGGAGGAAGGGGGAATGGGCGGAGAATACAGGCGGGCCGGGGCGCGCCGCGAAACTTTCGGCCATAGCCGCACGGCCCACGGCCGTGGCCGAGCCGCTTTGTAGCCGGGTGTGAACTTGATGGAATTTGGTTGCGAGCGGATTTGCGGATTTGAGATCTCAGTTTTAACGGCTATGGGGAGAAAATGACTGTCGAAAAAGCGTTGAGAATTGAATGACAAGGGACGTTGCACTTTCTGCAAGTGCAACGCTCTGATTTTTTGATGAAATGTGGCACAAATTTAGGATATTTTTGCCTAACAATAAGACGTATGAGGGACTGTTAGCTCGCGCTTTGTAGAAGCTAGAAATGGTCCTGAGGCCGGGCTGCGCCAGGCCGAGCAAGTTTGAAAGGACCTAGGGCCGGGCCTCATCGATTTTCGGCCCGGCTCCAGAGCCATGTCTAGTAGAAATGACCAAGATTTGTAGACTAAAACTTGGCAAAAATATGACACTATTTTTGCAAATTTTACCATGAAAATTTCGATGTCTATTTCTACCCTAGAGGGTGATGTTTTCACAAAAAAATTTTCGACGTAGCATCGAACATTTTTAGATTGTTTTTTTTGTATGACATATAGGATAAAAAAGTGTGTGAGGCGATCCAAGTTTATAGCTTGGATTTAGCGACCTTTACGGCGCCTATTCCGACTAGACTTTCTTATTTCAGACACATAAAAAGAATGCTGAAGGGCAGAAAGACTTTCAGTACCAAGAAAGTGCAGACTTTTATTTGACCATTTTTTGTATTTGCGGGAAGAATAGGGTCAAGTTTTCACTCCTGATTGCGAGCAAATCTGAAATGATCTTCAAAAGATCTGACCGTAGAAAGATGGTTGAATACAGTGGGAGTCCTGATCCAGTGGCAAAAAACGTACCATTTTGCATCTGGGACGTATCAAAAATGTGGAAAAATGCTTCCCTCTCCAAGTGAAAAAACTTTGTTTTGAAGGGCGCGCCCTTTCCCTCATAAAAATAGCCGGCGCGCTTTTGAAATCTGAGTTTTTTTCACTTATAGAAGTAGGTATTTTGCCACATTTTTTGATGCTTCCTGGATGCAAAATGGTACGTTTTTGGCCACTGGATGTCCCCCACTGTATCCCGGCTATCCGTGTAAAGCGGAAGCTGAAATTTTCAGGAAGTGAGATGTGGCTTTTGCACATTGTGTTTGGAAAATTTGAAAAGGATTACTTTTCTTGGCAAATTGACCTCGAAATTTGACGTTATATATAGTTTTTGTTGTACGGGGGTTCGTTTTTCTTAGGTTGCATGTTTAGAATTTTGTTTATTTTTTTTCTTGGCCTATCACCCTCTTTTTTCACTATATAATTCTTACAATAGCCCGTTCGCAAAGTCGCTGCAGTAATTTCGGCGACATACACTGTGCAAAAAAGTCAAGGTGCGAGCTCAAAAACCTATCGCACAGTGCTGTTGGCGCTAAGCCCCAAATTTGCATAAGATCGCCAATTCACTATAAAAGACACGGATCTCATCATTTTGTAATCACTTTTCCTTCTGTGTGTGTCCAATAAAGACCCCTTCTCTTTGTCTTCTCGTCTTCCACGACCGGTCGATCCTCAGCTTCATTTCTTCTCCTGGCCTGCCAGTTTTAGTGCAGAAAGCAAGAAATTGCACAGCGCAGCCGAAACTTTTGTTTTCTTACAGTTTATGTTGCCGATTTCAGTCCGGCGACTTTCCGGGAGGCCTAGTTTCAGTCTGTCGGGAAAATAATGAGCACAGTGTCGCTATGAAGTGAAAAGCAACTTGATTTTTCCGCGACTCAATTCATTTTCTCGGCGACGGTGCAATTTTCGATGCGACATCCTCATTATTTTCCCGACAAACTGATAGTTCATCTCCTATCTTTCCTCTCTCCACTTGCATGTCCATTCCATTAAAAACCCATGCCATCTCCCTCGTTAAACCGAAAAAACGACGAATCAAATGTTTGTCCTTTTTTCCCATTCCAAACATTGTTTATAAAGATTCCCTTCCCGTCGATGGGCTTGGGGTTGTAAGGTCGGGCAGAAAGGGAATAACGCTTTAATTGGTTTTCCTACAAAAACGATAAAATTCGGGGCTGAGGGCAAGCAAAGTTTGTGATATATGTAAACAGGCGTTTGGACCGGTGATTTTTTCGATTTTTTTAATTTCTGGTCGGGATTTTTGGGATTTTTTTCATTTTTTGAGGTTTCTGGGGAAAAAATGCGCTTGATTTTTTTTGGAAAAGTAATGTAAAAATTTTTTTTTGTAATGCGCAGGTGATGACTTTATATATATGTACTTTTTTTTAAAAATTAGTTTTGATTTTTTCCGAATTTTTACGAAAAAAAAAATTTCGATTTTGGATTTTTTTTATCTTTTTTAATTCTGCGGAAAAATTCTATCACGTATTTTACTTTACCCTCAGAATTTTGTTTCTGCTTCTGTTTTAATGACAAAAATATTTCGGCGATTTTTTTATTTTTTTTTTTAATTCTTAATTTTTTTCAATTCCGCGCGTTAAATTTAATAAACTTTAAAAACATATACTTTCGCCCATCGTATTTTACCCTCAATTCTTTCCAGATTGCCCATTCAAAATGAAGACGTCGGGCGCCGGTCCAGGACTGGCCGGCGCCATTCTCATTTCGCTCGTCGTCATCGGCGCCGCCGAGATTTGTCCGGCCGAAAAACCCGACCCGAACGCGAGCAAGTCGACCAAAGAGGTGGCGTCCATAAAAGCCGTCCTGCTCAAGCCCAAAAGCTGCCCCGATTTTAAGGATTCCGGCGAACAGAAGCATTGCTGTCCGTCGCGCATTACGTACGGGACGTTTTACTGTTGCACGGAGGTTCAGTTGCGCGAAATTGAGGAGGAAATCAGTGCGGAGAAGAGGAGGGAATTCATCAAGCAGTAAGTATTTTTTTGATTTTTTGGGGCTAAAAAAGTTTTTGAAAATTTCTTTTTTTTAATTTTAAAAAATCAAAAAAAATTTTTTTTTTTAATCACCAAAACTTTTCAAAATTTTGTAGGGCCTTTTACTACAGTGAGGGACCGGATCCAATGGCAAAAAACGTCTCATTTTGCATGCCGGAAGGGACCAAAATCTCTCCAAACCCTTCCCTTTTCTAAGCTAAACAACCCCGATTTGAAGAGCCCGCCTTGAAGGAAAGGGCGGGCTTTTCAAAGCGGTTTTTTAGCTTATTGTTAGAGAAGTGAAGCGTTTGGAGTCATTTTGGTCCTTTCCGGGATGCAAAAGCAGCCGTTTTTTGCCATTGGATCAAGTCCCTCACTGTAGTCCTTCTGGAAAGTGGCCGGACGGATATCGGCGACACTGGCTCGCACATCAATTGCAGAAAAAAATTTAGCTTTTGCATTAAAAGCGAAGCTATCAATTACACCTTCAACAGTCTTTGCTAGATTAGAGATCCCAGAAAATGAGGAGAGACTGACTGAGAAAAAACTTTCTTCATATCTGCGTAGAATTGCTTGAAAGAAAAGTGACTTTTTCAGTCTGTCGGGAAAATAATGACCAGTTGTCGCATAGAAAACCGCATCGCCGCTGAGAAAATGAGTTGTGTCGCAAAAAAATTAAGTTGCTTTTAACTTCAGCGATGCGTTGGTGCAGCGACATTGTGCTCATTATTTTCCCGACAGACTGATATTTTTAGGATAAATGTCACAATTGCGGCAATAACTTACAAATCCACTGATAGCGAACATCATTCTTTCGTTGAAGTGAAAGCAATTTGAGTTTTTCACGACACAGTTCATTTCTCGGCAGCGATGCGATTTTTAATGCGACAGAGTGCTCATTATTTTCCCGACAGGCTGATAAGAATATCCAAAAAATATAGTTTAAATTTTTCGATATTTTGTCCCTTTTGTTCACGACCTTTTTCTTCCCTCCTTGTCTGCTTGTTTTCCATTTTCTCAAAATTCTAATCAAGCTAAAAGTTTTCTTTTTGAGCCGTTCCTAATGGCTTTCTGAAGACTAAATTGCGACCTCACTGAAAGGCCATTTCCTCAAGTCGTTTTCGTCGAAAAACTCATCTAATGAACTTCAAAGGGACCTATGGTCAATTACAAACATTGCTTGTTCCAAAAGACTGCCAAAAGTTTTGAGAATCAAGCATAACGTAGGGCTGAAGGCATCTTTTGCCTTGAAACTCACACAGATACACAATTAAAGCTACTTTCCTCTCGTTGTCTCTCCACATTTTCCTTAGTCTCTCGGCCGCAAAAGATCACTGAAAATCTTGGCTTTGCCTGCACAGACAACCTGAGCCTTAGAGGAGTTGGATAAGGCGCCTAGGGTCTGACCTTTAATGGCAATTTTTGAAAAATTCTCATCGGTTCGCGGTGATCGTTTGTCTGCTAAAAACTTTTTTGAAAACTCCAGTAAAATTTTGTACAACCCATCGCAACGAACCAAAGAAAATTCTTTGCCGTATAAGGGTGTTTTTTTATAACATTTAGTTTCGATACAGTGGGGCCTCTTCAGACGTCCAAGGTAAATTATTATAGCCAGTGAAGGTTGATATATGTGAATAGACAGGTTTTGATGGCGTCCCGGGAATTTTCCGCAGCACGCAGAGTGAGTAAACCAAAGATTTCTTTGCACCGTAGAAGTTCTTGCTTTTTACACGATGCAATAGGCTGTTTTGGGCTGCCCTGACTTTGTCTGCACAGTGCAAACACCAAAAATCAGTCCAACGGCTTCACGAACGGACTAGCATCGGTCTGTCCGGAAAATAATGAACACAATGTCCCCTGCGACGGGTGGTACAAAGGTTGCGCTCGATTTTTCAAAAAACACTCAATACTTTAGCGGGGAAATGCTCAAGGTAGGCTCTCAAAATGTTCTTCAAAATTAAGGATATCTCAGATTGTCGGGAAAATAATGAGCACAAAGTCGCCGAGGTGATCGTGTTGCTGAAGTGAAAAGCAATTTGATTTTGCCGCAACACAATTCGTTTTCTCCGCAGCGAAAGCCGAGTGCTCTTATTTTCCCGACAGCCCGATTTCATCATTTCATCAACTTGGTTGCCTTCTACCGTACTTGTTTTCCCCTAAAACTCAAATACAATCTGCGCAATCCGTTCGCTTTCACTCCTCTTCGTCCCATGACTTTTCCGCCTTGGCCCATCCGTCCCACACTTCCTTTTTTGGTCTCCATTTCCAGGGCCCCCAACTCATGTCGCGGCCTGTTTGATGACAAAGCTTTCCATCTTATCAAAAAAAAACACCCACAAAAACATTCGCAGTAAAATTGAATCGCCGCTCCCCGGGGACCCGCTAATCAAATCGCGGGCCAGATTTCGCTTCGGGAAATTCATTTGGCCAAAAAAAGGGCTGCGAAAATGAATCCCCAAGCCCGTCCGCTTCCTTCCGTTGCGTGTGCCCGAGGCCTTTCGCATGACAAAAAGTTGAGGGGAATCGCTGGAAAATGGGGAAAATACAAGTCAACGGGCGTGTGGAGAAAGTAAAATTAGATAAAAAAGATGACAAAAACAGAGGCAAATCTCTCTACAACGAATTACCTAACAAAGGGAAGGGCCTCAAGTGCAACGCTCAGATTTTCTTTAAATTTTGCACATACGTCGGGCATAGACTTAATATCAATTCCTGAAAGTTCTAGCTCGCCCTTTGCAGGCGCCGCCGAAATATCGAACAATTTTTGCCGCCGAGAGAGCACACTAAACGTGGAGAGCGTTTAGAGAGAAAAGGAACTTTTTGGCCATAACTTTGCTAGTTTCGCGCGGAAAAAATGATTTTTTGTGGAAACATTACCTTTTACAGTAGAAATAGGTATGAAACTTTTCGTGCCGAAATTCGGCAAAAATTGTCAAATTTTCGCCGACTTGCGACCTAAAAATCTCGGTTGTTTCTGCAAAGCGCGAGCTAGGACTCTCGCATATCTCATAGAAAAAATTATTCTAAATTTGTTCCAATTTTCATTAAAATCTGCGCGTCACACTTGGGGTACTTCCCCTGTAAATTGAGATATAAAATCTCCCAAAAATGATGACTGTAAATTATGAATCCATAAAAATCCCGGAACATATTATACAATAACTCTCGTTTTTTCAGAAACCTCGCACTAATCGTTGTGTTCACAATCATTTTGGCGATTGTCACGTTGATTGTGACCTCGATGCTCTGCCGCAAATACCAATGGTGCCCGCTACACGACACCAAAGACCTTTGTGAGCTGATTCATTTTGTTGAAATGATACTGAGATAGTTGATTTCGTATTTTACATTTCTTTCAAATTTTCCGGCTTCTTCGTCAACAATTTTTGATTTCAGACTCCCAAAGCGGAAGTTTCCCCGCCTCCGGCTCGCATTCCGCGTTGGGCTCGAGGTACTATCGACCGGTGGAGCAGGCGCCGCCAGTCCTCCATCGGAACTCGCAGACGTTCGCGCCGTCGTTGAGTATGACACTGAATCAGAGTAAACCTCATATGACACAATGGGTTGATGGTGAGTTGAATTTTTCGGAGCGATAGAGCTACTTTTCAAGCTTTTACGGCTTCGGCAACGAAATTACAAAACCGTTCAGTTAGTCTGTCGGGAAAATAAGTTGTGGTGCAAAAAAGTATACAACAGTGGGGGGAGCTGATCCAGTGGCAAAAAACGTACCATTTTTCATCCGGGAAGTATCAAAAATGTGGCAAAATGCTTCCATCTCCAAGGGAAAAAACTTCGTTTTGAAGGGCCGCTATGAATTTTTGCAGTCCGCATGGAGTTAGCCAAGGTGATAAATTTATAAGACTACAGTGGGGGACCTGATCCAGTGGCAAAAACGTACCATTTTTCATCCGGGAAGTATCAAAAATGTGGCATAACGCTTCCAAGTGAAAAAAACTTCCCTTTCCCTCACAAAAAGAGCGGGCGCGCTTTTGAAATCGGATTTTTTTCACCTGGAGAGGGAGGTATTTTGCCACATTTTTTGATACTTCCCGGATGCACAATAATACGTTGTTTGCCACTGGATCAGGTCCTCGATTGTATGTATGTGTACGTATAAAACTGTAATCTCTGAACGTAGTTTTTCGAGTCCTCTAAGTTCCGTTATTTAAATACCATAAATTTTCCGAGCAGTCTAGCCATCTCCACCCCACACTTATCAAAACTCACCCCCAGTTTTCAGCGCCCCCGCCCTACGACTCGATTCGCCATCAAATCTCCACGGGCCTCATCTCCCAGTCCGCGCAACGCCAGCACGACTTCAACTGCATAATGGAGAACCAGTTGAATCAACTGCGCGATTCCAACGCCGCCTTGGACAGTCAACAACATTCATGATCGGAGAGGAATGCGTTTCTTTTTGAGGAGTTTGTTCACTGCCGCATCATTGGGTCCACAAATTTGTTTGGTTGGGGTTGTTGTATTTCTCGGGTATCCGCGGGATTCCAACGATTTTTTTGCGACTTTATATCTTGATTTATATGTGCTTTGAGCAGTGCGGAAATAGTGGAAAGATGAGGGTAAATTTCGCTATCAAAAAAGATCATTTGTTATCAAAAAACCTCATTTGTGCTCCATGAGCACTTTTGAGGCTTTTTTGCCAAATCGATGATTTTTGAGATTTTTCAACTTTTGCAGTAAAAATATCTGCAAAAAACGTAATTTGTGATCAAAAACCCTCATTTGTGCTCCATGAGACACTTTGAGGCTTTTTGCTCAAATTTGTAAGTTTTGGATGTTTACGACCATCACATGAAGAAATGCCTCCAAAAGACGTAATTTGTGATCCAAAACCCTGATTTATACTCCATGAGACATTTTGAGGTTTTTATCAAAATTGATGATTTGTGAGATTTTTCAACGTTTGCAGTAAAAACATCTGCAAAAAACGTCATTTGTGATCAAAAACCCTCATTTGTGCTCCATGAGACATTTTGAGGTTTTTTTCGTCAAATTGATGATTTTTGAAAGATTTCGACCTTCACATGAAGAAACGCCTCCTAAAAACGTCATTTGTGATCAAAAAACCTCATTTGTGCTCTATGAGCACTTTTGAGGTTTTTTGCCAAATTGATGATGTTTGAGATTTTTCAACGTTTGCAGTAAAAATATCTGCAAAAAACATCATTTCTGATCAAAAACCCTCATTTGTGCTCCATGAGACACTTTGAGGTTTTTTATAGAAATTGGTGATTTTTGAAAGATTTTAATTTTTGCAGTAAAAATATCTGCAAAAAACATCATTTCTGATCAAAAAACCTCATTTGTGCTCCATGAGACACTTTGAGGTTTTTTGCCAAAATCACATAACTTTTTCAATTTTTGACATCTTCGGCAAGAACACCGTCAAAAAATCTCATTTACGATCCATGAGCACTTTTGAAGCCTTTTTATAATCTCATTGTTTCCCAGCTCCGCACTGCGCGATATATTACTTTCTTGAAAACTCTAATAATATGTCTTTGATGAAAAAAATATTCTTGATATCCAAAAAACCGCTAACATCGATAGACTGAATCCGTTTTCGGCTTCAATTTCTCAACTTTTCACACTGTATTTTCTCTAATTTCTCATGGTATTTGGTTGATTTCGGATGAAATACGGGCGTTTTAATCGATTTATCCATTATTTTATCTTCGAACATTGTTTAAACGATTGTTTTTTTGTACATAAACAGCTTCGAAAAAAGGTTGGAGATGTGTTCTAAAGATAGGGGTTGAAAATTTTAAAATATGATCGATGAATTGCTTATATTCGCACTTTTGATGTCGAAAACTTGGCGAGCATCAATCAAGAGGAATGTTTGATGTGGGGTAAACAGTTGGATAAACGTCGGCTCCTATTTAGAACATTGCTTTTTTGGAGGGTAGGCGATAAATTTGTTTGGGATTTTTCAGAAACCGCCTGTATTTTCCTAGTATTTTCCAAAATTTTTTTGCACCTTGCATTTGGTCTATTGCACCGTGTGTTTCAAAAATCACCGTGACATAAGCTTGGCGTCCTGGCTTTTCGGGTCGACGAGAGTTCGGGAGTCATCACATAATGGATCCATAGGAGGTGGGTACATACACCCCAGCAGGGCTGTAGGAACCGCTTACGGGGCCTGCCAAAGCCGTAGGACGGTTGGCGGACGCTCGGCGAAGGCTCGAGACTTTTGAAGATGTAAAAGAGCAAAAAAAAAGGTGATAAGCTATCCTAGGACCCGATCAAATTTGTTATTTCTACTAGCGAAGCCTTCTCCTAGCCTCCCCCGTACATACAACAACGAATTGGCATCATCCATAGTGATGTTGGGCGCGAATACGGAGTGAAAAAAGTCTACGCGCGTTATGGAACGACTAGTGTTAGAAACCTGAGTATATCTGGTTAAAAACCTTTTGATTTACGCGACTTTTGGTTTAAATATCTCTGTTTAGAGTTGACGTTTGCTAAAACAAAAATCACAGTTTTCTGATACTGGCTAGACAACGAAAAAAAAACTGATTCATGGCTTTGAAACATGTCATTAATTAGCGTGAATAAATCGGAAATAACATTAAGAATGTCTCACATTAACTAGCATTCTTATAAACTACACGGACATTTGTCGCGGCCCACACCGTGCACAAAAATCCCGGGTTTTGTACGGACAAATTTCAAGCTGCATCAGCCGTCGCAAAGCGATGACGGGCGACTGCAAGACGTGACGGCCCGCCGCACGGCAATCCAGGGAGTTTCGGCACTTCGCACACCCAGTATCGGTCAAATTCGAACGAAATGTCACAACAGAACTTTTCGTGTGGTTTTTCGATGGAAAAATATTTTTCTCGAATTTTTTTATTGCTTTTGTCAGTTGTGACACTTGGACGAACCCAAAGGTGGGCGGGAGACATTTTTGTTCTATTTCGGTTTGCCGTGCGCCGTTATCTTCCTGATAGACTGGTAATTAGAATACTCCACCTGATAACCTTCCCTTGTCAGTGAAGGACTTGCGGCTATTCTGCATTTTATATTTTTTAGAAGAAGCAGTTTTTGGAAGAAGTTGTTCGGCCTTTTGTTCGGTAAAGTCGTCATTCGATTACAAAATTTCACTGAATTTTGATGCCTCTTGGAACATTTTGGTGGCTTCAAAAAGTAGCTCGTTCTTTGATCGCAATTGTTATTGTAAATGTTTGTCAAAGAAGCGTATGGGTCGTAATAATTGTGCTTTCCCATAAGGGGCAGTCATTTTAAAAAAACAGGCAAACTTTTTCGCCAAACCTTTCTGGGTAAGCTTTCTTTGACTCTACAAATGCATATAGTCAACTCAGAAGACAAGCTTGACATGTCTGCATGTCATTTTTTAGTGATGGTTTTTGAGTAGTTCAGATATCGCATGAGTTCTTGTATTGTACACATGTGCATATGTAGTTTTAGAACGGGTCTCTTGCCTATGTTTTGAGGAGTTATCAGTCTGTCGGGAAAATAATGAGCGCAATTTTGCTGCGCCGATCCCCGATTGGGATGAAAAGCAATTTGATTTTGCCGTGAACCAGTTTATTTTCGGCGATGCGATTTTCAATCCGGCAGAGAGCTCATTACTTTCCCGACAGACTGAAAAAATCCGGTGTTCTCATTATTTTCCCGACAGACTGAAAAAAATCCGGATTGCTCATTATTTTCCCGACAGACTGAAAAAATCCGGAATGCTCGTTATTTTCCCGACATACTGATCAAATCAAACGGTTCCACCACCCGCTCTTCTGAACTCTGCGTTTTTGTGGGTGATCGGATTTGTCATAGCGACAGGATCCCTTTTTTTAATCGCCGTATTATTATAAAACTTCCGTTGTTGACATTCCAGTTTTCCTTTTTTGTATATGTACATTTCGTATAGACTCTCAACTTTTGGAATCAAAATAGCTTGTCCTTATCAAGGAAATTCCTTTTGTCAAAAAAATTATAGGGACCATATTATCATCTTATCAAACAATAATGCTCTTGATAAGTCAGCTTCTGTTTCAAACTCGAGAATAGTTTGAAAACGTTATAGGGACTATGCAGATTAGTAAAAGGCGTATATTGCTGTACTGTGCTTTACTATAGTTGTTTCAGAAAGTGCGTAGACTTTTTTTGTCGCAAGCTTTCCGCACTGTGCAATTGACCGTTTGCACCGTGTAATTGAAAAATCGCCACGGCGCAAGGTTTTTCAACACTGTCGCCGCGAATTTTGCTCGCGTTATTTTTGGAAAAATATTTAAAAAAAACTTTTTGCACGGGAGCCGGGATTCGGGGCCGCAGACCTTTTAAAATTTTTCATGGGAGCCGGGAGCCGGAGCTGCAAATTTGGCCTCGGCTCCGGCTCTGGGAGCTAAGAGCCGGAGCCCAAATTTTGACCGTGGCAATCTCTGCTTACTAGTCACCCGCACAAAGCCGAGATCGACTCAAGTATGGTTTATTTATCGAAAACCCGCACCTTTTATATGTATAATTACATAGGAGCGGGACACAAGAGAAAGGAGTCAAATTTACATAAATAGAAATAAATCATTTTACTGATGTTGGGGATGGGGATTGGTTGTTCGCTCTTCATGGGGCAAATTTATTGCTTTTTTGCACCGTGCAAATCGCTTTTTTCGGCTCTCGCTCTTGCCCTGGCTTTTTTGCACGGTGCAGTTGCTAAAAATCGCTCCAGCGACATGCACTGTGATAAAACAAAAGTCGACTTTGCTCTGTGCAATTTCGGCTTTTTGCACCGTGCAATCCCTTTTTTTGGGCTGTCGCTCTTACCCTGACTTTCTTGCACCGTGCCACGCCTAAAATTAGTACGTCCGCATTCTAGACGGAGCAGTTAAACGTAATTTAATCAAGTGCGTAGACTTTGTGCCTCGAGGCAAAATGCACGGCGCAACCCGCCCATTCACGAGAAAAGGCATAAATAGCCTAGACACTTTATGAAAATACTATTAGTAGAACGTAATTTTATAACTAGGAATTGGTAGAACATACTTTTATAAATTGAATTGTCAAAGGTATTTTATTAGCATTTTCATAAAGTTCATGGACATTTTTTGTCGTGGTCCGCATCTTGCACGAAAATCTCTGATCTTTTGCACTGTGCATTTGGACTATCGCTGCGACGCAAGCTTTTATCAAGAGCGTCGGGGTTTTTAAGACAACATTTTTTTTTGTTTGAAAATGCATTTTTTTCAAAAAACCCAGAAATTGCATAATGTCAAGTCTCTGGTTAACAGGGGAAGTACTCCAAGTGCGACGCTCAGATTTTCTTAAAATTTTGCACACACGTCGGGTAGGGATTAAATATCAATTCCTGAAAGTTTTAGCTCGCGCTTTGCGGGCACCGCCGAGATATCGAACGATTTTTGCCGCCGAGAGAGCACGCTCAACGTGGAGAGCGGTCAGAGAGAAAAGCGCCTTTTGGCCATAACTTTGGCAGCTTCGTGCGGAAAATTTTGATTTTTTGTAGAAACATTATCCTTTACGGTAGAAATAGGCATGAAAATTTTCGTGCCGAAATTCGGCAAAAAGTCCTAAATTTTCGCCGACTTTCGATCAAAAAATCTCGGTTGTTTCTGCAAAGCGCGAGCTAGGATTCTCGCATATATTTTAGAAAAAATTATTCTAAATTTGTGCCAAGTTTCATAAAAATTAAAAAATTGAGGTACTTCCCCTGTAAGTTGTTCATTTTCTTTTTCTAGCTTGTTACATTGTTTGTAATCGCTTTGTTACATAATACAATAGCCATAAAAGTTCAAAGGAATAAAGTTGTCTGGCTCCGTTATTGATTTCTGTCCAAAGAAACTAAATATAAGTTTTTTTGTGGCTGATAAGCTTTTAATTTACAAATCAATTTCTTGAATGCAAGGAATTTTATAATCGCTTTTTGACGATTAACCTTCCATATAAAGAATGCAATGGGCTCATTAAATTCAACTGTTTTTTGCGGAGCAAGTTTGAAGGATGAATCATATTTTTTGTGGATTTTTAGTATTTTGTTATGAAAAATGTCATTGTGGTGCATGATCAAATCTTGATAGGTAGAAGATAGTAGACACAAGATTAGAAGTAAGGTTTATTTAGACCACCGCACACAGGAAAGAGAAAATGAGATTAATCATGATAATTGGTGTGAGAGAGAGAGAGAGAGAGAGAGAGAGAGAGAGAGAGAGAGAGAGAGAGAGAGAGAGAGAGAGAGAGAGAGAGAGAGAGAGAGAGAGAGAGAGAGAGAGAGAGAGAGAGAGAGAGAGAGAGAGAGAGAGAGAGAGAGAGAGAGAGAGAGAGAGAGAGAGAGAGAGAGAGAGAGAGAGAGAGAGAGAGAGAGAGAGAGAGAGAGCATGTCACTACAAACATTTCCCTTTTTGAGCACTGAAAATGTTACCACAATAAAACAGAGAACAGCCCATAAACGGAATTTTCAATTATTTGTTAGAGCGTAAGAGTAAATATTTATTAATATATGGGAAAGAGCACGATAACAATCGAGGTCGAAAATCATGACGTCATATGTATCAATCTGTAGAGAAAAAATGGCCACAATGTCGCAGCGCCGATTGCGTCGCTGGAGTGAGAAGCAATTTGATTTTGCAGCAACACAATTCATTTTCTCGGCGGCGATGCTGTTTTCGACGCGACAGGGTGGTCATTATTTTCCCGACGGACTGACAGTAGTTTTGATTTCCCACGTTTTTTGCCTTGTTGCCTGCGAAGAACTCATTGCGTTGGCACCTGCCAATATGCGATTTTCGTTGCGACAGAGTGGTCATTATTTTCCCGACAGACTGAGACTCACGCAAAAGTTTGTAAGAATTTATGGCGGACCCGAATTCAGTCGCACTCTGACAAGGGAAGTCACTTTTTTCGCAGACGGACTTTGGAATGAGACCTAGTAGGTTTCAAACGTGAAGCGCCTGCGATCATAAAACTGATTTCCAAAAGTGTTTACGGGACTTCTCGGCCGAGAAAATCGACCGCAAAGTTTAGCCGAAATGAGCGAATAGCCTCCTCAAAAGAAAGAGCTTATTTCATCTGCAGTGGTGGCCGAGTGGTCAGCGCGCTCGCTTTTTGCGCCAGAAGACGTGAGTTCGACTTCGGCCGTCTGCGGATGCATTTCTTTTGGTCATTGAAATAAATAGCGAAATGCCGTTAACATCGCATGTGCTAACTATTAGAAATCTTTAATAAAACACAAATTTAGAAACTATATCTTCATTAACCCAGGCCTGTTTTGACTTTACAATATTCATGAACATTCAGCTTTGAATTTATGTTTAAATTACTGTAAAAAAATTAAAAAAGTGTATACATTTTATGTTTACATACTAAATCAATATTCACGAACCAAAAAAGAAAATAAAATGCGCAGAGGATCGAACCCGCCCCTTCTTGCGCAAAAAGCAAGCGCACTGACCACTCGGCCACCACTGCAGATGAAGTAAGCTCTTTCTTTTGAGGGGGCTATTCGCTCATTTCGGCTAAACTTTGCGGTCGATTTTCTCGGCCGAGAAGCCCCGTAAACACTTTTGGAAATCAGTTTTATGATCGCAGACGCTTCACGTTTGAAACCTACTAGGTCCCGTTCCAAAGTCCGTCTGCGAAAAAAGTGACTTCCCTTGTGAGAAAAGAGGGAAAATACTGAGATTAGAGATCATAGAAAACGAGGAGAGTCTGACAGAGGAACAAAGACTTTCTGTCGGGAAAATAATGATGACAATGTCGCAACGCCGATCGTTCAGAAGGAAAAAAAAATTCCTGCGACACAATTCATTAACTCGGCGGCGATTTTCGATGCGACATAGTGCTTGTTATTTTCCCGACAAAAACTGAATACAGTAAAATTTCTGCAGAGCAAGTTTTCACACAACGAAAACTGTCCATAACAAACATTTTCCGAGCCCTGCAGAGTCAATTTAGAGTGCTCATTATTTTCCCGACAGACTGATAGGTTCTTGTCTTACCTAACGATAAGTTCCGTGCTTTCGTAAAGAAATTTGTCGTGGTTTGTGTCATTGTTTTCCCATCTTCCTTTTACTGTGATATCAATCAACTACGTGAAAGTTTTCATTTTTTTGTTTTCAATAAGCCCTCTTAACAGTTTACCATTTCCCACGAAAATCGTTTCACACTTGACCCTTGAGTGCGAGCTCATCGTAATGAGTGCATTGTCAGGCTTTCCGCACTTTGATTCTGATACGTTCCCCTTGTTTGTTATTCAATATTTGCTCAAATTCGAACTGTTTTGTCATGATATTTGCTCTGAAACTTTCGCGGATCACCGTCGGGTTAAAGAGGTAATTGAAAAAAGCCGTATGGCAGCTTTTAGAAGCTCATAATGTAGAGTTAAGAATATCTTTCTTATATTTTAAATCTTGTTTATTTTGATGGTAATAAAAGACTTGTAAGGGACCTCATGTGCGACGCTTAGATTTTCGATAAATTTAGCGCGCACGCCGGATAAGCTATGTAGGCCACAAATTGCTGAAAATTTTACCTTCTTATAGCTTTATAGAGAAGCCGAGTTATTCAATGGTCTTCGTGGCCAAGAGAGAAGAGGCAAAACGCTGATAAAGGCGACAGAGAAAAAACATTTTTGGCCATAACTTTGCCAAATTTAGGCGGAAGAAATTGTTTCTTTTAGTAGCCATTAGTAGCCATTACGTTTTGCAACAAAAACAGCGGACCTGATCCAATGGCAAAAAAAGTACCATTTTGCATCCGGGAAGCATCAAAAATGTGGCAAACTACTTCCCTCTCCAAATGAAAAAACTCGGTTTTGAAGGGCGCGCCCTTTCCCTTACAAAAAGAGCGGGCGGGCTTTTGAAATCGCTGTTTTTCACTCGGAGAGGGAGGCATTTTGCCACATTTTTTGATACTTCATGGATGCAAAATGGTACGTTTTTTTTGCCACTGGAGCAGGTCCGCCGCTGTATGAGACTTTGAATGCCAAAATTTGCAAAAAAGTCTAACACTGGTGCCGTCTTTCGACCTAAAAATCTCGGCCGTTTTCGCAAACGCGAGCTAGGAATCTCGGATATGCCTTCAAAAAATTTGACTGGGCCAATTTATTCTAAATTGGGCTAGCTTAATAAAAAACTTTTATTACTTAAAAAGTTACGTGCAAAAATGAGATAGACGGCCAGACAAAAATACCTCTTTTGTTTTTCCCCTTGCAACCTCCGCATGTCTTTCTGACCGGACAAATACAGTGTCCAACCCGCATCCATGACCAAAATGTTTGTTACCTTTTCTCTCGTTTTAGATCGTCTTGATGATTTTAGAGACAGAGCGGAATTTTCGTAAGGGCTTCTTTTTCTGCCATTGTTGATCTCTGATCCTGCCCAATTTGAAATTTCGATTTTTCTGCGATAAATCAGTTAACTTGCTGGTGAAAACACATGGATCGTTTGCGTTCAAACTCTCAATGCTTCGATTTTTTTTTTTTTGCTCTATGACTTGCATAAAAATATATATGGCTAGGGACATGTCATACAAATCTTTGTGTATCCGAAAATATTTGTTTTGTCACTTTAAAATTAGTTGCTTTTTTTGTGTCTACTCTAGGGAGTACTCTTACTTGTAGCCATATATATATAATCGTGACATATCTCCTAGACACATGATTTATTGGCCCACAGCCATATATAGGCGTAACAGGCGTGCCAAAGAGTTTTGACATGTTTTAGCACTTTGCCGGCGTATTAATTCGGCGTTGCAACCAGTTGTCTTCGGCGAGGTGCGAAAAAAGGAGCCCACCTTTCTTTCGATCGCCTTTTTCAAAACAAGTATTTTTGCCCTGTAGGGCACAATAAATTTTAATTGTCGCCTTGCGACACGTCGTTTGCACGACGCAGACATGTCAAAACTTTTTCGCCCGCCTAGTATAAGCCCTCTAAATATATGGCCCTATATTTCGAGAGCCTTGGCGGCAATGGCCAATACCCTCTCAGTGACTTGTTTACAGTGCAAAAGAGTAGGAGCCATTTTATTGTTTAATTTTTCGTCTCGTTCCCCTTGAAAAATAGGGGCAAAATAAAGCCGGAGACACTGATTTTTTCAAATTCTTTTTAGGATGATGACAGTGGAATCGGACCGAAATTTCTTCCTAATAAAAGACGGCTACCGGTATTTTATCGTCCTATTGGCTTTGCTATGCCTAACCTCCATCTCCGCAAATGTGCAAGCCTTCAACATGGTGATTGTTTGTATGTCGCCAAAAGAAAATACTACAGTAAGTGCGATTTTTTGCGATTTTCTTGGGCTTTTTGTCCAAAAATTTGAGAAAAAAGATGTTTTTAAAAATTTCCTTGCAATATAAGACTTTTTAGGCGACATCCCATCCAATTATCCCCTATTCCATCAACGACCAAACATATTTGAACTGGGCTGTCGGATTTGGGAGTGCGATCGGAACGTTCCCGTTCAGTGTCGCCTATACGAGATGGGGAGCCAAGTATATCATCGGAGTGGTTGGGATGATCTCCGCGCTTCTGTGTATTGTCACGCCATTCGCCGCTGAATGGGGGTTGTGGTCGTTCTTCACCATCAGACTGCTTCATGTAAGTTTTTCACCGGGTTTTGGGAGAGTTTGGCTTTTCCGATAATTTTTGCGACATTCCGTCACATCTCTGAAAAATTGGTAAAAACGCAAATAGGACAAAACGAAACCGTCAAATTGCATGGAAAATCGCCTTTGCAATTAATTTTTTCAATAATTTACAATTTTAAATTTTCCAATAATTTTTGTGACATTTCGTCGAATCCTAAAAAACGTTTTCTAGGTATTTTAGCACACACAGAAGTCATTCAGCACATCAGTAAACGAATTTTAGACAAATTAATTTTTCCAATAATTTTTGTGACATTTCGTCGAATCCTAAAAACGGTCTCTAAATGATTTTATTGCACACACAGAAGTTATTTAGCACATAGTAAACGAATTTGGACGACTTTGTTTTTCCAATAATTTTTGTGACATTTCGTCCAAAAATTGAAATTGCTTTCAGGGACTTGCGTATTCCGCTGATTTTGCCGCTATTGGACTGCTTTGTACAAAATGGGCGCCATTGAGTCAGAATGCCTTCTATGTATCAACACTTACATCATACTCTTCCTTGTCGTCGTTGCTGATGTTCGCTATCAGTGGATTCGTAAGTTTCTAGTTTTCGTCGCCATTGGGAATTTCTCTTATAAATATTAGTCTGCCGGGAAAATAATGATTACAATTTTGCTGCGCCAATCGTTTCGCTGAAGTGAAAAAAAAAATAGATTTTTTTGCGACACAACTCGTTTTCTCAGCGGCGATGCGGTTTTCTATGCGACTAGTGGTCATTATTTTCCCGACAGACTGATATGTAACTAACGAACTTTTTGGTACTCCCGAGACAAAAAAGTCTTGATATTATGCATAATCTTCGGGTCCAAAGCTCTGAAAAAAATTCCGTGTACTTTATGAAAATTCAACTATCTCAGCGCCGCATTTCGAAAATAATGCTCATTATTTTCCCGACAGACTGATAAACCTAAACAAAAATATTTTTCGTTATTTTCCAGATGTGTGAGTCCTATTTTGGCTGGCCCTTGATCTACTATACTTGTGCGGGAGCCGGCGTATGCCTCTTTGTTCTGTGGTTCATCTTCTTCGACGACCATCCCGAAGACTCAAGATTCACCTCCGCCCTCGAAGTCGAGATCATCCAAGAGGGCAAGGGCGACGAGGAGATCCATCAGATCAAGTCGATGCCCTACAGGAAGATCCTGACGAACCCGGTGTGCTGGACGATTTGGTACAACTCGTTCGCCGAGATCGCGACCAGCTTCTTCTTATACTCGTTTGTCGCGAAATTCCATCGAAATGTCCTCGGGTTTTCGCTGCACACAGCCGGCTTGATGTCCGCCCTGCCCTCATGCATCTACATCCCGCTTCGTATTTCGATGGGATACGTCAACGACAAGATTACGGTGATCCCCAACCGCCTGAAGATGATCATTTTCAACTCGATCGCCTTGATCTGCCCGGCATTTGTCTACATTGCCGTAGGCTTTTTCGGCCGAGACTTGCGAGTGCTCGCGGTGACCTGCTTTGTTACGATCTATGTGTTCTACGCGTTCAGTGGTGGCGGGTTCTACAAATGCGCGACGCTCTCGGCAAGACAGTACAGTCATTTTGTCATCGCGAATATTCAATTCATCAAATGTATCACGCTGTTCGCGGGACCGGCTTTGTTTGAAGCCGCTGTTCACGACGAAAGCGACCTGTCGCAATGGCGAACCGCCTTTCTGGTGATTGCGGGTGTGCTGTTTTCGGTGAGTTGGTCAGAATTTCAATATCATTTTGTCGGGAAAATAATGGGAACTTTCGCATTGAAAATAGCATCGCCGTCGGGAAAATGAATTGTGCCGCGGCAAAATCAACTTTCTTTTCAATTGAGTGATGCGATTGGCGCAGCGACATTGTGTGCTCATTATTTTCCCGACAGACTGATAGTATGCTTTTTGAGTATAATTCGAAAAATCGCTACAATAATTTCTTGTAAAATTTGCATTTTTTCAGGCCGGTATCCTCTTCAATTTCATGGCCACAGACAAGCCTCAGGCGTTTACGGGTGCTCAGGACATCAAATATGAGCCAAGGAGGAGTCAAATCCACAAGTTGAGCGACTTGAAATAGGAATATGTTGGTTGTAATATACGTACATGTAAATAAATTTTACAATTTTTTTGGAAAATACATACATTCTAAACAAATTTCTTTGAAAAATCGCTAATCAAAGCAATAAAAAAAGAAAACTTTAAATATGCAAATTTTTTAAAATCTAAAAATTTGCATAAAAATTTTTGAAAAATGCAAAAAATTTCTTAAAAAATGCAAAAAACCCGTTCTTTTAACAAAAAAAATTTTCTATGCAAATTTTTTTATACCAGAAAATTTGCATAAATTTGCATAAAACCACAAATTTACCTTAAAATCTCGAAAAAATCCAAAAAAATTTAAAAATTCAACTTTTCCCAGATCCCACATTTGCATATTCAAGCTTCGGTTTTGAAATAAGGGCATTCATTCCCCTTTCCTTCATTTTTCTCCCACTTTTTCACCCATTCAAGTTGTCGACCGGTCGACGGGATGTCGACAACTCACAGCGATGAGTCCTCCGAATCAACGACGCAGGCGAATGGCAGCTTCTGCATACCGAACCAGTTCCGCAACTTCCTCATGTTCGTCGCTGTGCTGTGCCTGACGTCGGTGAATGCGAATGTCAGCGCCTTCAATCAAGTCATCCTTTGCATGAAGAATGAGACGGTGAGTTTGCGGGGCTTAGGGGGAAAAAAATTTCGGCTAATTTTTGTGACATTTCGTCACATCTCCGAAAAATTGGTAAAAACGCAAATAGGGCAAAACAAAACCGTCAAATTGCATGGAAAGTCGTCTTTACAGTTTTTTTTTTTGATAATTTACAATTTTTAATTTTCCAATATTTTTGTGACATTTCGTCGAATCCTAAAAAACGTTCTATAGATGGTTTTAGCACACACAGAAGACATTCCGCACATCAGTAAACGAATTTTAGATGACTTTATTTTTCCGATAATTTTTGTGACATTCCGTCACATCTCTGAAAACTTGGTAAAAACGCAAATAGGGCAAAACAAAACCTTAAAATTGCATGGAAAGTCGTCGTTACAATGAGCGACATTCCATCTTCATATTTTACAAAAATTTCGGTCGGTAATTTCAAAAAATTTTTTCAGCTCTTTTTTTTCAGCTCTCCAGCCCTCCTCATTATTTCTTCACCAAGACGGAGGAGCTTTGGCTTCAACGCGCCATCGGAATGGGCAGTTTGGTCGGCACTTTTCCGTTCAATTACGGCTACAGTAGACTTGGAGCGAAGTGGCCGTTTGGGATTGCTGGACTGTTCTCTGGCCTGTGCGCAGCGCTAACGCCAACCGCCGCTAGTTGGGGATTCCCTTGGCTGATGGCAGCACGACTAATGACGGTTGGTTTTTTGTAGGGATTTTTTTGGATATGGATGGTTTTTGCTTCGATTTTTTTATAAAAAATTGTTATGATGACTTTTTTTTGTAATTTTTTTACATTTATTTAAAGGGGATGTACTCCTAGTGCGACACTCAGATTTTTATGAAACTTGGCACAAATTTAGAACAATTTTTTCTAATATATTTGCGAGAATCCTAGCTCGCGCTTTGCAGAAACAACCGAGATTTTTAGATCGAAAGCCGGCGAAAATTTAGGACTTTTTGCCGAATTTCGGCACGAAAAGTTTCATGTCTATTTCTATCGTAAAGGATAATGTTTTTAAAAAATCACTTTTTTCCGCACGAAACTGCCAAAGTTATGGCCAAAAAGCGTTTTTCTGTCTGACCGCTTTCCACGTTTAGCGTGCTCTCTCGGCGGCAAAAATCTTTCGATATCTTGGCGGTGCCTGCAAAGCGCGAGCTAAAACTTTCAGGAATTGGTATTTAGTCCATACCCGACGTATGTGCGAAATTTAAAGAAAATCTGAGCGTCGCACTTGGAGTACTTCCCCTGTAAATTTTTATTATAATATTTTTTTTCATTTTTAAATTTTCCAAAAAAATATGTCGTAGTGACGTATTATCCTTTTTTTTAAGCTTTTGAAGTCTAAAAAAATCAATAGACAATAATTTATCAACTTTGACTTATTTTTCAGCATTTTTGCCTTATTTCCAGGGCTTTCTTTACGCCGCAGACTTCTCAGTTATTGGCTTGATGATAACCAAGTGGTCTCCTTTGAATCGAAGTGCGGTTTATGTCTCACTCCTCACCGGATACACTCCAATCGCTTCATTTATGACATTTGCCTCGTCTGGACCCGTAAGTTCGACAATTAAATAAAAAAATTATTAAATTTTTTAAATTTTTTTCTTTTTTTTGTTAAATCACATTTCAGGCATGCAAATCATCAGTGGGCTGGCCATTACTGTATTATTGTTTGGCAACCCTCACATGTATTTCATTTGTTCTTTGGTTCATCTACTACAACGATGAGCCCGTCAAGAGTCGACATCTAAATCAATATGAATTTGATTTGATTTCGGAGGGAAAATTCAAGGAGGAATTGCAAAAGCATACAAAAGTCCCGTATTTGGTGGGTTTTTTGAAGTTTTTAATTTTTATTTAAAAAAATATTTTTTTAATTTTTTATTTTATTTTTATTTTTTTTTAATTTTTGTTTTTATTAATTTATATTATGTTTTTTTATTTTTATTTTTTTATTAATTTTTATTTTTTACTTTTTTAATCAATTTTTTTATTTCATTTTTTTATTTATTTTTAAATTATTTATTTTATTTTATTTTTATTTTTATTAAATTTTTTTCAAATTAATAAAAATAAAAAGGGTGGGTTTTTTGATTTTTCGATTTTTTTTTTGAAAAAATTATGTTTTGAATTTTTTAGTTTATTTTTTTTTTGATTTTTTTTTTAATTTTTGTTTTTATTAATTTTTTATTAAGATTTTTTATTTTTATCTTTTTTTTATTAATTTTTATTTTTTACTTTTTTAATTTATTTTTTTATTTCATTTTTTTATTTTTTTTTAAATTATTTGTTTTATTTGTTTTATTTTTATTTTTATTAAATTTTTTTCAAATTAATTTTTTTAGAAGCTGATCTTCAACCCGGTAATTCTGGTGGTCTGGCTGAACGCGTATGCGGATATTTTCAGCAGCTTCTTTATGTACGCCTATATTGGAAGATTTTATGTGAATGTTTTGAAGTTTGATACGTCCATGGCTGGCTATTTCGCATCGTTGCCTCCGATTCCATTCGTGATTTTGAAGGTGTCCATTGGATATCTGAATGACCGAATTACGTAAGTTTTCTTGGTATTTTTTTAGAAAAAAATTAAACAAATTTTTTTATAAATTTTTTTTAAAGTTTAAAAAAAAAATAAAATGAAATGGGAAAAATTAAATAATCTTTTTTTTCAATATTTTTCTGTTTACTCAAAATTTTATTAAAAAGTGAAAAAATAAAAGAAATATTTTAATTTAAGAAAACTAAAAAAAACGAATAATTTTTATTTTTAATATTTTTTTTTTATTTACTAAAAAAAATTTTATTAAAAAGTGAAAAAATAAAAGAAATATTTTAATTTAAGAAAACTAAAAAAACGAATAATTTTTATTTTTAATATTTTTTTTATTTACTAAAAAAATTTTATTAAAAAGTGAAAAAATAAAAGAAATATTTTAATTTAAGAAAACTAAAAAAAACGAATAATTTTTATTTTTAATATTTTTTTTTATTTACTAAAAAAAATTTTATTAAAAAGTGAAAAAATAAAAGAAATATTTTAATTTAAGAAAACTAAAAAAACGAATAATTTTTATTTTTAATATTTTTTTTATTTACTAAAAAAATTTTATTAAAAAGTGAAAAAATAAAAGAAATATTTTAATTTAAGAAAACTAAAAAAAACGAATAATTTTTATTTTTAATATTTTTTTTTTATTTACTAAAAAAAATTTTATTAAAAAGTGAAAAAATAAAAGAAATATTTTAATTTAAGAAAACTAAAAAAACGAATAATTTTTATTTTTAATATTTTTTTTTTATTTACTAAAAAAAAATTTTATGAAAAAGTCAAAAAATAAAAGAAATATTTTAATTTAAGAAAACTAAAAAAATTGAATAATTTTTATTTTTCCGATTTTCGAAATAAAAAGTCGATTAAAACATTTTTTTCAAAAAAAAAGATCTTTTAATTTTTTAATTCAATTTTTTTATTTCAACTAAAAATTTTTCCTTTTTCAGTTTCATGCCGGAACGAGTCAAAATGAACGTCTTCAATTCCTTCTGCGTGACCGCGCCGTCCATTTTCTTCTTCACGATTGGCTTCATAACGGAGCAGTACCGTTATTGGACGGTGGTGTGCCTGGTCCTGACCTATGTGTGCTACTCGTTCAGCGGCGGCGGCTTCTACAAGTGCGCGCATCTGTCGGCCCGCCAATACTCGGCGTTTGTGATTGCGGTGGTGCAGTTCCTGAAGAGCATTGCGCTGTTCTTGGTCCCCACCTTGTTCGATTCCACCATTCACACCGAAGCGGATTATAAGATCTTGGAGAAGTGGAGACCCGCGTTTTGGACGCTGTCCGCGCTTTGTTTGGTGGTAGGCAATTTTTTTTGAGAATTTTAAAAATTTTCGGACAAAATAAAAAACATTTTTTCTTTATTTTTTTTAAGTTTTTGATTTTTTTGAAATTTATTTATTTTTTATAAAATTTTGGGACAAAATTTTTTTTTTCTTTTTTAATTTTTTTACTTTTTTCGAAAAAATCTCGTCATGATGACGATTTTTATAGTTTTTTTGCAATTGTCTGGGTTTCCAAAAAATGTGTCATCGTGACGTATTTTTTAAAAACTTCAAAAAAGTCTGTATTTGCGATTATAAAAATTATGTTCTTGGTGATTGTGATAGCATAAAGATGCAAAGAGTATAAACTATAAGTTGTCGCGTTTTTGCATCCCATAACTACTGTGTCATGATGACACATTTTTTGGAAATCCGAGAAACCTCGAAAAAATCGTTCTTCGTAATGAGAAATACGACAAATCACCTTTTATCACCTTTTTTCAGTTTCCAGAAAATGTGTCATGATGACATATTTTTTGGAAATGTTCCAAAATCTCGGAAATTTGTAAATGATATGCCACTGATCGCTTCTATAACCTTTTTTATCCAAATTGTCAAATTCCATTCAGATATGAAGCCTGAAAAAATAGAAAAAATCTCGATTTCAGAGCGGCTTCATCTTCTACTTTTTCTCCCGCGCCAAGCCCTTGAAATTCATCCTCAAAGAGAACGAAGGACGTCACTGCACTACGACCAAAGCAGCCACCAGTTCCACCGAGAAGAACGATTGAATTCACTAATTACACATACCACACGTTATCACCATGACTAACATGAGAACAGCCCGATTTTTGTGACGAATTAAAATCTTTTTACTTTTTTCGAATTAGTAATGAGTATCAGGCCGATTCCGCAGGTATTCTTGAAGCTGCGGCAGTGCGTAAACCGCGTTCCGATGGTAGTTTAGTCGTCGGAATTTCTCGAACTTTTCTGTCGGCCCATACGTGAGACAGTTGTCCATGAAGGCGGCGCAGTAGAAATCGATCCATGTCAGCTGAAAGGGAATAGTAGAATTTTGGATTTTCTCATGATTGGGTTAAGTTTTGATGGCAGAATTTACAAGGGCAATGTTCAATGTGCGATGCTCAGATTTTGTTTAAATTTTGTACATATTTCAGGTATAGGTCACATATCAATTCCTGAAAATTCTAGCTCCCGATTTGCAGGCACAGTCGAGATATTCAACGGTCTTTCGGGCCGAGAGAGTACGCCGAATGCGGAGAGCGGTCAGAGAGAAAAATATTTTTTTCGCGATATCTTTGTCAGTTTCCTGCGGGAAAATTTGATTTTCTGTGGAAACATTACACACTGTAATAGAAATATGTGTGGAAATTTTGATACAAAACTTTGCAAAAAAAGCCTAACTTTAGCCTAAAAATTATCATTTCTGGTTCCTCTTTCCACCACTTTGGGACGCGAGGTGAGAAGGCTTCAACCTAAAAATTTTGGCTGTTTCTGCAAAGTGCGAGCTAAGGTTTTCGCACATCTTATATGCTTATATTATACATTCCAAATTCGGCCCATTTCTTCCTTTGTTTCGGTGAGAGAAACATTTCGATAATACTCACCTTATCTCCAATCAAATATCCTGTATTGTTGCTTTCCAGCTGTTTCTCAAAAATTGGGGCAAAATCCTTCAGTGCAACATTACTAAATACACCATCCGTCAAGTCATCGAGCTGAAATCAATGATATATTAGGTCGTCCAGAAAGTTCGTTCGTTTTTTCATTGCTTTTTTTACAGGATTGTTTGTCCTTTGGCAAATGGAATACATCTATTTGATACAGCTTTTTCTCCCCTACAAGACTGGCTGTATCAAATAAATATATACCCTTTGCCAAACAACAAACCATCCTCGTAAAACGAAACCAATGAAAAAAACGAACGAACTTTCTGGACAACCTAATAATTAGGAAGACCTAGATAGGACTGGCGATGTTTTAAGAAGCAAATTTCCCTACCATTTCCGCCGGCGTAAGGTCCATCAAACAGTAGACCCAGGGCTTCAATTCGTTGTGATATTCGCTTAATCGCTGGGCCAAGACGTCGGCCAGGGCTTTCTCTTCGACGGTCTCGGGTTCCAGCCCGTATTTCCGTCCGAGGTAGGCCAAAATGCATGGAGTAAAGCAAATCTCAAATTTTCCATCAACGATCAACTTCGGGAGCCGTGGTAACGGGTGTTCTAAAAACGATTTTTAAAGGTGTTTCGTCCAAGGCAATTCTCTCGAAGGAAGCGAAATGCACAGTGCAAAAATGAAGGCACTTTATGAAAATGCTGATATTTCCAATGTGCGGATTTTTTTCTTGATTTGCACTGTGCGCCCTCCGGAAATTGATCTTTTTACTGTAGTAGTAGACCATGAAAATTATGAAATTTGACGTACTATCTTTCCGCTTCGAAAACTCCAAGAAGTTCTCTCTGTGGTCTTCGAAGGGCTCCTGAACGAAGTTCAAACACAATCTGACCGGCTCCGCCTTTCCACGAAGATTGAGGTACTTGAGTTGGTATTTTGGCATGGTCTAAAGCAAGTGACGTACTAAATTGAAAACAAATCAAAAAGAATTGATCAAAAGAAAAAGAAGAAATGTGTGTTTGCAAGTCACTATCAGTCTGTCGGGAAAATAATGAGCGCTGTGTTCGAAAAATAACATCGCCGCCGAGAAAACGAACTGTGTCGCGGAAAAATCAAGTTGCTTTTCAGATAAAACTGCGATTTATATTCCACAAATTGGTCAAAATTTGCTCTTGATTTGTGATTCTATGGAGCAGAAGTTTGGGCCTTTTTTCTACTGTTGAAGTCGACGTTTCCAAAAATAATTTAGTTTTTCTAGGATTTTCGAAAATGTAGCTAAAAAGCGTTCTTCTCTGTGAACAGAAACATCCGAGATTCTCGGCCTGAAAGCTGGCAAAAATGTGGCACTTTTTTGCGAAATTGGCATAGCTACTGCCAAAAAAACGTTATTTTCTTAGACCGCTCTCTGCGTTTTTCCTATTCTCTCAGTCGCAAAAGTTGTTGGACATTTCTATGGCCTCTGCAAAGATCAGGATGCGAGCGAGAGCCCAAAAAAGACTATTGCACAGTGCAAAAAGCCACAAATTGCAGAGAGCAAAGTAAAACTTTTTTTGCACAGTCCATGTCACCGAAGTCACCCCAGCGACTTTGCAAATGGACTAGTAGTTATCCTAGGCCCAAAATTTTCATTATCTCCCTTATAAATCACCCCAATAAAATGCGAACCCCAGAAAAAAGGGATGACTCCCATTACAAGCAATTCGTGTTGATCCCCGTTTTTTCCGCACCGAGTCAAATAAAAAATGGCATAAAAGAAATTCCAGAGAGTTTATCGCCCCGGGGCAACTGTTTGAAGAAGGCAATTTCGAGGCCGAACTCAAAAATAAAACGAAAACGAGATCCCACTCGAAAATCTGACAAATTTTTGAGCGTCTCCCTCGAATTTGATTAATCGAAAAACCCTCCGAGGCCCGTGACAAATCACTAATTGGGATCAAAAATATCGCAGGCTATGAGTTTTTTTGGGGGGTTTATGATGCCATAGGCGAGGCAGACAACAAATTGTCGGCCAGAGGTTACTCATGGTCTGGCGGCGACAACTGTTTGACATTTTTTTGGAGGGAAAACGAACGAAAGAATGCTAGTGCATGATTAACTCATAGTTTAAAAGGAAAACGCTGAATTTGTGACACTCACAATTTGAAGAAACTTGGGAAAACTTCGTGTAGGAAGGTGGAAGCGCGACGCTCACTTGGAGTCTCGCATACCTCTTGAAAAAAATATGCTAAATTTGTGAATATGAGCGTCGCACTTTACGTCTCCTCAAGGCATTATTTTCAATGCCCTGTTGCATGATTACCTATCTAAGACAAGAAGCAAAAGAGCCAACAGCTGAAAAATGCTGTTCCAAATATTTTCCGTTATATGTGATCTGGCGTAAGTTCAACGTTTTATTTATCAAAACAAGCCAATAAATCAACAACCATGAGTTTATGGAGCTCAAGTTGATCTCAACTAGCGAAAATTCTACTTTGTAGGCCAAATTGATCTTACGCTTGTAAATTCGTATAAAATTTTAAATCTTATGAGTCTTTTTATGGCCAGAAAGTGTTCTTCTCTAATCACTTCCCACGTTTCGCAAACAGTGGCGGACTTGATCCAGTGGCCAAAAACATACCATTTTGCATCCGGAGAGTGTCAAAAACCCGACAAAATACCTCTACTTCCAACTTGGAAAACTTCATTTTAAAGAGCGCGCCTTGTCTCTTACAAAAAGAGCTGCTAGGCTTTTGAAATTGGAGTTTTTATTCACTTGACGAGGGAGGTATTTTACCACATTTTTTATACTTCCCGTATGCAAAATGGTTCTTTTTTTTGCCACTGGATCAAGTCCAACACTGCAGTCACTCGGCTCCATAGGTCGTCCAATATCTCGGTTTTAGTTGCAAAGCGCTAGTTAAAACTTCGAATTGATGTGTAGCCTATGCCTGAGGTGCATGCAAAGCTTAAAGAAAATTTGAGGGTCGCACTTGTAACCTTTCCCTTGTACAGTGGGGGACCTGGGGCCTGTTTCACTAACATAAAAATAAATAAAAGAGAAGTAGGGGGGAGCGAGAGAGCATCGAAAACGCGTTTGCGAGCAAGAGAAACCGGACGAAAAGCAGAAGTAGCCTACTTTTGCGGGAGTGACTTTTTACGTCCAAAACCGCGGTTCGCGGCAGTATTTTGGCCATAACTTTTTTCTCAGTTGGTCTAGGAACACCCTTCAAAATTTACAATGAAGCTGACAGTTTCAGCTATCACCAAGATTATTTTCATTGCTGTGGTGCCAAAACCCGTCCTTAAAAAAATCGTAAAGTACGCGTGCTTTCATTTTTGAGAAAATCGACTAAATTTGAGCTTAAAATTCCCATAACTTGGATAAAACTTTTCGGATTGAAACCCTCCAAAAAACAACACATAGAATTTTTTAAGTAGTTTTAGACAATATGTGTTTTGAATTCCTTTTATAGCCCGGTGGACCGCTAATTTTACAGTAGTACGGCCAACCATCTCGTTTTTTCTTCTTCGCGGAATAAAAACGCATTTTTCTCACCAATTTTTATAAGAATAATTACAAATTTCATATCAGTGTGTAGAGACGTTTCTTAGCTACATTATGTTTTTTGAGGGGTGGCGATATATCATAAATTGATAGAGTTACGGGCAATTAAATCAAGGTAACCTCCATTTTTGACCATAAAAAGTCGTTCCGAAAGGGGCGAACTTTTCCTCTTCCTTTGATTTGAGGGCTCTTTTTATGACAAAAATGGAGGTAAATTTGCCATAACTCAGCCATAATAAGACCTACAATTGGCCCTCTAAAAAAGCCTCATAGAAAAAAAGACGGGCTATCGATTGGTATAAATTGAAGCGTCTACATTTTGAAATTGACCGAGAAATAAAACATTTCGTATCTTCAGTGTAAATGTACTCTGTACTTTAAGCTATATAACTAATCTACTCTTGAAAAGAAAACAATGAAATTTGGATATGTTGTAGCCTCAACCGTCAGCTTTATTTGGTTTTTTGAAGGGTGTTCCTATACCAATTGAGAAAAAAGTTATGGCCAAAATTCTGCCGCCAACCCCGGTTTTGGACGCAAAAAGTCACTCCGAAACAGAAGTAGGCTACTTCTGCTTTTCGTCCGGTTTCTCTCGCTCGCAAACGCGTTTTCGATGCTCTCTCGCTCCCCCCTACTTCTCATTTATTTATTTTTATGTTAGTGAAACAGGCCCCTGATCCAGTGGCAAAAAACGTACCATTTTGCATCCAGGAAACCTCAAAAAATGTGGCAAAATACCTCCTTCTCCAAGTGAAAAAAATCAGATTTCAAATGCGCGCCCGATCTGTTTGTGAGGAAAAAGGGCGCGCCCTTCAAAGCGGAGCTTTTTCACATGGAGAGGGTAGAATTTTGCCACATTTTTGATACTTCCTGTATGCAAAATGGTACGTTTTTTTGCCACTAGATCAGGTCCCCCTATAGTCTCTTCTCTGAGCCTTCAAAAGCCTCACATCAAACATTTATCAGAGGTCGCCAGAACCACAAAAAAAATCAAGAAACCACCAACTCCGAAAGCCAATTACTGCATCGAAAGTCTGGAATCCGTTCAAATTGCGCAACGTAACATTCAAATTAGCTGCAGTTACACAGATTGAAGAGCGCGTGAAACGCAACTTTTTTGTTCGCTTCTTTCAAAAAATGAGGCAGCCTAAACGCAGTGTTGTTACAGCCACTGGGCATAAAATCTCGATAACTCCGTCGGGTCAGATCAGTTTGACTTCGGAGCAGGCGATTCGAGCGGAGAATGATTTCAGCGCCGTTGACGACTTGTTGTATGAATTGGGTAAGTTGCGCGGCCAGACAAAAGGTTGTGGTGAAAAAAAGCATTATACTACAGTGGAGGGACCTGATTTAGTGGCAAAAAACCGTATCATTTTGCATCCGGAAAGTATCAAAAATGTGGCAAAATGCTTCCCTCTCCAAGTGAAAAAAAAATCGTTTTGAAGGGCGCGCCTTTGCCCTCAAAAAAAAGAGTTGGCGCACTTTTGAAAACGGAGTTTTTTCACTTGAAGAGGGAGGTATTTAACCCTATTTTTTGATACTTCCCGGATACAAAATGGTACGTTTTTTGCCACTGGATTAGGCCCCCCACTGTAGAAAGTCGGGCTGGAAATGTGGTCTAGAAATCCCTACTGTAGGTCTGGATAGGTCTATATGTTTGTGATTTTTAAAAAGTTTTAAGAGTAACTTGAGCATTGCGGACATATTAATGTTGCTAGTTTTCGAATGGATAGCCTACAGATAGTTTAAAAAAACATAAAGCCAAAGTATTATTTTACCAAAATAACGAGAAATTTGTTTTTGGAAAATTCGAAAAAATTAATGGCATTTTCAGGAATCACAAACCGCTACATTTTATTCATCGTCCTCTCCATGGGACTCTTTTGGGGTCTTGGCATTATGTCCGTAATGTGCTCCGTATTCTACGAAGCCGGCTTTACCTGCGATCATTATGATTACAACTGCGAAAAGGAGCGGTATCGGATCAATACCATCGAGGATCAGGTAAGAAATAGACCGAGTCTTCAGTTTATTTCTATAGTTTCACATCCACGATGGCTCATTTTTATCGGTGGACTGGTCAGCGAGCATTTTCTTCGCTGGAGATTTGGTTGGTGGGATTTTATTGTCGTATTTGTCGGATATGTAAGTTTTGGGAGGGAAAAATTGTTTTAGCTACGCACTTTATGAAAAAAACTAGTAAACTTATAAGAAAACTTACCCTCAGTTTCGAAAAAAGTCCAGGTTTTCCTCCGTTAGCGGCCGGCTTCTTCTCATCCTTCTTCTGCGACTTCCCTGCTCCCGGCCCTTTAAACGCAAAGTTTACGGTCGGCGGCGGCGGCTGGAAGTTCTGTTGCACCGCTTCATTCCGAATCGGCGGTAATGGTGCCATTGGTGGCGCTTGTGGAGCCAACGACGGTGGAGGTGTTGGCAACTTGCCGTTCATCTGCGCCGGTCTTGGCTGCGCATTTGCTGGCGGAGCTGGCGGAGCGGCAGTGCCGTTTTGAGTCATCCGCTTAGTCGGTCGCATGTAGCTGGGAAGATTATCGTAGTTCTCGGCTGGCTGCTGAGCTGCCGGCTGAGCATTCGTTGGCTGTCCATTCGCCGGCTTTCTGGACCGCTTTTCGAGGGGCCTCATAAAGTTGGGAATCGCTTTTTTAGCAGCCGTCTCATCAGGTGGTGGGTTGATTAGCTCGGGTTGGGGCTGAGCATACTGCTGCGCTTGTGGGGCCATTTGCTTCTGTGGGACCTGCGGCTGGGCTACTTGGGGCTGTGGGGGAGCTTGTCCCATAGACTGCGCTTGTTGAGGGTATCCTTGGGCTTGAGGGCGACCTTGTACAAACACTTGAGGCTGAGGTTGGGCGTAGCCTTGGGGCTGCTGATAAGCTTGCTGTTGCGGATAGCTTTGCGGTTGAGGATAAGCCTGTGGTTGTTGTTGAGGATACCCCTGAACTTGAGGGTACCCCTGCGGCTGAGGATACACCTGGCCCGGTTGTTGGGGATTCCCTTGAACTTGAGGGTAGCTCTGGGAATGAGGGAGCACTTGGGAATAGCCTTGATAGGCTTGGACTGCTGAAAATTACAAATAAATTGTGCTAGACCTTGCCGGAGCGTACAGTAAGCTTAGTGGGGTAGAAAGTTTATGTTCGCCTTGCTACGACTGCAAATGCTAAAGAATTTCTCAGACTTCCGTCCTGTCTGCAAACCCGGATATACTTTTTTGGATTCCTGGAAAACCTGCCCCCGTAAAGCGAGCAGTCTTTATACCCTTCCGCAAATCGCGCCTACGCCTATGGGCGCCTAATTGAGAGGAGGCGTGTGCAATGCCACCTACCATTCATATCTTCACTTCCTTGTACCGAGTCGTCGTCGACTGGCGTGGAGCCCCCGCTAGAAACTAAAGTTTCCTGTTGGGCGTTTGCACTCGCGTCTTCGGCGCTTCCGTTTGTATTTGTAGCTGCAGCTGCGGGCGGATCGCTTCCTGTTTCCATGCTGAAATCTTGCAAACAGCAAAATAAAGTATAATAAGGGCTAAATGTTTTTGCGAAACTCTTGGCAAAGTATTCCGATTTTTGCGGCTGACTTGGCCGCTTCTTGGACTTCAACGGAAGTTCGGTGGTTGAAAGCGGGCGCTGACGTTGAACTCTTGTTTTTTACGGGCTGACCTGGGTTTCGACATTGCCGTTTTAGGCCGTGCGTTTCTAAAAATGCTGAAAAATACGGATATCAAATACAAACGCATTTTACGGGTACAAACTCAAAAAAAACCTTTAATTTTTGATTTGGCCCGAAGGGACACCTAACCAAGAGGGCACCTGGGTGAAGAGGGTACCTTGAGGAAAAAACATGGTACTTTGGAGCAAGGCCATTTTTTAACAATCATCTGTTTGATTTGCAAGAAACATGGTTCGAAAAAATCTGCCTTGGCCCCCCTCTCTCACCATAGCGCTTTTTTGGCGAATCAAAAAATGGTTGTAAGCAATTCGCATTGGTCCCCGCTTACCATATTATTTTGTGGCCAACCAACATTTGAAAAAATCCGCCTTGGCCTCCCTCCCATTACCGCATCATTTTTTGACCAACCAAAAAAAATTATGCTAAAAAATCATACTTGGTTTCCCCTGGCCATATCATTTTCTTCGCAAACCCAAAAAAGTTACAAAACAATCCGCCTTGGTCCCCCCTTACCATGTAATTTTTGCCAAGGCAAAAAAAATATTTGAAAAGTTCCGCCTTGATCCTCTCTTGCCATGTCATTTTAGGCAAACCAAAAAAAACCTTGGTCGCCCCTTTCCATATCAATTGTTTGGCCAGCCAAAAAAATTATTCGAAAAAATACGCCTTGGTCCCCCCTTACCATATCATTTTTCCCCAAGCTGCCCTCTTGGCCCAGGTGCCCTTATCGCCTTCCTTTCACAGCCCTCTTCGGACCCAACCTCCATTTTCAGCGTCGGTCGTCGCCATGTCGTATTTCCGAGCATCTTGTTGATGAGCATCTTTGGCATCATCTCCACGTTCACCAAGACTTATGAAGCCTTTCTGGTCGTACGCTTTTTTGAAGGGTTCTTCTTCACGGTAGGTATTCCAAATAAAAAAAGAGTCTCGTTTATTGCTTCAGGCATCAGTTGTGGTGGTCTGGGTGTTGGCCAGCGAATGCGTCGCCGTGAAACAACACTCCTTTGCGGCGACAATTTTTGGTTGCTTTTGGGTGGCAGGCTATTGTGCGGTGGCCTTATTGGCCAAGTTGGTGCCAGGCTGGAGAGTGGCGTCGTGGTGTGTGTGCATTCCGACAGCAGTGTTTTCGTTGATTTTTTGGAGGTAAGGGAAAGAAAGAATGAGGTCGAAAGGGGCATATCAGTCTGTCGGGGAAATAATGAGTACAATATTCGCTGCGAAAACGTCGCTGAAGTGAAAAGCGATTTGATTTTGTCGCAACACAATTCATTTCCTCAGCGGTGATGCGATTTTCGATGCGACAAAGTGCTCATTATTTTCCCGACAGAAAGAGGCATGCTTCCGCAAAAAACCAGTTTTTTTCTGATTGCGTTTCTGAGTTCTCGCCAAGCTGGCCAAGATAGGATCAAAAAGTGTGTTTCTCTATGACCGCTCACCACATTTCGCGTACTCTCTCTGGAAGACCGTTGAATAACTCGGCTGCCCTTGCAAATCGCGAGCTAAAATTTTCAGGAATTTGCGTGTGGCCTATGCCTGAAGGGTGTGCAAAATTTAAGGAAGATCTGGGTGTACTTCCACCAGATTCGGAGAACCTCATATGGTACCGTTTTGCCGACCAGAGATGCACCTTTCCTTCTCTATCGATAAATCGGTAAAATAATGAGCACGATGTCGCTGCAGTGAAAAACAACTAGATTTTGTCGCGACAAAATTCATTTCCTCAGCGGTGACACGATTTTCGTTGCGACAGAGTGCTCATTATTTTCCCGACAGACTGAAAATTAGAACGTCTTGGCCATGTTTTCAATACTTCCTCTTTTTTCAGAACAATACCAGAGAGTTTTCATTTTCTCGCGGAACACGGAAAATCCGTTGACCTGCGGGCCTGGCTTCGAAAAGCGGCTCCGAATGTCTTCCACCTGTCGCTTATCAATATTGCCGGAAACGACCACGGAAAGGAGCGGAATTTCCACCAATTCATCAATTTTATGCAGGAAAACACTATGTATATTCGATATACCCTGGCTTCTGCTGTGATTTGGTATGCGAACTCGATAAAAAATTGCTCAAAAGACTCCAAAGAAAAGAAAAAAATTTTCAGGATTATTAGTTTCATGTCTTATATGGGCATGTCGATGTACAGCGTGTATCTTGGTGGAGATGTTTACTACAACTACGTCTTGTCGGGAATTGTGGAACTCCCAGCCTACTTTATGGCACCAATACTTTTGGATAGGTATTTGGCCTTTTCTTAACGAAAAACTGAACTATTTAAATACCCCGTATTTTACCAAAAAAATGTATTTTTTAGGTTTGGCAGAAAAAAGACGTTTATCATGGTAAACCTGTTCAATTGCTTTTGTTTCGTCGCTTTGGGCACTGTGAATTACCGTAAGTCATTGGAGCCAAACAACTTTTTATGCGGGTTATGAACTGGCCACGTACAGTACCGGACCTGATCCACTGGCAAAAAGCGTAACATTTTGGATCCGGGAAGTATCAAAAATGAAGCAAAATACCTCCATCTCCAAGTGAAAAACTCCGATTTCAAAAGCGCGCGAGCTCTTTTTGTGAGGGAAGGGCGTGTTTCGAAACGGAGTTTTTTTATTGTTGTGGGAGGCATTTTGCCACATTTTTGATACTTTCCGGATGCAAAATTATGCGTTTTTTGCCAATGGATCAGGTCCCTCACTGTAATATGTACCTTGAATACCCAAATCATTTTTTCAAAGCGTGGGCTAAGATTTTTAGCGATTTATAGTTCGAGTAGCCCAAGTCCGACGCTCAGATCTTTATAAAATTTGCGCAAATTTAGGTCATTTTTTTCTAACAAGGGAAGTACTCCAAGTGCGACGCTCAGATTATGATGAAACTTGGCACAAACTTAGAACAATTTTTCTAAGATATATGCGAGAATCCTAGTTCGCGCTTTGCAGAAACAACCGAGGTTTTTAGATCGAAAGTCGGCGAAAATTTAGGACTTTTTGCCGAATTTTGGCACGAAAATTTTCGTGCCTATTTCTACCGTAAAGGTTAATCTGTCTACAAAAAATCAAATTTTTCCGCACAAAACTGCAAAGCTACGGCCAAAAAGCGTTTTTCTCTCTGACCGCTCTCCACGTTTAGCGTACTCCCTCGGCCGCAAAGATCGTTGAATATCTCGGCGGCGCCTGCAAAGCGCGAGCTAAAACTTTCAGGAATTGATATTTAGTCCATACCCGACGTGTGTGCAAAATTTGAAGAAAATCTGAGCGTCGCGCTTGGAGTACTTCCCCTGTAAGGCATATGCGAGACTCCAAGTTCGCGCTATGCAGAAACGACCAAGATTTTTAGATGTAAAGTTGGCAAAAGAATTACAGTTTTTCGTGAATTTTTATTTCGTCTGTAAGGAGTGCTCTTTCCACAAAAAATATTATTTTTCCGCACGAAACTGTGATGGCACGAAACTCTCAAAGACATGGCAAAAAAGTGATTTTCCTCTTACCGCTCTCCACGTTTCGCGTACTCTCTCGGCCGCAAAGATCGTTGAATCTTTCGGTTGTCCCAGAAAAGCGCGAGCTAACATTTTCAGGAATTGATAAGTGGCCTGTGCCCGGCGTCTGTGAAAAATTTTTAGAAAATCTGAGCGTCGCAGTTGGGGCACTACCCTAATAAGCTACAACCAATTTCGGCAAATTCCCAAAATTCAAAAAAAATCTTATCATTTTTTCCAGACAACCGCACAGTGTTTGTGAGCATGTGGATGCTCACCAAGATGGGAGTGACCGGCTCGTTCATGTATCTCTTCGTCTATGGCTCGGAAATTTTCCCCACAGTCATCCGAAACACCGCAATGGGACTGTGCGCGGTCTGTTCGAACTTGGGAGCGACCCTTGGACCTCATGTTAGACATACGGTAAACGATGACGAACTCTTTTATAAAACTTGACGAACTCAATTTTTATATAAAATTTAGCCAGTGTAAAATGAAATTCCACCAATTTTAGGACGTTTACCATCCTTCCGCTCCGTGGGCAATTTTCGGCGCTTCCTCTTTGATTACCGTCATCTTGACCTTCTGTTTGCCGGAGACAAAACCCCGAAAAAAGGGTACCTCATCCGATGAGAGCTTAATCGAGCCGTTGTAAATGACATATCATTTCGGAGAAGAAATAAAAAAATGGATTTTATCGTTAATTGGGTCCTAACTAACAAAAAAAATCTTTTTTTTTATTAAAATTTTTGATAATTTCAAGTAAAATACGTTACAGTAAGGCTTCAACCTCCTTAAATTATATGTAAATCATCATGTGGACTCCTAATTCATCGATAATTAGCCTTAACACATCAAAAAATCCTAAATTTGTCATCTTTTTTACCTACTATAATATAATCTTTTTTTAATTTTAATCAAAAAATATTTTAAAATCCCCTCAGCTGACCTCCACACTTCATTTCAAACAATATTCAGCCAATTGACAACAATAAAAATTCTATTTATTGCATCTAATTCATCTTGACCTTATTAACAAAAAACTTTGAAAAAAGCTGATAAAAAACGATTTGATATGAAAAATAAATAGTTAAAATACTCGTTAGGGTGATGAGAACACTGTAGATGATGAGATCAATCGAGAAGTAGGTTATTAAAGACAATCCAGCGGTCGGAAGTTTCAGGTTTTCATAAACTTCGGGGAACTCCGTCGCCATTTCCACGGCCTGGATGAGGCGATCCTTGGGTGAGGTGACCGAATGGAGGATTTTCTTGAGATTCGTCGACTTTTCGTGGATTCTAAAAACATAAAAATTTCAAAAAAAATTATATTACTTTAGGCCGTCTTATGACAAAAACCCTCAAAAAACCCACTTTTTATCGTACAACACTTCACGCAGCGCTTCGACAATGCTCTCCTTGGTCAAACCAAGCTTGCTGAGGGCCACTCCAACTCCAATATGTTTCACAACAGCCGTATTGAAGGTCTGATCACCAAACAGGGGGATGGATAACATCGGAACACCCGCAAAGGCTGCTTCATTCAGACTGTTGAGGCCGCAATGAGTGATAAACGCTTTTGTCTTGGGATGGTCTGCAAATTTAGACAGTAGAATCGTAATTTTTAACCTTATTCTATCCAATGAATACCTAAAAAAGAAAACAAAAAAAAAATAAAAAATCCTTACTCAAGATTGAAACTTGATCCACCCAGCTGAATGTATGTACATTTGAGACGTTGTACATGAGAATATCATCAAACTTCCATATAAATTGGTACTCCGGAAACTCGGCGAAGGCATCGACAAACGCTTTTCGAACATTTTGTGGCATTTTTGTGTTATCTGCCAATGATCCAAACGAAAAATAGACGATTCCCTCTTGCGAAAGGTCAATGATGTCTTGAATCGGCTGAAAATCACGTAAGATTACGAAAACGCACAGAATTTATATTGATTTAGGTGTACTAAGCGCAAGATAAACTTTGCCCATAATTGGAATGTCAAAGAAGATAAAAATGAGTTCAACACTTCAACAAACTCGTAAAGCAACTAATTAAATCATACATTCGACAAAAAGGGCATTCCTCAGATCGCCACATCTAAATACACACTTGATGTCTAGTGTAATATAAATTCCGAGTCCAAAACAAAGCAGCCCTCCTGAACTTTTATTAAATGGCAAGACTGACCCTGTGATGGTTTGAGTGGCCTAAAAACCAACAAGAATGTCGAAAAACTTACACTTTCCAGCTTCTTCACTTTCCCATTGCCAATTCCTCCAACCAGGACTTGTTTTGAGCTCAAAACCTTTGGCAAATCGACAAATTCATTCGTATTCTGAATGAACAAGGCGGCGTTTCGAACAAGATCTTCTGGAGGTGGAAGATTCTTGTCGGCAACCAACTCGAACAGATAATCCGCAAGCTTGGTCCGAGAGGTGATGGCGGAGTCGTAGTAATAGTACAAATTCCTTATCCTCTCCATGAAATTCATGTGAATCCCGCTGGGTGGAGCCATGTTCATCACTGAAAAACGGTAGATAGAAAAGTTCTTTGGTGTTTAATCGCGTTTTCGGCGATAATTGAGCATAAACCACACGTGTGCTGGGTGATCAAGAGGAACCCGCCTTTTAGGGCACAAACTCTGTAACAAAACTGTTCGGGGGTTTTCGAGAGTTCTATCACACTGTAAACTGTCTCTCGAGAGCAATTTCTAAAGATTTTTCGCGCACTCTTGGCTAAGACACCAAGTTTTCATAAACTTGATACAAACTTGAAGGTAAAATTGATAGAAGTCTAAAAATCAAGTGCAAAAAAAGGGTAAAAGCTTACCAGGAAGGACGTTTGGGTTGTAAGGAATTCCGAGAGAATAGGACGGCGCCTCATACATCGGCAACGGCGACAGCACAAACGTCGGGCGGATATTATTCAAGTGACCCACGCCCATCGCGCAAGCGTCCAATGCCTCCGTGAAGAGCCCGTCATAGCGCTGCCGGGCGATGATCTGCATCTGCGGATGGTTGATCAGCTCTAAAACACAAAACATCAACTGTACGACCCAAACCCGACGCTCTCAAAGCCGCCCGATATTACACTAGAAATCTGATCTCAAAAGATATAACTAACCATAACAATAGATTCTCAAGAGACCACCCACAGTCTTCACAGTATCCTTGCCAAGGACATTGTGGTAACCCTGGAAGACATCGCCATACATTGATGTCTCTGTCAATAGTTTGGTCGTTTCGTGGATATTGGGAAAAATTAGTGTAGTAACATTAAGATTCTTGAATTTATAGTTGACCAACGTGTTAATTGGAGCGTAGACAAAGTCCTGAAACAGAAAACAATAAGATTACGGAGCTGAAACGAACAATTTTTCAATAGTTTTTGTCTAGTATAAGGTTGAATGCAAACAGTAAAAAACAGGGTTTATTATGTAAAACTAATCTAAAGCAGTGTCCGTAGGCCATAACAACCGATATTTTACAAAAAACCCCTGTTTCCATCAACAACTCAAAAATTCGTATATTATCCATGAGGTTTCGTCTCTAAAATCACGTGAAAACCAACAAAATCAACTTACAACTTGATGCCCTCGCTCCTGCATAGTCTCTGCGATCCGCGCCATGTATCCGACATGGCTGTAGCCAACGTTAGTAGCAATGAACAAATATTTATAACAATTAACATTAGAGACCAAAAAAAGTGTCGCGCAGATGGTCAAAAATTGCCGCATGGTCTGGTAGATCAAAGTTTGAATCAAATTCGGTAGATGGAGACCATTTATATAGATTTTAGGCGGTATTTATCTGCTGATTGCGTTCGAGGCGTCCCCGAAAAGAAATGGGAGGAGAGATGACGAAAAACGGAGCAATTTCCGGCGGAGCGGAGCGAACACAAACCACAAACGAGTTGGAATCGGGCTACGGTGGTTTCTGGAGATTTCACGTGAATTTGGGATGAAGGTTTTTGGAAAACCACTATTTTCTGATCGAAAATTTTTTTCGACTTCAATTTTGATGGTGAAGATAAAAAATTTGATAGAAACGGTAAAATGCCCGAGGCATTTTATGTAAATTTGTGTGTAAAATCAACTTCAGTCTTTGTGAAGCTCGCTGTAGTATGTTCACCGTCTGGAAGTGTAAAAAATTGTTTGTTTCAATAAACATTTCTAGACCTGGTTAGATACACTAATAAATTATTAAAAACCTTTCTTCTTTTGACATAACATTGTGATTTTTTTCCATCTTGACGAGAGCAAAATGTGCTCGGTATTCCGTCTCGGTATAGTTTATAACAAAACTTTTAAAAATCAAAGGTACTTTTGTCACAGATTAAATATTTCAAAGAGCAGGTCACAAACCAGAAATGGTGACGGAAAACGAAATCACTGCAATTTCTCACGATCAAATCAATGTGATGGGCAGACAGAAGATTGAAGTGTGTTAAAAAAACAATCGAAAGTAAAGCCAGGCCAAAAAAATGTTACCAAAAATTTACTATCAACTTGTCATGATCAACTTGAGCTAATTGACCTAAATTTTTTTCAAAATCTAACAATTTTTTTGTTTTTTTTCACAGTGAAAGACATCTAAATCAGCATGAAAATCACATTTTTTTCAAATTTCCGAAATTACACCGAAAAATCCAACCTCCTCCGCGAAAACATGATTTTGGCATTCTGCACCAATACGATCTGAAGTGCGCGAGCCATGACGTCACAATGTTTATTGGTCGGTTACATGTTTTTGCGGTTTGGTAAACATGTTACATGGCTAATTCAACCTTTGTGGAGTACTTGTTGTGGGATTCACCCTTTGTTATATTGATTTAGGTAATAATTTTCGGGTCTGAGGTCTAAGGCAATTTACTGACGTTTTATTTCGGTTTTGAATGTTGATTACTTTCTTATTGCTCGTGTTAGCCCATATTAGACATTTTTTACCGTGCTTACTTCGTTATTTCAGATCTCAGTATATTACACTTGATAATGGGATCGAATGCGACGAACGACGTCTATAATTTTGGTGATCAAAAGACAAAATTTTTCCTGGACAACAGTGATCAGCTTGAATATCAGCCTCGGAATGAGCTGGCTCCCTGCAATTCAAATCCTCAAGATCACATTGGAGAAGAAAGGGTGTTTTATGATGATCAAACTACCGCAACACCCGATGCAAATGCCGGAGAGAAGGCTGAAAATGAGTTTGCTTATTTGAACAAGCCAGTAAGTTACTTTTTCGTTTCTTTTTTTTAATTTTAGGTATCAGTTTTGTTATCCCTGAAAGTCTTGACGTTTTCTTTCAGTTGGAATCGCTTATCTGGGAGGTTTTAGCTCCTTACCTGTCCGAGTTGAAGCCCGGAAAAGGTGGAAGTTCGAACTCTCGCATATACGACAGGATTGCCGAGGATTTCGACCACAAGTTCCCTGGTCGATGTCGAGATGTCCGCAAATGTATTACTCGCGAATTTTATTACATGAGACTTCGTGCGCACGAAGCTGCTGCTACTGGTAGACTGTCGGAGGTACGTTGAAATTTTCAGCTCTATTTTTTAGTTTTTTGATCTTACTTTGGTTATTAATTATAGATGTATCAACAAATCGTCGATTGGTACAATCAAAGGCCATTTCAAACGTCAGCTATGGGCTCTAAGGCACGTTCTTCTGCCACCAAGTCTTCTAAACGTTACGTAAGGTTTTTATTATGTTTTGCATTGAAGTTTAGAACCCCGTCATGGTCGGATACAAACTCAGAAAATTCAAAAGACGAAAGCGTGTTCCCTCCAAGGAGACTTCGACAGATACATCTTCAGAAGTTCCGACACAGCCTTTCTCAAGTTTGGCCGTAAATTTCGACACACTCCGTCGTCGAGAAAGGGAGATTGCCGCCTGGGAACGGGTGAGTTTCGCAACAGATCAGATAGATGATCTAGATCTAAAATTTTTCCATGTTTTTCTCTATTTGAACATGGTTACTATACACTGAGTTTTTCAGAGTGCAGAACAAGAGCCTCTGAGGAGCTTTGGAAGAGAATTGAATACTCTGGAAAATATGAATTTGCCACCGTCTTTGGAGAGACAACGAGGTGAAGAAGAGGTTCGCGAAGAGATGGTCGAGTCCCAACCTGTCGAAAATTCCGTTCACCACGAAATTCAAGGTCACAATGAATCAAGGGAGATCGGTACGGAGTCTAATCCAACTCAAGAGACTCATCCGGAAGTTGGTGGTTTGGAACAAAGGGTAGGATAATATAATTTGTTGATTTTAGATAGTACAAAAATGATTTCTAAGAAAGTTTTGACAATTCTAGAGGCAAAATTACCTCTAGTTTCTTGATTTGGCCATTTTGAATGAGGAAAATTGCACGAAAAAGATTTGCTGACCTTATTTTATGTTGCTTTATACTCCGCCGATTTAATTTGGACCAGTCTGAAACTTGAAAACGGTTATAGATATGAACTCCATTCCTTCAACAAGTTTGATCACCAGTCGACTCTATGTTCAACTGTAGCCAAATATTTCCTCTGCCTTGAGGCACAAGAAAAATATTCGGATTTTTTAATTTTTCTGTCGAAAAAGTTTGGACCAGGGCAACAAAAATTTGCATTTCTTTATCACTAGGTGGGGTGAAACCATGACAACTTGTGAAAATAATTGTGATTCCCTGCTGATTCTAGCGAGCAGGGAATTCCGAGATTAGCGCTGTGTTTAAGGCCCTGAGGGCAATTTTTAAGAAAATTCCCAAAATTCCAGAAATTTTTCGCCCTAGCGCTTGAGTAAGAAGCGTAAATCGTCTTAAATTAGTTTTAGTGCAACCACAGTATCGCGTACATCTAATTGGATGATGTTATAAAATAGTTTTACATCCAAAATTTTTTGTTCTTGGAGGATTTGCGACTTTGAAACTTGGGTTGGCGATAATAGTGAGGCCATTGCGCTCAAACAACTGCTAAATCATACAGTGTTTTGCTTGGGACATATGAGGGGCATTCCACACTTTCCTTCTGTGTCAAAACAATATCCGATTTACACGCGACAAATGCACAATAGACCGAACACTTTGATAAAAAAATTTAAGAAGAGGGTGCTTACTTAAAAGTTTTCCAAAGTGAAAAAAGATGTTTCTATATGTATATTGTACGTTTATTCCGCTATGAGGTGCTTGCCAGACCTGATAGAACTTAATTTGATGCACATTAAATTGTTTTTCTCAACATGTTTCGACTGGGCCAACGAAAACTTTTTTTATCAAAGTGTTCGGTCTATTGTGCATTTGTCGCGTGTAAATTGGATATTGTTTTGACACAGAAGGAAAGTGTGGCATGCCCCTCATATGTCCCAAGCAAAACGCTGTATGATTTAGCAGTTGTTTGAGCGCAGTGGCCTCACTATTATCGCCAACCCAAGTTTCAAAGTCGCAAATCCTCCAAGAACAAAAAATTTTGGATGTAAAACTATTTTATAACATCATCCAATTAGATGTACGCGATACTGTGGTTGCACTAAAACTAATTTAAGACGATTTACGCTTCTTACTCAAGCGCTAGGGCGAAAAATTTCTGGAATTTTGGGAATTTTCTTAAAAATTGCCCTCAGGGCCTTAAACACAGCGCTAATCTCGGAATTCCCTGCTCGCTAGAATCAGCAGGGAATCACAATTATTTTCACAAGTTGTCATGGTTTCACCCCACCTAGTGATAAAGAAATGCAAATTTTTGTTGCCCTGGTCCAAACTTTTTCGACAGAAAAAATTAAAAAATCCGAATATTTTTCTTGTGCCTCAAGGCAGAGGAAATATTTGGCTACAGTTGAACATAGAGTCGACTGGTGATCAAACTTGTTGAAGGAATGGAGTTCATATCTATAACCGTTTTCAAGTTTCAGACTGGTCCAAATTAAATCGGCGGAGTATAGATATCAGTTTGAAAATATTGGTTGTTTCTATCATAATTTCTTGTAGTTACATCTCATAATTTGGCTTTGTTTTCAGCCTCAGAATTGCCCGAAAATTGCGGACGTCCTGCGTACGATCCATTTCTGCCGTACTCATGGGTTCACCTTCGAATTGAGCAATGGCCATATTATCCTGAAGACTGGCCCGATTACCGAAGAATATGTAATCCCGTTTGGACAGATGCAATGGGATACATAAGTTGGTGGAAGAAATTGTTTTCGGATTTTTGATTTTGCTGACTTCTGACCTTATTTTAGACAAAAATTTTTTGAAATTTTATTTATTTTTTTTTGAATTTCATTGGCAAATTTGTAGGAAATATTGTTGATTTTGATGCTTAATTTTTATTTTATGGTGAGCTGACCTTTAATTTTGATTTTTTTTTCATCTAATTTCCTCGTTTTTGGGTATTTTCTCTAATATTTTTGTCTCATCCTGCCAATATCAATATTGAAATTGTGTAATTTTGCTATTTGATTCAGAAACTTGTTATTTCACTTGATTCTCACCTATTTGTTGTCATTTTTTGGCAAAAAAATTTAATTTGTTTTGTTTTTTTTTGTTGTTGAATAAAATTTTTTGTTGGAATTTCGGGTTTCTTACATAAATTTGGTTGTTTTCCCAATTTATTATTTATTATTTTCAATATTGCATGGTGGAAGCTAGCGAAGGCTAAGTAAATAGAAATAACAAAATTGATCGAGTCCTAGGATAGCTTATCACCTATTTTGAGGTATTTTACATGTACTCCCATCAATAATATTTAGATAAAAGTTACGGATCTTCATTTTTCACCGCAAATTTTGGTCTTTTATATGTTACAATAACTCAGGGTAAAGAAAACTAACGTTAGTAATAGCTAAACTTAGAAAAGGTGGACATATTGCAAGCCTTTGCCAAGTCTCCGCCGAGCCTTCGCCGTCCATCCAACGGCTTTGCCAGGCCTCGTGGACACTTTCTACAACTTTTTTTGGGTATCCACCTGCCCTACACCCCGTATCGATCGATTTTGTGTTGACCGGAAAAGCCCGAAACGTGTATTTTTTCTTTATTTTTTTCTAAATTATGCAGGCGATTTTTTTATTTTTGGTGTTTTTTTGCTATAATCGCCAATAAAGACTGCTGTAAAACCTCGTTCAAAGGTCTTCAAGACAAAGCATAAAACATTCTGTTTTGGTCTTGAACATTTCATTGCAAAAAAACCTTGAAGTGGAACGACTTTCAACAAAAATCAACTTCACAGAGATCAGGTTACAAACTACAAACACAACTTTCGGAAAAACATGTGAATTGCGAAGTCACTCACATGTGGCGATTTAATTTGCTTCAAAATTTTCATACGAGTTCTGAAGCGGCTACAATGATTCGCTGAAAGTTTTGGCTCGCACTTTTCGAAGACAGTTTTCGTTTTTTCGCGTCGCGACTTTTCGGGTCAACGACAGTTCGGGTCAACACAAAATCGATCGATACGGGGGTGTAGGGCTGGTGGAGAGCCAAAAAAAAGATTGTAGGAAGTGCCTACGAGGCTTGGCAAAGCCGTTGGATGGCCGTCTTCGCCGACCATCGATGGTTTTCTTTACACTGAGTTATTGTAACATATAAAAGACCAAAGTTTGCGGCGAAAAATGAAGATCCGTAACTTTTATCTAGATGTTATAGATGTGAGTACATGTAAAATAGCTCAAAATAAGTGATAAGCTATCCTAGGACTCGATCAATTTTGTTATTTCTATTTACTGAGCCTTCTACTGGCCTTCCCCATGCAGACAGCGACGAAAAGTTTAAAATATTGCATTTATTTCGTCATAATTTACGCTATACATACGTTCATTTTATATTATACATAACGTTACTCGAGTTTTTTTCTATTTTTCTTCTCAACTGTCAAATATATCCTAACCATCACTCTGAACAACAAATATACAACAAAACCGCTAAAAACAATCAAACTAATTAGTAGTCCAACAATATCCAATCCAAAGTAGGCCCAAAATGAGATTTTTGCCCCAGGCAAAATCAGTTTCTCATAAGCTTCTGGAAATCTTGTTGCTTGTTCCACGGCATTAATCAGCCTCTCCTCGGGCGATTGCGGTAGATTATTCAGCAGTTCGCTCAATTCTCTCGCATTCTTCCCGTATTTTTCCTCGTTGAGAACGGAATTCAGCGCTTTGACGATGATTTTGGAAGTTAGTTTCAGCTTGTTCAAGTGCACTCCGTTTCCGATATGCTTTACAATGGCCGTGTTGTAGGTTTGATCGCCGAAAAGAGGCACGGAAATCAAGGGAACGCCGGCAAAGGCGGCTTCGTTCAAACTGTTCAGTCCGCAGTGGGTGATAAAGGCTTTGGTTTTTGGGTGTTCTGAAAAGAAGCAAGTACAGTGGGGGACCCGATCCAGTGGCAAAAAACGTACCATTTTGCATCGAGGAAGTGTCAAAAATGTGGCAAAATGCTTCCCTTTCCAAGTGAAAAAACTCCGGTTTTGAAAAGCACGCCTTTCATGAGGGAAAGGGCGCCTTCAAAACCGAGTTTTTCACTTGGAGAGGGAGGTATTTTGCCACATTTTTTGATACTTCCTGGATGCGAAATGGTACGTTTTTTGCCACTGGATTAGGTCCTCGACTGTAGAAAGTTGGGCTGGAAAAAGTGGTCTAGAAATCTCGGCAGAAAAGAGTCAAGAAAATTTCCGACGAAATTGAAAAACTTCAGTTTTAAACCTACTCAAGATTGACACTTGATCCACCCACTGAAGTGTGTGAACATTGCCAATGCTACTTTCGTTCAACTTGTCGTTGAATTTCCAGATAAATTGATAATCCGGAAATTGAGAAAACGCCTCAGCGAATGCTGTTCGGACGTTTTGTGGGAGTTTTTTGTTATCAGCCAAGGATCCGAACGAAAAAAAGACAACGCCTTTTTTAGCGGAGGAATAGATTTGATGAATCTCCTGAAATACTTTTAACACAGTGATTTTTTAATATCTGGAGGTTGGAAAAAGTACATGGTACAATGACGGACATGATCCAGCGGTAAAAACCCTACCATTTTGCGTCCGGGAAGTATCAAAAAATGTGGCAAAATACCTCCGTTTCCAAATAAAAAACTCTGTTTTTAATTGCGCGGCTTCCCCTCACAAAAGACGCCCTTTAAACCGGAGTTTTTTCATCTGGACACTTGAAGAGGGGGGATTTTGCCACATTTTTTGATACTTCCCGGATGCAAAATGGTACCTTTTTTGCCACTGGATCAGGTCCGCCACTGGACAAGGTGGGCCAGCCGAAGTGTAAGGTGTTTTTGTTGAATGTCTCGGCGAGTCAATCTGTTCCGTACGAAAACAGAAATGTTCTTCATCAACGCCAAAATGTGAATGCAAAGTTTCAAATTTCTACGACAAAAAAGGCCTCATTTGGCGTAGAAGTTTGAAATTTTGCATTGGCATTTTCGCCTTGATAAAGAATATTCCTGTTTTTGTACGGAATAGATTGATTCGTCGAGAGATTCAACATGGACTCCTTACACATTCGGCTGTCTGACTCTGTAGAATTGAAACTTTTACTGTTACTTACCTCACTCAACGCTTTCGCTTTGGTAATACCAACACCTCCAACGAAAAGTTGTTTCAAACTGATTGGTCTAGGCAAGTCGACAAATTCATTGGTATTTTGAATGTAAAACGCCGCGTTTTTGGTGAATTCTGCGGGATGTGGGAGCTGGAGATTCGTTAATTCGTAGACTTCGGGATTTGCAAACCATTTGGACATTTTTACGGTCGAGTCGTAATATTCTCGCCAATTTTGGATCCGTTCCAAAAGCGTCATATACACTCCGTTGGGAGGGGCGCGGTTTAGGACTGAAAGGATTTTTTGAGAAAATTCAAGCGTAAAAGTGCAAAAAATGGTTTCTCTGATTTCGGTTCGAGAAATAGAAGAAACGTACAGTGGCGGACCTGCCCCAATGGTAAAAAACGTACCATTTTGCGTCCGGGAAGTATCAAAAATTGTAGCGAAATACCCCCCCTTTCCAAGTAAAAAACTCTGTTTTGAAGGGCGCCCTTCAAAACCCAGTTTTTCAGTTGGAAAGGGAGGCATTTTCCTACATTTTTTGATACTTCCCGGATGCATAATGGTCCGTTCTTTGCCGCTGGATAGTTCCGTCACTGTAGCTTGCAGTCAAAATTTTGTTTGATGAAAAAAGTTGCGTCCCTAGGATTCAACACAAACTTTTCTCTAACATCCGTACCTGGCACAACATTCGGATTAAAAGGAATCCCCATTTCGATGGCTGAATGTTCCGGAATCGGCACTGGCGACATTAAAAACAATGGTTTGATGTTATAAATGTGTGTCATCGATTGGCCACAAACATCATGGCTCTCCGTGAAAATCCCGTCATATTTGATTTCTTCAGCGATTTTCTTGACTTGTTCGTTGTATAAAAGGTCTGAAATCAAACGTTTAGTTAGATAGAACATTTTTGTTATTGAATTTCGAAATCCTCACCTTTGCAGTAAATTTTCATGGCTTCGAAAATTGGTCGGACTTGATCATCTCCGAAGAGGGGTTCGTTATCGCTGAAGACGTCGTTGAAAAGCTTCAGTTTGGATGCTGTTTCTGTCATGAGGTCAATGCTGTCCGCGGTAATGACGGTCACATTTCGCAAAGGCCCAGGATTAAACTTCGTATAGTTGTTGGTTCTGAAGAGAATGAAGTTCTGAAAAATCCGGGCTATTTTTGCTGTTACAGAAAAATGGGCTGAGTTACAGTGGCGGAAATGATCCAGTGGCAAAAAACGTACCATTTTGCATCCGCGAAGTATCAAAAAATGTGGTAAAATGCCTCACTCTCCAAGTGAAGAAACTCTCATTTCAAAAGCGCGCCTTTTGTCAAGCAGAAGGCGCGCCCTTCAAAACGGAGTTTTTTGTTGGAGAGGGAGGCATTTTGCTTCATTTTTTTACTTCTTGGATGCAAAATGGTACGTTTTTTGCCACTGGATCGAGTCCATCGCTGTATAGAAGACAGTCCCATTAAGCCTTTTTAGTCTCTGGAAAATTTGCCTTCACAGAGTTGTAGCCATGCTATTGAACATGGGTCACGTTTCTTCCCACTTACAACATGATGTCCTCGGTCCTGCAGCACTTCCGCGATTTTGGCATTAAAAACGGTGTGAGAGTAGACGAAATTTGTCGAGATCACCAAATAATTATACGCGCTAATTTGTGACCATAGCAAGGTCAGTAAGAGAAAACTAGCGGAAAACATGATCGAACGAATGACAAATTGTCCGCCTTTACCGTATTTAAACTGACAAACAAGACTTAGTTTGTGACTCTTTTTGTGTTTTAGAACTCGGAACCCTAATGATGTTTGGTGGGGAGACAGAAAGGGCAGACAAAAGATGGTTAAAGTACCAGTGTAAGAGTAGTTTGAGTTTATGGTAATGGAACGAGCGGCTGAAGGGATGAGAAATTTGTTAACCCACCGTATTGATTGTGACTTTGTTCCAGTGGCGTCTGCAGGCGTAAACTACAGTTTATTGTGCAGTGCGGCAAATTGTCTCAAAGTTGGGAGTAACAAAAAAGTCGACCTATTCAGGAGTGAAGAGGTCTTACAAAATTTTGTTTAATTGGATAAAAAGGTGGTCACAGAAGTTCTCGACTTTTATTTTTGCTGTTGAGTCGAATTTCGGTGCAAAAATGGGTTAACATTGATTTTGAAAAATCAGTGGACACTTTAATTTTCGTCCTGCAGCGATTTCCCAAAATCTGCACTGGTTGTTTCCAAATTTCCGAACTTTTTTGGCACTGATTTTGCAAAATCGATGTCAACCCATTCTTGCACTGAAATTCGACGCAACAGAAAAAAATAAAAGTCGAGAAATTCGGCGACCACTTTTATATGAACGATTCAGATAGCGGCTAGATAACCTTCATCGTCATATTTTGGCTCTTGCAACAAATTCCACGAAAAACTTGGCTTCGTTTTTATCTAGTGGGCACTCATCATTTCACATTCAATTTTTGCTTAAGATGACAATTAATCATGGAAAGACCGAGCTGCAGCTTTGAGAATACGAGTTTTGGCTTGTCTTGAACTCTTTTATAACTTTCTAGAGTCAGGCGTAGGCCCCCTCTATGTTGATCCTCATATCGCAATCCAAATCCGAGTCGACAGGGCCGGATACCGAGCAAATCAATCCCTTGAACGGCTCAAAAATAGTGACAAAATGGCAGTTCCTTTGTTTGAAATTTTGAAAAACCATGTTGGTTAATCGATATGAACACAAAACTGAAATGAATAGGACAGAAAAACACGGAGATTTTAGTAGTACAAAAATCTTTTATCCTGACCTAAACATTTTCCGTCAGGACCCATGGGAAAACAAGCATTTTTTTTGGGACGTACCAGTGGAGTGATCGGGCTCGTTGCCCCCATTGTGGTAAAGCTGATTGGCTATGATTTCCTTGCGAAGTATTCTCGAAATTTTCTCAAAGAAAATCGATGTCTGGTCGAGCATTATTCGACTTGCTTTTTTAATCCCAAATTTACAAACAAGGTTCGAATTTTGGCAAGTTTTGACCTAAACATACATGTAGGGGACAAGTCATAAATTACAAGTTATACTCCCCGCCAAAAGTTTTGACCCCCCTTCTAACTCGGTCCAAAGTGTACCAATTTGGACCAAATTTGGTACGTAGTCTACTGACAGCCTAGTAATAAAAAATATCATAGTAGGAGAAACCATATAGCTGTATTTCAAAATCCAGGGACAATTTTCAAAAATCACCTCAAAAAAACGGGACAAAAGTTTTGACCCCCCCTGCAAAAAAATTAAATATCGCCACCGGATGTAGCCCGAACCTTTTACAATCGATGCCCCATACCTGAATACAGATTGATAAATGCTTTTTCGTTGAATGCTTCGTTGCATTTGAGGATGCAACGTGTTAAACTGATTTTGATGTAGAGCTGCCCAAAACGGTAAAAATCTTGTACTGGCGCTTTCTAAAAGTTCTAAATTATGTTCACATCATGTGATCTTGACGTGTTATAACCTGCATTAACCTTTTCCTTTCGAAAAAAGTCCATGATGGCCAAGCGGTATCGATTCGGCCGATATCCAGTTGTCATGGTCAGCCTTGGTGAGCCATTTGCTCTTTCACTAAAGGTCTAGATGTGGTCGGTAGTTCCTCAATCTAATCCTGAGACTCCTATTTACTCTCAGCGGGGTAAAAAGTTACGATTTGACGCGTTTTGGAATGGGTTTCATTCACCTTAATCTTAAGTTTGCCGTTACTGTAGATGCCCCCGAGTACGATGCCATCCCCACCGCCCATTTGGCGTTCCGTACGTCTCAAATGAGTATGGCGGGTGCTGTAGCGTCCTAAATTACCTGGCCCATCAAATGAAAGCCATTTTTGGTCGCAAAAAATCCATTTGAAAAACGCGGCTTTTTCTTTAAGGTGCAGATCGGTAAAGTTGCATCCACAAACCATTTGGGATCGTGTCAGCGGGGGTTTATTCTTGTTTTGAGAGTAGACACAAGTCTCAGGATTAGATTGAGGACCTAGCGGCAACATCTAGACCTTTAGTCAAAGAGCAAATGGCTCACCAAGGCTGACCATGACAACTGGATATCGGCCGAATCGATACTGCTAGGCCATCATGGACTTTTTTCGAAAGGAAAAGGTTAATGCAGGTTATAACACGTCAAGATCACATGATGTGAACATAATTTAGAACTTTTAGAAAGCGCCAGTACAAGATTTTTACCGTTTTGGGCAGCTCTACATCAAAATCAGTTTAACGCGTTGCATCCTCAAATGCAACGAAGCATTCAACGAAAAAGCATTTATCAATCTGTATTCAGGTATGGGGCATCGATTGTAAAAGGTTCGGGCTACATCCGGTGGCGATATTTAATTTTTTTGCAGGGGGGTCAAAACTTTTGTCCCGTTTTTTTGAGGTGATTTTTGAAAATTGTCCCTGGATTTTGAAATACAGCTATATGGTTTCTCCTACTATGATATTTTTTATTACTAGGCTGTCAGTAGACTACGTACCAAATTTGGTCCAAATTGGTACACTCTGGACCAAATTAGAAGGGGGGTCAAAACTTTTGGCGGGGAGTATACTTTTCAAAAAGTTAATCCAATGTCTCGCCGCAAAATCAATTAGCTCGCTAAGTTTTACATGCATTTCACATGCTTTAATGTTTGGACGGTGTCTACTCCTTTAACCAACTTTTTTCAACTCTGCGCGTAAGACCGTTGACGATCGGTTTCAACTCGGCTCGAAATAGCGGCTCTGCTTTTGTGACATATGGTTTGTGTTAAGGACTAGGGAATTTGCTGTTTACGTGAGAAGCAGACGAGCTTGGTCCGTAGATATAATTCACGTGAAAAGGAGATGTGAATCGAAGATTTTCGGAGGGAAATGCTCAGATGATATGCATAAACATTGACCCTTCTTTTGCGGCTTTTGGTAGAAAAATTTTTCTCACAGGGGAAGTACTCCAAGTGCCACGCTCAGATTTTGATGAGACTTGGCACAAATTTAGAAAAATGTTTTATAAGATATATGCGAGAATCCAAGCTCGCGCTTTGCAGAAACAACCGAGATTTTTAGATCGAAAGTCGGCGAAAATTTAGTTTTTGCCGAATTTCGGCACGAAAAGTTTCATGCCTATTTCAACCGTAAAGGATAATGTTTGTACAAAAAATCATGTTTTTCGCACGAAACTGCCAAGGTTATGGCCAAAAAGCGCTTTTCTTTTTGACCGCTCTCCACGTTTAGCGTGCTCTCTCGGCGGCATAAATCGTTCGATATCTCGGCAGCGCCGGCAAAGCGCCAGCTAAAACTTTCAGAAATTGATATTTAGTCCATACCCGACGTGTGTGCAAAATTTAAAGAAAATCTGAGCGTCGCACTTGGAGTACTTCCCCTGTAAGTTTGTAGCGCATTACTGTCGCTGCATAGCTAAGATTTTTGGTAGTTTAATCCTTGCTTATTTAGAGCATAGGCATGCGAAATTTAAAAATGAATTCCCATCCGGAAGATGTTCCAGATAGGCTGTCGGAGAACTTTTGTGCTCGATGTCAAAGCAATCTTAGGGTCGCCATAGGGCGAGTTCTTTGCCGTGGCGAAACGATCAATTGTGCCGCTGCGACATCACACTTATTTATCACTCTGTCGGGAAAATAATGAGCACTCTGTCGCATCGAAAATCGCATCGCCGAAAATATTGCGTCGTCCAGAATGTTCGTTCGTTTTTTCTTTGCTTTGTTTTACATGGATTGTTTGTTCCTTTGCAAATGGAATATATTTCTTTGATGCAGCTTTTTCTCCTCTACAAAACCGGCTGTATCAAATAAATATGTACCCTTTGTCAAACAACGAACAATCCTCGTAAAACAAAGCAATGAAAAAAACGAACGAACTTTCTGGGCGGCCTAATAAATTGTGTCGCGGCAAGGCGTGAGCGGCTGGCAACAAATCATTTTTCAATTTTTTTACTATGGCCCGTAATCGGCGAACAAGGAGAATGGCAGAATTTCTATTATATTTTTTGAGAAATTCACGATTTATTCACACTTGTTTTTCTCATTCCGCACAACTTTTTTTAAGCGTCTACACAATTTTCTTATCACAATAATTCCTACAAGAATAATGACGGCGAAAATTGATGAAAGACCAAACAATAAATCCAACCCGAAATACGTTATCACAGACATCCCGGCCATGGGCAAGGTTAATTTCTCGTAGACTTCCGGGAACTCGGTCGCCCTCTCGACCGCATTTATCAACCGAATTTTCGGGGATTCGGGGAGATTTTGCAATAATTTCGCTAAATTGTCCGAATTTCGTTGAATTGTCTCGCTATGAAGCACTGTGATCAGGGCGTTGTAGACTGTTTCCTCTGTGATTTTCAACTTGTCCAAGTTGACTCCAATGCCGGCGTGTTTGATGACGGCGGTGTTGTAGGTTTGATCGCCAAACAAAGGGACGGCGACCATCGGAACTCCGGCGAAGGCGGCTTCATTCACGCCGTTAAGCCCGCAATGCGTGATGAAGGCTTTCATTTTGGGGTGGTCTGAAAAGGAAAGTAATTATTGGATTATAGGTCTGTCGGGAAAATAATGAGCACAATGTCGCTGCGCCAGTCGTGTCGCTGAAGCAAAGAGCAATTTGGTTTTGTCGCGACACATTTCATTTTTCAACGGCGATATGATTTTCGATGTGTAATAATGCTCATTATATTAGGTTGTCCCATAAATAGTGTCCCTCTTCCAAATATTTCCTTAAACAATAAAATTTACCGCAGTAACTGCGATCTATTTAATCAAAATAATTATCATCCGTTTGAGCACGCTTAGTAGAATGTACCAAGAGTTTTTTTAAGCCGGTGGCTTCAAAACTCCGGCTCCTGAAGCCGATGAAACTTTCAAAGGCCTTTTGAAGGGCGTCTTAATTGATGATTTCCCTACCACGGATGAAACGTGGTAGATCCTTGAACAGGTGGTAATCTGTATAGGCTACGTTTGACGAATACGCCTAATAGGGGAGAGTCTCGTATCTTTGTTAATTTGGATTCCGGAGGGTCATTTTTGCAAGGTGAGTTTCGGCGTTCCTGCCAAGAACTTTCGGACTTCTGCAGTGTATTTCTGAAGGCAGATTGTGCCACAAATTGTCTATGTAGGTACAGTAGAGGATGCTGTTTACTGTTTGCGCAGGTTCTAAGAATTTCTAGTGTGCGAAGCTAACGTTACGCCATCAAAAAAGTGGTCATGACCGTCTTCTAGTGGGACTCAGAATTTGGGAGGTGCTGTGGTAGTACTCCGGGGTGCTTCATTGACCAAATCTTGTCTAGGTGTCGTTGTTAATCCACTTTTCATTATAAGCCATGGTACGATCCAGGAAATCTGGATGTTCGGCTCGGAAAGCAAAAACCGCGGTACCTTCATTCGGGGTTTTGGTCCACTTATATGGGAAGAATTTGTCGAGCTTTTTCTTGAAACTATCGGCATCGAACCATTAACCGCTGATAATTATGACACCACCACAGTCCCAGAAAGGCGTCGGACGTTGATTTCATGATTTTTGTCTACCAATGACCTCAGGGTAAATTCGCAAAGCTGAGAGGACGCACTGTGTCTTAGGGGTCCCCGCGGCCAGGTCGAATTTTTTGAGACCATCGTTTCACCGTCACCGAACTCACAGCACACTGGCTGAACATAGTGTTGATATTTCGTGTAGGTTCTGAAACCTTAGCACCCTGTTTTTCCTCCTACAAGTTGATGGCATGAATCTACATTTTTTCCACAATTTTGAATTAGCGCTAAATTACTGTAATTTCATCCAAATATGGCATGCGATACATTAAACGAAAGCCTGAGATCACAGCTACAAAACGGTAGTAACATTGTGAAATTTGGCTGGTGCTTCCGTTTTTTATAGACTTTTGATTTTGCCCCTCTCGAAGAGGGACATTATTTATGGGACAACCTAATATATATTCCCGACAGACTGTTATGTAACTAACAAATTTTTTGGGACCTCCGAGACTAAAAGTCCTGATATTCCCAAAGCCTTAAAAAATGCCCATGTGCTTTATGAAAATGCTACTATACTATCAGTCTGTCCGGAAGATAATGTGGATATGTCGCTGCGCCGACCGCGTCGCTGAAATGAAACTCAGTTTGATCTTGCCGCGACACAATTCATTTTTTTTTCATTTTTTTAGCGATGCGATTTTCGATGCGACAGTGTGCTCATTATTTTCCCGACAAACTGATATGTATGCACCAGTTTTACTGGAGTCGAATCGATGAAAAAATAAATGACATGATGATTTTAGAACACCAAAACCAACTTTTTTCCTGAGCCTCTCACTTGGGACACTTTCCTTGTAAGGGTTACAGCTCGTGAATCCCTCTGAATATGGTGAAAATTCCACTTACTCAATAAAGAAACTTGGTCAACCCAGTCAACGGTGTGAACATTTCGCCCAGCCTCCTTCAATTTCTCGTTAAACTTCCAAATGAACTGATAATCTGGCAGTCTGTGGAAGGCTCCCAAGAAAGCCTGTCGAACACGCTCCGGCATCATACTGCTGTCCGCCAACGAGCCGAATGAAAAGTAGACAACTCCTTTGCCGGCGCCATCGACTATTTGTTGAATGTCCTAGAATACAGGTCAAAATATTGTGATAAATCGAGTCCCGACTTTTCGGGTCGGCGACAGTTCGGGTCAACATATGTATACAAAATCGATTGATAACGGGGGTAGGGCAGGTGGATACCCCAAAAAAAAGTTGTAGGAAGTGCCTACGAGGCCTGACAAAGCCGTTGGATGGCCGGCTGAGCCTTGTTGAAGGCTCGACGGAGAACCTTCGCCAAAAGGCTTGAAATAGGTCCACTTTTTCTAATTCTAACAAAGCCAAGTTCCCAAAACGGCCTCCGATGGTAAACGAACCTCTGCCGAGCCTTCGCCGATGTGTGAAACATCCGCAAAACTGTCGAGACTAACAGATGCGTTGGTCTCGACAGTCCTGCCAGATGTTGCAGACCTAATTTCATCCATAATAAAGAAATCTGGGCTTTGTAAAGAGGTGCAATTTTCAAAAAAAAAAAACAACAAATGTCTCCGCCGAAAAATGGTCCCTCGACCAAGACAGGAAACAATTCTTTTTCATATTGTAAAAACGCACGACTTCTAATTTTAAATACCACTTAAAACTCCTGGATAGCTGCAAAGAGCAGAAAGATATAAGCAAAAAAATTTGTGCAAAATTTCTTGAAATACCCTGTTTACTAACGTTGGTTTTCTTTATCCTGAGTTGTTGTAACATATAAAAGACCAAAATTTGCGGCAAAAAATGAAGATCCGTAACCATCTAGATATTATTGATGTGAGTACATGTAAAATGTCTCAGAAATCGGTAATAAGCTATCTTTGGACCCGATAAATCTTATTATTTCTGCTAACTAAGCCTTCTCCTAGCCTCCATGCAACGACGAACCGATACAATCCATAGCATCGTTGACCCGAACTGTCGCTGACCCAAAAAATAAATCTCAAAAATTCTCACTTTACTCAAGTTCTTCGGCGCTGAAATCCCGATTCCTCCGACTTGAACCACCTTTGCGCTGCTCACCTTGGGCAATTCAACGTATTCGTTGGTGTTTTGAATAAACAACGCCGATCTTTGCATCAACTTGTTCGGCGGTGGCACTTGGACCGGGATTTTTTCGTAAAATGCGGCGTCGCCGAAGACTCTGCCCTGCAGGAAGACGGACATAATGAAGTATTTCCAATTTTGGAGACGGCCCAGCATGGTCATATGAAAGCCATCTGGACTGGCGTCGTTTTGAACTGAAAAAATAGTTGAGCCCAAATTTCAACCGAATTTTATGGAAATCCAACTGTTCAGGGTGGTTGAAATTGGGCCCGTCATATTTGGTGAACAAAAAATGGGGTACCTCAGCTTCAATTTGGTATAAATTTTATAGAAATTGGTGCATTATTAACGGAGAAATGCTTGAAATAACGATGGAAGCTTTGGCTGAACCACCCTGAATAAAAAATACATCTTCAAACACTCCTCTTACCCGGGTATACGTTCGGATTGTACGGGATTCCGAGCGTGTACGAGATGGCTTCGCTCATGGGGATTGGCGATGTTATGAACAGTGGCCGCAACTTCGTCACATACGATAACCCTATCGCGCAAATGTCCAAGACCTCGCTGAACATTCCATCGTATTTCATGGTTCTCATTAATTCTTTAATCTTCCCGTCAGTTGCCAAATCTAAAAATAAGATGTAAAATGAAGCAAAGAATAAAAAAAATAAAAAAAAAACATTTTTTAAAATCTTACTGTAGCAATAAGTTTGCATTATCCATATGTAATTTTGAATGTCTTGGTTCGTAAACAACTTCGAGACACGTTGAAATGGATCGCTAAACAAAGTCATCGACGCCATTTTCTCCGACATTTCCTCGAGTTCCTTTGGCTCAATGTTGGTGACATTTTTTAGCTCACCCTTGTAGTCAAAATGCGTGAAATTGTTGGTTTTGTAGAGAACAAAGTCCTGAAATTTACATATGCAAAGTCAAATGGATATATTATATAATGCTATTAGTCTGTCGGAAAAATAATGAGCACAATGTTGATGCGACTGTCGCGGCGCTGAAGCGAAGAGCGATTTGACTTTGCCGCGACCACTAGCGACCGCTCTGTTGCATCAAAAATCGCATCGTCGGCGAGGAAATGAATTGTGAGGCGACAAAATTAAATTGCTCACTTTAGCGACACGAGTGTTGCAGCGAAATTGTCCTCATTATTTTCCCGACAGATTTATAGTCATATATTATTGCCTCAAACTCTTGGCCTCCACCAGACATGGCAAGGGCTGGGAGGGCTTGAAAATCCTCAGGGCCGGGCCTCAAAATCCTCAGGGTCTTGCCATAGGTCCCAAGGGCTGGGCCGACTTTGACGGGGGCTGGGCCGGAGCCCGGAGATGCCAAAAACCCGGCCCTGTAGCAAAAGTCTGGGCTTTTGGCCTCTACTTTTTGATGGCAGCTGAGAAAAACCACAGTCTTCCAAGAAAAAGCAGAATCCTCCATCGCCAGAAGCGCTGACAAAAACTTTTTACCCAATCTACATAATGTACACTATATTTTGTACATACCACATGATGACCATGCTGCTGCAGAGTCTCGGCGATTTTCGCGTTGTAAACCGTGTGACTGTAGACAAAGTTGGACGAAATGACAAGGTATTTGAAAGCGTCTGCATGGCAAAAAAGATAGGAACAAAAGGAAAAGAAGATTTTGAGAAAGCCATTTTTCATTTTCTGGCCCAAAAAATGACTGTAGATCGAAAGAAAAAATACACCAAGTAGTCAAAGATACCCAAGTTTTAAGGGAAAATAACTCTAACGTGAGCTCTGAGAACTTTTTTCAAACCGTTGTTGATGAGAATCAGGCTCAAAGAACGGAGAAAATAAGGAAGTTACAAGATCAGCGACAAAAATGGTAGTAATGGAACCGAAAAAGAAGTAGAGCGATGTGGAAATGAGCCTAGTTAGAAGGAAATAATGTTATGCAGCCACCAAGAGCGCTTTCGAAAGAGATTTGGGCAGGTTTCTCGCCGTGCAAACACAAACCAGAAGCTTTGACAGAACCGTTTTTTGGCGCTTTTCACTTTGTAATTTTACATCACATTTACATCGTCTGCACAAGACATAAATGTGAGCAGAAAGTCGGTTCAAGAATGGAAGGAAAAGAAAGCCAATTTGGTCGCAAAATCTCAGTCTGCCGGGAAAATAATGTGGATTTGTCGCAACAAATGCCCTCTCCTCCAGCCGCGGCTAGCGGTGATGGGCGATTGACAGGCGCGACAAATCCACATTATTTTCCCGACAGACTGATAAATGATGACTTGAAGCTCCTCGGGAGAAGATTCAAGGCCCACGATCGTGGCTATAAGACTTCTTAACACCGTCAAAACAACGAACAGTGATGTTTGCGGGTCGGCGGAAAGTCGTAGGTGGAATTCTGGATTTTCTAAATTTTCTTCGGCATAACATGAGCTGCGATTTTCGTATGTCTCGGAAGAATGACATAAGGTTGTGCTGTGTTTGGTGAAAATCTGAGTGTCCCTATTGGAGGATTTCCCATAAAACTTTGCGACTGCTTGCCGCAGCTGGAAACAGTCTGATTTTGCTGCGACGTTCCGCCAATATTTTTCCGACAGACTGTTTTTAAATATCATTATTTGTTAGGTACTTCTACAAAATAATTATCCTTCAATTTACCAGGTCAGCAAGTCTCAAAGTTACTTCAGCCTAGAGGTGGCAATCGGGCCGGGCCTGAGCAGATTTGAAAAAGCCCTGGGCCGGCCTGATCGCTTCGGCCCGCGGGCCGGGCCGACACTTTCGGCCCGGCCCGGCCCGGAAGGTAGATAAGTAAAAAATTTTTAACGCTAAACCGGCAAAATAAAGTATAAATGCTTTGTAGAATGGATGGAAATTAGATTAAACCTTTTTTGAGTTATACGCTGTTTTACTACCCTTTAAAATTATGTATGTGTAACTTATTATGTATATGTAAAATCCCACCCAAATATGTAAGGGTCGGGCAAAAGTCTTCGAATTTTTTTATGATAAATTTAAAAATTTCACTGTAATTTTGAATCCTCTATGTAAATAAAAGTGTTTAACCAGTTTTTGGTTAACCATTTACCTTATAACGTCCATAATTTTATATAGCTAACTTCCTATAGGATTAAAAAATTCAACACAATCCAACTTTTTGGCTAGATTTTAGCTACCTGTACGGATGTTCCAGTCATCCGACTAGACTTTTTAATTTCACGCAGACACACGTAAAAACCTTCTGGAAAGCATAAGAACTTCCAGTAGAAAGTGCAAAGACTTTTATCCAACTTTTCTGTATTAGCGGGCCAAACCGGGCCGGGCCGGGCCGGCCTGGGCTTTCACCGGGCCGGGCCGGGCCTGAGCAAATTTGAAAAAGCCCTGGGCCGGCCTGGTCAATTCGGCCCGCGGGCCGGGCCGCAAAAATCGGCCCGGCCCGGCCCGATTGCCACCTCTACTTCAGCCCCGACACCGGCCCGGCCTGGGAGCCATGCCTATACCGCACTGATGGCTCTCTTCCTTTTGCATACTCTCTCGCCGGAAAATCTCGTCGAAAATCTTCAGCGAACGACATTATATGTACATAGCACATGGCCTAAGTGCACGAAGGCGAATAAGATATGACTTATTCCTTTCGCAAATATGATCAAGATTCGGCAACAACGGCCTCAAAAGTGCTTAGTAAAAGAAACTACAACGGCTAGCTGACTCAACACAAAACGACACTTCCAGTCCGGTTATATAACACATCGATTCTGGCGACCAACGGATGACGCAATGAAACCAAAACACCGACCGAAAAAGCCACATCCTCTTGCGATTGAAGACCGTCGACGAAAATTGGGGATTATTCGAATTCCGTTTTTCGTATTCTGTGTTCGTTTACGACAGTGTTTCGTAAACATCGGCAATGTTTGTCTGACCTTTTGGAAATTTCGAGAGAGTTATGGGGTTTTCGCGCGTTCAACTTTCGACGCCGAAAAATCATCTTGATCCGCTTTATCGCACGAAAACTATAAGAGCTGATGGGGTTGGCATGCTGGTTGTGGGCTTGTAAAATACGTGGTGGCTTGTGTAATGGTTCTATAAATACAGTATGTAGTTCAAGATGGGATTAGACAAGTTTATGGAGCCGAGTACTCCGTGAGGCCCGGCCCAGCGAGTTTGAAAGGACCCGGGCCTGGCCGATCTTTTCCGGCCCCATGCTGACCCAATTGGGGGCCCGTGGCCCAGCCCGACCCACAGAGGGCCCGGCCCGGCCGAGCGAATTTGAAGAGGACCGGGCCGACCTCTGGGAGCCGGGCTTTTTTTGGGCCGAGTCTGACCCACTAGCCATGTCCAAGTGGGATATTCAGAGGCCTAGGAAGTGCTATAAACATGACGTTCAATTTTCTTTCAATTTCGCCTACGAGGGTCTTCATTTTAGTCTGTTGGGAAATTAATGTGAATTTGGGGGGATTTATACTAATCGCGCTCAAAAGTCCTGACAATTTTCGCACCGTGCATTCTTCCTTCATTTCGCATTTGTCGCCGCGATTTCCCGTTTTTGCATTAGCGACGTGCACTTTCGCGCGCGACAAACCCGAATTTGCAGGCGCGACATCCAAAACCCGAAGTTTCGCATGGTGCGAAAATTGTCAGGACTTTTGAGCGCGATTAGTAGTATTGTTTATGCATTAGAAAACTTGAACTTCAATTTTGCTCTATTTTTTCAAAATCTATGCCTCGCTATTCCAGTAATCATCTTCAATCTCAAACTGCTTTCGTCGCCAAAAATTTTGGAGAAAAATCGATGATTTTGACACAAAAAGTTGCCCAGCCATTTTTACCGTAGCCGGTTCTGTTTTCATAAAAAAATCGACTCCTTCCACGCAAACTTTGCAAAGAGACGGCCAAAAAGAATTTTTCTCCCTGACCGTTCTCCGCATTTAGCGTACTCTCTCCGCTCCAAAGCTGGTTGAATATTTTGGTTGCCCCATGTAAAACGCGGGCTAATATTTTCAGGAATTGTTATGAGTTCAAACCGTGGTATGTGTGCAAAATTGCAGACTGTCTGAGCGTCGCACGACCCTTCCCTTGAAAGTTCATTGATCGTCTTCGCCAATTTCGAAGTAAGGTCCGCCGAGAACCGGAACCGGATCTGTTTTTATTATTCAAAACAATGTATTCTTATCTTTACTACGGTTTTTATCAGTCTGTCGGGCCTTGGAGTCGCATCGCTTTACGACGGCTAGCTGGAAATTTGGTGCACCCTTTTTTCGACGAGGCAAAACATTTTGCTGCGACGAGCGGCCACTATTTTCTCGACAGAATGATAGGGTCTTTGTCCTGATTTTATGATAAAATTGTTATCTGAAGAGCCGTTATTTAGAAGATCCATTAAAGAAAGATTACCGAAGAAGTCTGGGGAACAACACCTTGTGCCGCTGCGCGGTACTACAGAGGGGGACCTAATCCAGTGGCAAAAAACATACCATTTTGCATCCAGGAAGTATCAAAAAAAGTGGCAAAATACCTCAAAAAAAAAATGAAAAACTCCTCGCTCGTTTTGTGAAGAAAAAGAGCACGCCCTTCAAAACGAAGTTTTTTCACTTGGAGAGGGAAGCATTTTGCCACATTTTTGATACCTCCCGGATGCAAAATGGTACGTTTTTTGCCTCTGGATCAGGTCCCCCACTGCAGTCCGTTCGCAAAGCCGCTGTAGTGATTTTTACGATTTTTGGGCAAAAGAAGTCAGGGGACAGCCGAAAAAAGCCTATTGCACGGCGCAAGGTAAAGTTTTATTTTCGCACAGTCGCCAGCGATTTTACGAACGGACTAGCATAAAAGCAAAAAAAAATTGTTGCCTGAAAAGCCTTTGGTTCTATTAGTACAGTATGTAGTTCAAGATGGGATTAGACAAGTTTATGGGGCCGAGTACTCCGTGAGGTCCGGCCCAGCGAGTTTGAAAGGACCCGGCCGACCTTTTGACCCCATACTGGCCCAATCGTGGGTCCCTGGACCAGCCCGGCCCCACAGGGGGTTTTGTGAATTTCCTGTTGTTGCCTGAAAAGCCTTTCAGGCAACAATTCTATTAAAGATTCGGTAATGAAAAGTGAATTTAACCCCGTGCCCTCCTCCCTCCCTTAGCTACCTACACCTTTGGATATCTCATGTAGTATCTTACGCCTCCGGTATCAGGCTAACAAGGGAAGTCGTTCAGATCGCAAATGAGTTGAGCTATGGGACCGGTATATTCTGATTCTCCATATTCGAAAACGGTAAGAGCTAAAACAATTTTTCCGTCTGAGCCCTGGTTTTCGAGAAAATCGACCGTAAAGTTTGACCGGAAAAAGCCCCGCTAATTGTTGCAAAAGCCTTTCAACCAAAAATTTTATCAAAGATTCGGTATGGAAAAGTAAATTTAACCCCCTGTCCTTTCCCTCCTCTAGTTACGCCTATAGATACCTGAGGTCGTATTTTACGTATTCGATATCAGGCGCAGTATCAAGAGCTCGCTTATCATTGCCGGGCAGTATAACATGACTTCTCATTTTCTATACATATACTCCATAAAGCTCATTTGCTATTTATCTTTGAAACGATTGATCTCAACATATTGCACTTATTCGACGATCTTTGCGGAATTTGACCTCAAGTGGACTGAAAGTTGACACGAGTTTCAAACGTTTTGAACGCTCTTATCGGAGGTCAGCCTTTGCAGAAAATTCGCGGCGATCTGTAGGCTTGAGTCAACAAACACGGCTGATATATAAGTGATTGGCGGTGCGCTAACAAGTGGTCAAACCTTCAAGGGTCAACTTTGAGGACTTGAAACTTGAGAATTTGGAATTTTGATTGCTGAGCGGAGCTTGCAATTTGATTTCTTAAGGGTGATCTTAGGCTTGAGGTTAGTGGGTGTGGGTAGGTTTGTTGCACGGAACAAATGGTGGAAAAAATTGGAAAGCGGTGAGCGAAAAACTCCTTTTGGCCCAATTTTTGCGAATTACGCCACGGAAAATTTCATTTTTTTTTGTAAAAATGCCATATATCGTAGCAGAAATAGAATGCCGGTTCCTTCTTTCCAGCAAAATTTGAGTCATTCGAAACTTGTCACATACAGCGAAGGACCTGATCCAATGGCAAAAAACGTATCATTTTGCATCCTGGAAGTATCCAAAATGTGGCAAAATGCCTCCACCTCCAAGCGAAAATTTTTGAAGGGCGCGCCGTTTCTCTCACACAAAAACTCTTGAAATCGGAGTTTTTTCGCTTGGAGATGGAGGTATTTTGCCACATTTTGAAATATTTCTTGGATGCAAAATGGTACGTTTTTTGCCACTGGATCAGTTCTCTCACTGTGTGAATCTCTAAAAGTTTCAGCGTGCGCTTTGCAGGTTTTGCGACCAAGAGATTACCGGAAAGTTAATCTCAGTGCGGTCAGAGATTATAACACCTTTTGGCCTTGCCAATTAAAATCAATTTTTTAGAAATTGATTTTTTGTGAAAACATTACTATCTTCGGTAGAAATCGGTATGAAACTTTTCATGTCAAAATTCGCAAAAAAGTATGACACTTTTCCCAACTTTTGCCCAAAAAATAACGGTTTTTTTGCAAATTGCAAGTCAAAAATCTCGTCAACTATCTTTAAAAAATTTTAGCCATAATTTCCACCAATTTTCATCAAAATATCGGTGTTTTTTTGCAAATTTCAAAAATGCTCGCTTTGATTTTTGGACTCTATTGCCACTTCAAAGTCCGACGATTTTTGTAGATTTCAAACTCAAACACAACTTTGGAAACACTGTATAAATAATCAGATATTTGACGTGAATTTTCGAGTGTAAATATTTGCTCGTCTGTATCGGAAATCAGGAGTCGGCTTTCAGGGGACGTGCTCAAAGTGCGACGCTCAGATTTTGATGAAACTTGGCATAAATTTAGATTTTTTTTAAGAAATATACGGGATTTCTTGCTTACAATTTGCAGAAAAATCAATGTTTTTAGGTCGAAATTCGGGGGAAAATTTAACATTTTTTGGCAAACTTTGGCACGAAAACATCACACCGATATCTAAAAGGTCATAGTGCAGAAAACTTGCGACAAAAAGTCTACGCAATTTATGAAGCGATCATCCCGACAGACTGATAGTTTCTCGGCCGCAAAAATCGTTGAATATCTCGGCCGCGTCTGCAAAGCGCGAGCTAAAATTTTCAAGAATTGGTGTCTGTTCCATGTACGACGTATGCTCAAAGTTTAAAGAAAATACGAGCGTCACACTTCAAACACTTCCCGTGTTAAAACTGCCATAAATCAATCAGCAGCCGTAAAATTTATGTTCTCCGTTACAGCGACTGCTGTAACGACTGGTGGGATGTTTTTAGCCAATTTTTAACCGCTTTTCTAACTCTACCTTGGCTCATGTAATTATAAATCTTTTTGACCGAACATGGAGTTTGCTGAACTGAACTGTTTCGACACCAAAAAGGCTTGTGTTCTGTTGCTCATGTGCATTTACAATCTTGATTTCTCTCTCCGGCTCTGGCTTCCATTTCTGATAGTTAGCCGAACTCGCTTTCACAGATCGTGAGAACTTTTGTTTGTCCGACGTTGTAATAGATCGTATTTTCAATAACTGTGTGGGCAAATAGAAAGGGGTGGTTGTTTGAAAATCAGAGAACTTTAACCTTTTTCGATGCCTAATATCAATTTTGCTTGCCGTTTAGACCTTATGGCCGTAAATTGGCCCTTCTGGCTACCATCTACTTGATATGCAAGCTCATTTGATTTCTTTGGTTAGTGATTATAGCCTTTAAATTAATCAATTATTATGCTTGGAACATCTATCAGTCTATCGGGAAAATAATGGGCATTCGTCGCGCTTTGGGATCGCCCGTCATCGCTTTGCGTCTAGCTCTGGAGATTTGGTGCGCCGCTGCGACGAGGCAAGACATTTTGCTTCGACAAATCCACATTATTTTCTCGACAGACTGAGACCATTTTGACGAGGGCTGAATGCCAAAAAACGCGACCCTTTACTTATGTCAGCAGTAAAATAATTTTTAGTAATCATGTATAATAATCGTATAACTTTTTGGCGTCGTTCTTGATACAATAAACCTTTTGTCATGCTCCTTTCCAAACCGTAAAAAGTACGATTCAAAATTTGCTTTACTTCGCGGAAACCTTATTTTATCTCTTTTTTGAATTGTGGCACTTCATCTAAACAAAACTTCAATGTGGGCAGCAAATGTTTTGCTTTTAAACGCTAGCCAATTATTTTGAACGATGAGTCGTAGCCAGCGAAGGGGTCGTGATTTCGGTCATAATCGCAGTGATTCACTCGATTTGGAACAACCTTTAAAAGTGTTTCAATCCAAGTGAGATCCCATTTTGGATGTAGCTTGAAACATCCAAAATGCGATCCACATTGCCAGTTAATCTCTTTGTATTTTTGCTGGCGTCCTTTTGTATAGTAAAACGGTTGTATACTACAATATTAAGCCTGAAACTTGCAAAACTTACAAGCTTTGTTCGCTCGTCAATTGTCAATTGAAAGTTTTAGCTCGCGCTTTGCAAGTGAAGCCGAGATATTCAACACTCTTTACGGTCTAGAGCGTACTCAAAACATGGAGAGCGGTCACAGAAAAAAATCTTTGTCCATATCTAACTGTAAGCCTATTTCGTGAAGAAAAAAATTATTTTTTAGTGGACATATTACTGTAGAAAAGGCATGAAAGCTTTTCCTGCCAAAATTTGCATAAAAGCGGTTCCATTGTAGACTCTGTACACCCTCCGAACCGTTCAAATAAACGCTGTAACCGAGACCTTTTTCCCAACTTCCAGTCATCCGACATCAAAGTTGAACCTTTGATAAGGCGAAAAGGTCTTTTCAGCCCATACCTTGCGCAATTTATAGTTCTGTTTGAACGTTGGGGGGAATTGCGTGGAATGTTTTTTTTGGCGATGATTGACAGGTCGGGGGATATCGAGTGCGACAATTCTTCTGTAAAACTCAAACTTTTAACTATGAGGGTTTCTGCGATGTGTCAAGCGGACATTTACGGTTTTACCGGTTTTAATATGCGGCTTAACTTGTAGATATATAAAGCTTTAGCGGTTTGGAAAATTAGAAAAAATGTTCGAGATACGAAGTTGACTTTTAATTCTGCCTATTTCCAACAAGCAACCTATCTTTCAGACATATCAACGACCTCATTGTATGAACCAAAGATGGCAGCCGCCCAATTCAACAATCGATTCCGTTATTTTATCCTATTTATTGGCTGTATGTGCTTGACCTCGATCTCTTCAAACATGCTGGCTTTCAACATGGCACAAGTCTGTATGGCGTCTACGAATAATGCCACTGTAAGTCTCCATTGTCATACGAATGCCATATATACTAATTTGGTCTGAAGAGGGCACCTAATTTTTTCGATGAAGGCATTTTCGCGACGCTTCAGGAAAAAATGACGTGGTAAGGGGGGACCAAGGTAAATTTTTTAGAAAAATTTATTTTGAGTTACCAAAAATGGGCTGGTAAAAGGGACCAAAGCGGATTGTTTAAGAATAGCCATATATTTTTTTTTAACCTCAATCCCTCACCATATTATTTTTTTAGCAAGCAAAAAAAAGTCATTCCGCCTTGGTCCCCCGTTACCATGTCGCCTTTTTGACAAACCAAAAAAATTTCTAAAAAAATGCCTTGGTCCCTCCTCACCATATGATTGTCTTGGCAAACCAAAAAAAATCCAAAAAATCCTCATTGGTCTGTCAGAAAAATCCATCTTGGCTCCAATTACCATTTCGTTTTTCCAAAAAAATCCGCCTTAGTCTCCCCTAACCATATCATTTTTTGACGAGCAAAAAAATTTTTTCAAGTAAAAAAATCCAAAAAATCCTCCTTGGTCCCCCCTTACCATATCAATTTTTCCTCAAGCTTTGCCCTCTTCCTCCAGTTGCCCTCTTTGGCTCCAACGAAGACCTTATGACTTGACAATTTCAGCGGCTCAACACTTTCCCCTCGATCGACTACACGCCTCGTCAAATCTCGTACATCAATTGGGCTGTGGGATTTGGGACAATTTTCGCGACTTTTCCCTTCAGCTCACTGTACAATCGCTATGGCGCGAAATGGCCCTTCTTCACGGCGGGGATTTTGTCCTCCATGGCCACGGCATTCATGCCTCAAGCCGCCGAATTCCATCTCTACGCAATGCTGGGACTGCGGTTTGTGCAGGTGGGAATGGGATTTTTTGGATATAGAAATTTGATTAGTCTGTCGGGGAAATCATGAGGACTATGTCGTTGCGCCAATTGATGCGTTGCAATTCATTTTCTCGGCACCGATGCGAGTTTTATCGAAGCGACAGATTGCACATTATTTTCCCGACAGACTGATATCAAGCATCGGTCTTTTACTCCGACAAATCCGCTTTATTTTCCCTGTGGAATTTTACTGTCAAGAGCTTTGACAAGAATGAAATCAGTTGTTTTAGGGGATCTCCTATGCAGCCGACTTTGCTGCCGTTGGAGTGCTATGTTCCAAATGGGCTTCGCTGAAACAGAACGGATTGTTCATCTCTGTTTTGACATTCTACTCGCCATTGTCATCGTTTTTCACCAATTCGTTTGGCGGAATGGTAAGATCTTTAGTTTGTATATGTACTTTGCCATATGATCTTACCCTGCCCCTTTATTCACCTGATTTAAGATTTATTTAAAATTTTAAATAAGGTTTATCTAAAAATCCCATTTCAGATCTGCGACTCCTCCTTCGGCTGGCCGATGGTGTTCTATGCGCATGCAATCGCCGGGATTATCATCTTCGCGCTGTGGGTCATCTTCTACAAGGACCGACCGCAACGGAGCATGCGCGTGTCTGCTATTGAGTTGGAGAAGATTCAGCGAGACAAAACGGCCGCTCAGATCTCCGGACACGGCACGATTCCGTACAGGGTAAGGCTGACATGGCTACAAGGCCGGGGTTTTGGTACTTCGAGGCCTCCGGGCCAGCCCCCGTCAAAGTAGATCTTTTCGGAAATTTTCGAAGCCCGGCATTGGGGATTTTTGAAGCCCGATCCGGCTCTGAGCATTTTCAGGCCCGGCCCCATACAGAATTTTTTTTTTGAATAATTTTGAATTTCGATTTTCCCGCCATTTTGGCAATTCTTTGGCATTGTGTTTTTGGGGTGTGTTATCGTTGCCAGAAACATTTAGAACAGCAAAATTTTTTTCGATCCTTATAGGGCCGCAAACAAGTCTTGTTGCATAATGCCAAGAACCCAAAATTAGCATATCAATTTTTCGTTTCAAAACAAAAAATTTGTTTACTGAACGGGACCTGGCCTAAAATTTTCAATCTCGAGCCCGAAGCCCGGCCTCAAAAGATAGGCTTGTTGGCCTAAGCCCGGCCCCAGAAAGCTCGGCCCGGCCCGGCTATTTTCCAAATTTTCTGAAGCCTGATCCAGGCTGGGTTGGGCTGGGCCCTGCCATATCTGTGATAGGATAATCACCCTATTTTTATAATGTAATCTCAACAAATTTCTTTTTAGGCCCTTCTCACCGACCCCGTAATCATCGCTGTGTGGCTGAACGCTTTCACCGACATTTTCTCCGCCAATTTCTTGGCCATCTACTCGCCATATTACATACGAAATGTTCTTCACTACAGTATTAAGAAGACGGGCCATTTTGCGGCACTCTCGCGAGTGGTTCAGATCCCATTCCGGCTGCTTTGCGGCTATCTGAGCGATAAGATCAAGTGAGTTTATAAGGGTCTATTTTAAAATACGTTGAAGAAAGTTTCGACTTTACAAAGTTAGAAGATAAAAGTATAAAAAAAGATTAAAATACGTCAGTCTTGACAATAAAAATCTTAAAATTCAAACTTATTTTTGTCTCTTTAGATTCATCAGCGAAGACAAGAAGCTGATAATTTTCAACACTGTGGCCGTGGCGTTGGCTGGCGTTTTCTACTTGTTGTTGGGCCTGGTGCCGACAGACGCTCCGTTCTGGGGAATCGCGTTGTTCTCGTTGATCAACCTGGTCATTGGCGCTTCGCCGGGCGGCTTTTACAAGTGTGGAGTTCTTCATGGAAGGTAGGAACTCAAAAATTTTTAATTTTTTTTATTTTTTTTTCTTGCACTTTTGTTCTCTGTCTTCGGAAGACAGAAGTCTGATTTCTGATGTAATGTGTAAACGTTGTTGCAGACAATACAGTCATTTCATCATCGCGAACTGTCAATTCATCAAGTGCATCACGCTGTTCTTGGGACCTGCAATGGTTGCGTTCTTTGTGCGAGATGAAAGCAGCGCCTCTCAATGGTTCGACATCTTCTTGATCACTGGCGTTTCGCTGATCTTGGTAAGAACGAATTACAGAAAGGCTATGTAAAAAACGGTCTAAAAAATCTCAAAAATCGAAGGTTCATTTTATCAGTCTGTCGGGAAAATAATGAGCACTCTGTCGCATTGAAAATCGGGCCGCCAAAAAAATAAAAAAAAATGCGTCGCGGCAAAATCATTTTTCTTTTTTTTCAGCGACGCGATTGGCGCAGCAAGTTAGTGCTCAATATTTTTCCGACAGACCGATAGAATTTGCATAAATTTTCATGAAATTCATGACATTTTTTCTCTTTCGCTGCATTTTGAACCTTTTCCCACGCTCGTCGCTAACGCACAGTGCGCCTTTTCTTTTCGCACAGTGCATAAATTCAAAAAATAGTCGTTTGCACTGTGCAAATTTCTGGTCTCGTCGCAGCGACATTGTCGAAATTTGCCTGTGTCGCAGCGATATTTCAAATGCACAGTGCGAAAAACAAGAAAAAATGAGAAATTCACAGTGCAAAATGGGGTGTTTTTTGTGCACGGTGCGGGACGCGAAAAATGTCCATGCACTTTATGAAAATAAATATTATAAAAAAATAGTACTACTAGTCCTTCTGGAAAGTCGCTAGACTGAAATCGGCGACACGTACTGTGCGAAACAAAAGTTTTCTTTGCACTTTGCAATTTCTTGCTTTTTGCACTGTGCAATCAGCTTTTTTCGGGTGTCGCTTGCACCCTGACTTTTTTCTTACAGTGCAAACGCCAAAAATCACCCCAGCGACTTTGTAAACAGACTAGTATGAAAAATTGACTTTTTCAGTCCCATCTAATCTTCTGCAAATTCGCCACCGTCGAGCCCGCCTACTACACCTTCGAAGACAACACGTTGCCGAAGAAGGAACAGATCATGACAAAAGACCTTGAGAAAGTGATGGCTCTCGACGTGAAGCACGATGACAGCGATCGAAACAGCGACTCCGGAATCAGCTCCAGCGATGTTGAGGAGGCAAAGGCGGAAAAGAAGGGAAAACCCGAAGTTTAATAATGCAATTTTAAACCTTCCTAGTTATTTGTACATATCATGTTGTAAATAAATTATGGCCGAGTTTACGAGGGGTTTAGTGAAGGGAATGTGATCAAGGTACACTTCAGGAATGATTACTGCAAGGTAAAAGAAAAAAACGCATATAAAAAGTTGAATATGACGGACTTTATTGAAAAAGCAGACATGCAAACTGGACTTTAGTTCACAAGGAACGTCCCCCAAGTGCGACGCTCAGATTTTGTTAAAATGTGGGCCAAACTTAGGCTAATTTTTTTTGTAGACTTATCCTAGGCACCTAGCTCGCGGTTGGCAGGAATGACCGAGGTTTTTATATCAAACGGTGACAAAAATCTTGGAATGAAAAGTTGCAACCGCAATGTTTATCGGTCTGTCGGGAAAATAACGGCGGATTGCCGCAGCAAAATGTCTCGCCTCGCCGCAATCGCGCACCAAATCCCCAGCCGCGGCTTCTGTCGCAGAGCGATGATGGGCGATTCCAAGGCGCGACGACCGCCGTTATTTTCCCGACAGACCGATAAACGTTGCCTTCTGCGGTTGGAACTTTTCATTACAACAGTTTTCCACCGCTCGATCTATCAGTCTGTCGGAAAAATAACGGCGGATCGTCGCGCCTCGGAATCGCCCATCATCGCTTTGCGACTGCAAGCCGCGGCTGGGGATTTGGTGCGCGACAGCGGCGAGGCGAGACATTTTTCTGCAACGGTCCGCCGTTATTTTTCCGACAGACTGATAAAAACCTTGATCATTTCTGTCAAGCGCGAGCTAGTGCCTCGGATAAGTCTAGAAAAAATTAGCCTAAATTTTGGCCCCCGTGATACATAAAAAAAATTTTTGCGCAAAACTGACAGAGATCTGACCAAAAAGTGTTTTTCTTGCTAAACGTACTCTGCGTTTCTTTCAGTCACAAAGATTAGTGAAGTTCCCGGCTTTTTGGAAACATGACATTGAGAACTTTAAAAAACGGGCTGCGACTATTTTTCACTGGGCCCCGAGGTTCCAAAGCCCTGCACAATTGTCACGTCTTCGCAAAATCCGAGCTAAAACTTTCAAGTAATGATCGAACGGCTGCTCAAGAATAAAAACAACAACATTCTATCAGTCTGTCGAGAAAATAATGACCACTCTTTCGCATCCAAAATCGGATCGCCGCTGAGAAAATGAATTGTGTTGCGGCAAAATCAATTTGTTTTTCTCTTCAGCGATAAGATGGGCGCAGCGACATTGTGCTCATTATTTTCCCGACAGACTGATAAGCAAATCTGAAAAAAATGCAAAAATCACTCAGTAAAATTGTAAGAATACCTAGCCAATGCCCCTCTAAAAAAACTCATCGCAAACCGAGCCATCACATACCACAACCAATGCCCCGAGACATGCCCCGCGGCGGGGGCCTCAACTCGCACCCAGCGGCCGCGAAACCCATGTCAACTTTACAATCATGTTTGACGGCGACTTGACGGAAAAGGTGAGCCTTTTTTTCGTGGGAACTTCCATCCAATAATTTCGATTTTCGTGTATCTTTGCGCTCCCTTTTTTCCTCTCAAACTCAATTTCCGCTGATGTTCGATGATTGCCTTGTTGTTCACGCGCTCTGATCTCTCAGCGTTGGAGTTGTGGAGGTGCGAATTGAGGAGTGAAAGTGGTCGTCGGTAGCTGGGAGAATTTTTTTGTTTGATAATTTTTTATCCAATTTTTACACTGACAAGCTTCCGATTTTAACCACAACCCATGAATTTGTTGATTTATGGTTTTGCGAACTGATGAGAGTAAATTTGAAGGCGCGCTTCTAACAATTAAGATTATTTTTGCCCGGTTATGGAAGTTTTGCCGAAAAAGGACAGTGTTTTTTCTGTTTTTATCAGTCTGTCGGGAAAATAACGAGGACAATGTCGCTGCGCCGATCGCGCCGCTCAAGTGAAAAGAACCTTTATCTTGCCCCGACACAATTCATTTTCTCGATGGTGATGCGATTTTCGATGCGACAGAATGCTCATTATTTTCCCGACAGACTGATAAAATGAACTTTCGAATTTTGAGATTTTGTAGACCGTTTTTTACATAACCTTTCTGTAATTCGTTCTTACCAAAGTCAGCGAAGCGCCGGTGATCAAGAAGATCGATTTTTGATGAGACAGAAGCTCATTATTTTCCCGACAGACTTTTTTTCCGTTCGCAATGCCGCTCGGTTGATTTTGGCGACATTCACAGCGCCAATAAGAAAAAGTGAATCTTGCACTGTGCAATTCCTTGTTTTTTGCACCGTTAGGCTTTTTTGAGACTGAAATTCAGACTGAATTTTTTCACAGTGAAAACGCCTTCAGCGAGTTTACCAACAGACTGCTTAACACATTATTTTTGATCTTCAATTTGCAGGTAGTATGCCAAAGAATGAGTTGGAAGCAACCGAACAAAATGGCAAACTCTTGGCCGATCCGGTGGGCTTTTATGACCAGCCTAGTGCAAGGTACGTTTTTTTATAGTTTACATACATGACCTATTCTCAGTTTATAAAACTAGGCAAAAATTTAGAAATTTCTTTTGATATATTAGGTTGTCCAACAATTAATGTCGTTTTCGAGAGGGACAGTTTCCAAAGTCTATAAAAATACTATAAGCGAGGCTTTTGGCTCGGGCTTTGACGAAACGATCAAGATATTTCAGTTGAAAATTTTAAAAAATGTGACGCTTTTTTTGCAAATCTTGGCATGAAAAGTTCCGTTCCTATTTCTACCGTTGGGGGTGTTGCATCCAGAAAATTTGTTTTCTGCACGAAACTGGCATTGATATGGCAAAAAAAATTTTTCTCTGTGGCGCTGTCCGGAATTGGCAGTCTCGCGGCCAAAAGGATTGTCGAATATCTGGGCTGCCCATGGAAAACGCAAGCTAAGACTTTCAGGAATTGACTGTGGGCTATGGCTAAAATGTTCCACAGCCCGGGCCGGCCCGAGGTTCGCAGCTATTCTTAATCTGCTCAAAAATTCTGAACAGTGTGGGCAGGCGCTAAACAAGTCCGATATCATCTTTCCAGCTCTCTTTATAGCCATTTCTTACGAGGGAATGGTCTGAACTTCCCCCAGCGTTTGGGAACATGACTAGTACAGGTGGATGGAGCATGTCAACTTTGGTAAAAAGAGCCATTTTCCAGCTGCGGAATAAGCCCAGCCGACGAGAAAAATCGACCGAAAGTTCCACAAAAATTTCTCTTTCTCTTCCCTCGGAAAAGAAGAGCGGTGTCCAGTGGTTCGGTTAGCCGAGTGGATAAAGCGTCCGCTCGATATTCTTTTGGGGGTTGGTTCGATTCCGGGGTCTCGCGAAGGACCGTGATAAGGCTTTGATGAGTAAGATCAAACTCTAGCAACCCAGAAAAAATTATTTTGCCTTTTTCAAAGTCAAGTCTATCACCAAACAAGTATAACTTCGACGTTCCATCGCTTTGAAGGTTCGGAAGCACTCCAAAAAATTCATTTTTTGACGATTATATGTTTGGTATAATTCCCCTATAAAACGTATAAAAATGGCAAAATATTTTTTTGGGTTGTTAGAGTTTGATCTTGCTCATCAAAGCCTTATCATGGTCCCTCGCGAGACCCCGGAATCGAACCAACCCCCAAAAGAATACCGAGCGGATGCTTTATCCACTCGGCTAACCGAACCACTGGACACCGCTCTTCTTTTCCGAGGGAAGAGAAAGAGGAAATTTTTGTGGAACTTTTCGGCTTTCGGTCGATTTTTCTCGTCGGCCGGGCTTATTCCGCAGCTGGAAAATGGCTCTTTTTACCAAAGTTGACATGCTCTATCCACCTGTACTAGTCATTTTCCCAAACGCTGGGGGAAGTTCAGACCATTCCCTCGTTAGTATAAGATATCTCGTATTAGCTATTCGTAAAAAGGTTAGCAGCAAAACATTGCAAACACAAATCTTTTTTGGGAGATATGGCCGTATTTATACGCCAAGTAGAAGTCCAAACAATTATTTCTGCAAACTGTTTGTGACTACCGATAATGTTTAGTGCGGTGACATTGGGAAGAAGGCGGAAAGCCCGGCTACGCGAGACCACAACGCAATTCATTCAAAGACATTGGACGAATTTCCTGCATTTCTTGGTGGAGGACTGGTTCATCTCGGCAATGTTGGGATTCATCACCGCGACTTTGTCAATTCTAGTGGACGTCATCTACGAGTACTTGAAACATTGTAAGTAAAAATATATTGAGAGAATATGTATCAGAAGATGTGGTCGAGCACTCCCTTTTTTCATTTTTATAAATTTTTCCACCGTATAAGACGTCACATCCTATTTCTTAAAATATTTTTCAAAATGAGGGAGAGTGTTCGAAAAGGGACTGTACAATCAAGGGAAGTGTTCAAAGGACAGAACTTTTCTCCCGTGGGGCTTTTAAAAAAGAGGAGTCGCCAAGACGGACTGTTTACCACGGGAGAGGGTTCAAAAAGCGGCATTGTTCACGCCGGAGGGAGAGTTCAGAAAGGGGACTGATCACCCTGAGGGAGAGCTTGGAAAAGGGACTTTTCCCAGAGCTAATGCTCGAAAAGGGGGACTGTTTATGCAGAAGTGAGAGTTCAGGAAAAGGGGACTGTTCACTCTCGGTGAGAGTTCAAAAATAGGGACGGTTCACCTAACTAGGGAAGTGTACAAACGAACCCTCACCAAATGGCAAGTGTTATACACCATTGGAAAGCCCTTGAAAAATGATGAAACGTACCATTTTCATTTTTTGCAGAATGCCTCAGGGCAAAAAATTATAAACGGTTGATTTGTCCCTTAAGTAGTTACAATATCGGCTGTGGGGCAAAATAAATCTTATTTTAAAACGCTAAATGGTAAATATTGCTACTAGGTTGGCCTAAAAATCATTATGAAGTTTGGCGATTGCCAGTAAAACCATTTTACATATGATATTTACGGTTTTATTGCGAGGTTTTTATTGCGAAATGACCTAAAAATAATGAAATTTACAGTATGTTGTCGCGGAAAGGCATTCTGCAAAAAATGAAAATGGTATCTTGCACCATTTTTCAAGGGCTTTCCAATGGTGTATATCACTTGCCATTTGGTGAGGGTTCGTTTGTACACTTCCCTAGTAAGGGGAGAGTTCAGAAAGAGGGAGTGTCCTGTCTCTAGGACAGCATAAAAAAAGGTACTGTTCCCCAGAGGCAGCGTCCGAAAAGGGCGCCTTTTTATGCAGGAGAGAAAGTTCAGAAAAGGGGACTGTTCACCTAGAGCTGGGTGTTCAAAAGGGACACTGTTCACCTAAGGAAGGAGCGTTCAAAAGCGGTATTCAGACTCAAATTAATATCCGTTCCAGACAAAGTGGTCCTCTACGACAGCGCGATCAAAGTGGACTACGTCCTCGGCTTCACGTCATGGGTCATGTACATGGTCCTCTTCGTGGGCGCCGGCGCAATTTGTTGCAAATATATCTCAAAACAGGCGATGGGAAGCGGAATCCCCGAGCTGAAGGTGATCATGAATGGATTCGTCCTGCCAAACTACTTGACCCTGCCGACGTTGGTGGCCAAAATGTTGAGCTTGATCGCGATCTTGGGCTGCGGTATGCCCATGGGAAAAGAGGGACCGTTCGTGCACATGGGTGCAATCATTGCGAATTTGTTGAGCAAAATCACCAGTTCATTCCGACATAATGCGTTCTATGCAAACGAAGGGAGGCATATGGAGCTTCTGTCCAGAGGCTGCGCTGTGGTAGGTATTAATAGTACGCGATGCCGCCAAAAAAGTTCTACGGACTTTATGGCGCGACTAGTAGCAGTCAATAAAAAAATGAGGTTATAAACCGCCACTTACTGTTTAATTTAAGGGAATTGCTTGCACATTCTCCTCTCCAGCTGGCGCCGTTTTGTATGGTATCGAATCGACTCACAAGTATTTCTCGGTGAAGTCGTATTGGCCATCATTCTTCGCCACAACCTGTGCTTCGCTTCTTTTCCGATTTGCAACACATTTGATTATCCCTCGAAACATTGCGGCGGCCATTACGGCGTATTATCAGACCAACTTTCCAACCGAATTATTCGTCGCCGAAGAAGTGCCGGTATTTGTATTTGTTGGGTATGTTGTAGATATCATCAAAACTGTCGTATTTTAGAGTACTCAGTGGCTTGATGGGAGCTCTATTCCTCGTGGTCTACAAGCGGTTCCACACGATTGTAAAGACGAACAAAAACTTTTTGATGGTCTTTGGGAAGTCGTAAGTAAATTGTAAACCATTAACCTAACAATAAGCAAAAAAATGTCCATGCACTTGATAAAAAAAATACTGATGTTTTAGCGGTGTTGGCTACACGATTTTGGCGGCCTTCTTCATTGCCGTGATGACTTTTCCGGACGGGCTTGGCCGTTTCTTCCATGGCCGTTACACCTTCCAAGAGACATTGCGTGACCTGCTCAGCAACTGCAGCATGGTCATACGGAACGGGTCCACGAGTTGTGGAGATGATATGATCAAGAGATGGACGGTTGACTCGGCTGTTGGGACGTCGGACATCTTCCTTGGGTTGTTGAGATACTTTTTAATCATGGTAGGATAGTAGCTGCATAGCTAATAGTTTGTCGGGGAAATAATGAGCACTCTGTCGCATTGGAAATCGCATTGACGCTGAGAAAAATAAATTGTGTCGAGGCAAGGTAAAATTGCTTTTCACTTCAGCGACACAGTTGGCACAGCGACATTGTGCTCATTATTTTCCTGACAGACTTATAGTACTATGTTCAATTTCAGTTCGTCTTTGTCCCACTGTGCCTCACGTTGAGTGTGCCGTCCGGAATCTTCATCCCAGCGTTCGTCAACGGCGCAGTTGGCGGGCGAATGCTTGGCGAGTTGATGGCGCTGATCTTCCCGAACGGAATCCGAGGTCCGGACGGTCCACAAATCTATCCAGGTCTATATGCGGTAGTCGGTAAGGCAAACAACTCTCTTACTAAAAACTTCTTTTTTTCCAGGCGCAGCCGCTTATACTGGCGCTGTGACGCACTCGCTATCTATCGCTGTGATTGTCTGTGAAACAACTGGGCAACTGGGGCCGCTGCTGCCGGTTTTGGTAGGCGAAAAATAAGCTGGTGTAGAAAGTAACGTTAATCCAAACTTTAGATCGCGTTGATGATTGGAAATGCTATCTCCAGCTTCTTGCAGCCGAGTATTTATGAAGTCATCATCATGTTGAAAAAATACCCGCATTTGGTGGACCTTCCGCCTTCGAGAAAAAGGTAAATTGACACTCCCATGCATAATATCATAAACCTCTGTTGTAGTGTCTACACAGTGAAGGTCGAACAAATCATGGTCAGAGACGTCGTATATATCAGTAAAAACACAACTTACAAAGAACTCCGAGAGCTGCTGATATCCACGCCGCAGTTAAGATCATATCCTTTAGTTACCAATGACGGTAAGATGACAAAAAAAAACTCCAGTTTACAATCGTTTTAGGTGAGCGGATTCTGCTCGGTTCAGTGGCTCGTCGCTATTTGAACCTGCTTGTCACGATCCATCTTGGTCATGATCCAGCGCTATACGCCAAAAAGCGCAGCATGACGAATATTCCAATGCAGATCCGCAATAGCTTTGTTGGTGGGCACTTACTGGGGCATACTTTGTTGTCCAGTAGCCCGTTGCATGATGGGAAAGGTAGGGTGACTAAAGTCGACAAAATTTTGCAGAGCTTACCGTAAAAAACACGCCGCTACGTCCCAATAGGTCCGACCCTAATTTCGCAGTTGTAAGTTTGCTTCAAAAAGTCTATAAACACTTCATCTAGGGTGATAAGGCGTTAATGGAGCATGCCTCAACGCTAGAGCAGCCCATTGACATCGACTCACTAGCTATTGACTCAGCACCCTTCCAGCTCGTACTGGGAACAAGCCTCTACAAAGTGCATCAGCTCTTCTCATTGTTGGCCCTGAATCACGCCTATGTCACACACCGAGGGCGATTAGTTGGGGTGGTTGCGCTGCGAGAGGTAACACGGACGCTTCAAATATGTATATCATAAATTTCCTTTCAGCTCCGTCTCGCCTTGGCTGACATCTACATGAAAGGGGTCACGTTAAACGATGAGTTCGAAGACGACGAAGCGGACAATTACATTCCCGAAATTGATGACGCCGAAGTAATAAGGGGAGACCAGCCCACATTTGTTCTACCGGAATCCCCGACGTCCGCTCAAGACGATGACGGCTCGGGGATCTCCATCTCCGCTTCGACGGCCAGACGGACAAGTGGAAGTCAGGAGGATGTGAATTCGGGGAGCGAAACCTCCAAACATGGGCATAACGATACTCCATAACCCAGGAGAACACACTATTTATTTTCCCAGTTCATAGTATAAATCCCGGTTTAAAAAATATAATAAAGTAATACCGACCTTTATATCAACAATACAGGGTGTCCAGAGAAATGTGCCGGAAAGTTTTTGTCGATTTCTTGGCGCTCAATCAAGATATCCGTAAAATTCTTTTTGCAGGATAAAGAAGAATTTGGACGGTTTTTTGTCCGAAAGAATCATTTTTTCCGCCAGCGCGGAAAGTAGTGTATTCGGCGGAGACTTTTGATAGCTTTTTTGGCATCACACCAATTTTAAACGCTTTATTATGATGCTGAAACTTCCGGAAAGTCTTCAAATTTTTGACGCAATAAATCACGCAGACAGGGACATCGCAATGCGATCCCCTATAGCGACTGCACGGTGCAGCCTGTCGCTGCAACACCGATAAAGTTCGAATGCACCGTGCGGAGGTTTGAAACAGCAAGGCAAAAGGAAATTTGAACAAAAAATATTTTGTTGTTTTCTGGTGCACCAAGCGGTTTTCCGATGGCTTAGCTTCTGCCAAATCTTGGTGACAAAATTTTCGAAGGCATACGAAGCCAGCAGGATGTTCTAGCCAGGCCATAAAAATTGTGTTGGACCATGTCTTGTCCGCAGCTGAGTCATGGCCTCCGCCGATTCGGCGAGCGTCCGCCATACCTTTGCCGAACGCTTGGTAAACATGAAAATATGCAAATATCTTTGTTTCAACCATCAAAGTTCATAATAAAGCGTTTAAAGTTGGTGCGATGATCAAAAAAGCGATCAAAAGTCTCCGCCGAATACACTGCCTTCCGCGCTGGGGGAGAAAATGATTCTTGTGCACAAAAAACCGCCCATATTCTTCTTTATCCTGCAAAAAGAATTTTTCGGATATCTTGATTGAGCGCCAAGAAATCGACAAAAACTTTCCGGCACATTTCTCTGGACACCCTGTACTATCAGTCTTTCGGGAAGATAATGAGGACTCTGTCGCATAAAAAATCGCATTGCCGCAGGGAACAGGAGCTGTGTCGCTGCCGAATTAATAACTGAAGACATATAATTTTATAAGACAATAGTCCGCTTCACTGCCAAAAAAACCACATTTTCTCCTTCGATTTGAACGAAATTTTGTTTGCTCAGTCGTCAACTCGCCTTTTTATCAATCATCTTTCAACGTTCAAAGTTGAAGTGTTGTAAACTGTGAACGTTCAAGACGAAAAATCAAAACTGAGTCAGCTGAACAAAGAGGCTTGCCTTGAAGCGAAACTTATCAATCAAAACAAATTAAAATCACTTTATCGCTGCATGCGGACTGGCCGTCTTCAGGTTGTATTTCGTTTTGTTGACATTACGTACAGTTGGCTAACAGTTATTTGTCTTCCGGACTTCAAATATGGAAAAGACGGAAGGATCAGAGATGTTGGCCAATTCAGGGGGTTATGAGAAGCAAAGAGACGTTATGGAGAGGTAAAGAATTTATGTTGATAATACAGGGTGATTCCAAAAATGTGGAGTTAAATAATTGCTCATTTCTGGACCGTGGGTCATCAGAGAAGCTCAATAACATCAGTCTCCGACAGACTAAAACCTTTCTCCACATTTCTTGAAACACCCTAATAGCCTGTAGATTGCTATATAACAAGCCTATAGATAGGTATACAGCAACTCTTATAGTACTAGCATGCTCAGCGACCATGATCCAGACAATGAAACGTTTTTCCGACGACACCGAAGTAACTTAATCCATTTTCTGGTGGAGGACTGGTTTATCTCGGCGATGCTCGGCATAATCACTGCCATTTTGTCCATACTGGTGGACATTGGATACGAATACCTTAATCACTGTACGCAATACTCGCGTTATCCCATCTTTTAGCAAAAGTAATCATCTATGACCTCGCGATGGACATCAGTTACATTGTTGGCTATGGCGCGTGGAGTTTGTACACAATGTCGCTAGTTTTGTGTGCTGCCATGATGTGCAAATATATTTCGAGACAAGCCATTGGAAGCGGCATACCCGAGGTGAAAGTGATCATGAATGGATTCATGCTTCAAAATTACTTGACGTTCAAGACGTTGATGACCAAGATCTTCGGATTAACATTGACGTTGGGAAGTGGACTACCGCTCGGGAAAGAAGGGCCATTTGTGCACATGGGCGCAATTGTTGCCACACTGCTCAGCAAAGCTACAAAAAGATTCCATCAAAACGCGTTCTACACAAATGAAGGGAGAGACGCCGAAATATTGTCAAGAGGCTGTGCTGTCGTGAGTGATGTTCTACTAAAATTCACCAGCGAAGTGCTCCGCGTGCGACGCTAAGATTTTGATGAAACTTTTTTCTCTCTCAGCGCTCTCGCCTTTCGCGCTTTCCATCGGCCGAAAATGTCGTTGAATATCTCGGCTGCAACTTCAAAGCGCGAGCTGAAACCTTCAAAAATTGATGTGCCCCTAATTCCGACTTGTGTGCAAAATTTTAACGAAACCTGAGCGTCGAACATTGAGCACTTCCCTTGTCAATAGCGTTTCTTTAGGGAATAGCCTGCACATTCTCTGCTCCAGCTGGCGCTGTCATGTATGCCATTGAATGCACCCATAAATACTTTGCTGTGACTTCGTATTGGCGATCCTTCTTTGCGGCGACATGTGCAGCGTTGCTTTTCCGTTTCGCAAATGGGGTTATCATTCCTCCAAATATGAGCGGATGCATCGTAGCCTATTATCAAACAAGCTTCCCGAATGAAGTGTTCGTGGTCGAAGAGGTTCCGGTCTTTGCGTTGATTGGGTAAGCATACAGACGAAAACTAGTGTAAACCATTTTTAGCCTGTTATGTGGCCTTCTTGGAGCAGCGTTCATCCTGCTTCACAAAACAGTGCATAAATTTGTTCATACAAACAAGTACTTCCAAAAGTGCTTCGGAACTGAGTAAGCATGTCATAAAGGACGCACATAATTTGGATTTTCAGTAAATTTGCATTTACCATCTTTGTCGCGTTTGTGGTTGCCTTCATAACATTTCCCGGCGGAATGGGAAAGTACGTCCACGGAAGATATACCTTTCATGAATCCCTCAGTGATCTCATCAGCAACTGCACTTGGAGTTTGTACGGGACGAACAACACACGGGCATGTGGACACGACTTGGTTTATAGGTGGAGCACGGATAAAACCCTACCATCTCCGGATTTCTTCCCAACTTTAGTAGGGTATTTAATGGTGATTGTAAGTTTCAATCGTTTGAAAAAACTTCCATCTCGTCAATAGTTTCTCACCGTTCCATTTTGCTTGACGTTGGCCGTTCCTAATGGAATTTTCATCCCTGCTTTCGTGTTGGGAGCCTGTGGCGGAAGAATTATCGGTGAAATTATGGTTCTCCTGTTTCCTGAAGGGATGCGAGGTCCAGGTGGCCCGCAGATATACCCCGGGTTATATGCGGTAGTTGGTAAGCAAAATATATTGAGAATACGCTTCACTTCAAGGTGCTGCGGCATACACTGGTGCTGTAACACACTCTTTATCGATTGCGGTAATTGTTTGCGAAACGACTGGACAGTTAAGCCCGCTATTACCAGTGCTGGTAAGTAGATAACGCCGCAATAATCTGTCTTGCTTTCCAGATAGCTTTGATGATAGCGAATGCAGTGGCCAGCTTCCTACAACCGAATATTTACGAAAGCATAATCATTTTGAAGAAATACCCTCATCTGGCAGAGTTACCGCCATCCAGAATAAGGTAATTATCAATCAATGCCTCTGTCAAAAAATTGCAGTGTACACACCCTAAAAGTTGAACAAATAATGGTAAAAGACATTGTTTATATCCACACAGGCATGACGTATCGCGAACTTCGAGAGATGTTGATTTCAACCCCGCAACTAAGATCATATCCACTGGTAAACAATGACGGTATGTCGTCAGATCCAGCAAAAACAGCTGATTTTTTAGATGACCGAATCCTTCTCGGGTCAGTCTCAAGAAAGTATCTAAACTTCATGCTAACCGTAAAAATAGGGGCCGACCCAACCCTATTGAAGAAAAGGCTGCTCAAGAGAAGCTCGTGCGGCAATATGTACAGTAACAATCTACTTTTGCAGAACATAACAACTGGATCCACTTTGCTTTCAAGTAGTCCCCTTCACGAGGCTAGACGTAAGCTTTATGTAACTCGAAACTTATTCGATTTTCCAGGTCAGAGTGTGAAGCACACCTTATACAGGTCACACAAGAGCAAGGACCTTGATTGCCTGGGAGTAAGTCGGCCAAAGTGATATGAATACATTTCGCACAGCTCAACAGCACCTGCGATCCCTACGAGAATCTAGAAAAGACAATCGACGTTAATTCGCTAGCCATCGATTCGGCACCGTTTCAATTAGTCCTTGGCACAAGCCTCTACAAAGTCCATACATTATTCTCTCTGCTCGGCCTCAATCATGCGTACGTCACAAACAGGGGTCGGTTGGTTGGCGTTGTGGCGTTACGAGAGGTAATGGAAAGTGCGAGACAGGGTCTAGTAGCCAAAAGTACTTTTTATTGCGTCGGGGAAACATTACAAATACAACCAATTACGTACCTCCCTCTCTGACAAAACGCTATATTTGTCAGGGAAGGAGGTATTTAGTAATATTCGGCATGCCTCGCGGATGCAATCAGAAGAACACCAAACCACTAGGTCCTGAATGAAATCAATAAATTTCAGTTACGTCTGGCCCTAGCTGACATCTACGTGAAGGGAGCAGTACCCTTGGATTGCTCCTCCAGCTCGATTAATCGCATCAATAACCATGTAGAGGACACAGATGACGCCGAAATTATGCGACCAACAGAAGGCTCTGCTGAAATTGAAAATACCTGCTAACTACCCCATTCAAAATTCGATTAGCGATCAAGACTAGCTAATTTACCATGCTGGCATAAAAATGCGTTGTATAAATCCTCATTTCAAAATAAATATTAAACAGTCATAAAATTAACAAAATCCTGTTTGGATCTATCTTTATTTATTCAACAATAACAACTGGGATATAACAAGGTAACAAAACATCGATTCGACATTTTCACGAATATAATTTCTTGTGAACAACAACTTTTCAAAAACATAACAAGAGTTTTTTATGAAGCAACAAAGATTCAGATAGAATCGATTTTAAACAAACGTTTCTCTCCAAAAAATCAGCTCAAAAAGTATAATATTGTCCAAGAAGACAAATGAGAAGACGGAAAAAATGGGGTTTAGCCAGTTTATGTTAGAAAAAACCAAATGTGAGCAACGATTTTAGACATCTTCCTCATCTGAATTTGGATTAAAGTCTGAGTCGTATTCCGAATCATCGTCTGGGTCCGGCCCTTCCCCATCCTCTTCATCGAGCGGGCCTTCGTCCTCCTCATCGCTTTGGTAGTCTTCGAAACCGGGTTGTTGGGCCAGATCTTCGAGCATTTCCTGGATTCCATCCTCCGTGTCATCGCTGATGCTGTCCTCCTGATCATCGTCGCTGCTGTCCGTGCTGGCGCTCGAATTGTCCGAATCGAAGGTTCCATTCGATGATGGGAAGATGCCATCCACATCATCGTCATCATCATCGTTATTATCGTCGTCATCGTCTTCGTTTCCATCTTCGCCGGTCGCGAACTCCACCGGCTTTCCGATCTCGTAGATTCGACAAATCGACGGCTCTTCGCTTGTCCTCGACTTCTCGATGGTGCAGATGTGTCGGTCAGCGTGATCGACGGCGAATCCGGCAATGTCGCGTTTCGTGTCGACGGTGGTTACAACATGGTAATCGAACGAGTCGATGACCCTGAAATTGGACTCATATGCCGAGAAGAATTGATCATCGCGGACCGGTTGCTCCTTCGCCGTCACGCTGAAGATGATATCACCGGTGTTGTTGAAGAAATAGTCGCATGCATCCAGGGCAACCACATGTTTCAGAAGGCCGTTGGTTCGAATGTCCCAGACCGAGCCCGAGATGATGACTTCATTCCCGTTCGGATGGAACTTCCCGCAATATTCGTTGGAGAACTTGTCAAACTTGTGGACAATTTCGTTTCGGCCGTTCGTGCGCACATCCCACAAAATTCCGTCGTTCAGGGCGAGGGTGTCGGTGTGGTTGAAGCAGGCCTTGTTCCGCAGCAGGCCTTGGTAACGATTGGCGGCTTCGGCGTTGTAGAGGGTGTTGATCAGCTCGCCAGTGTTCGTGTCGTATATCTGAAATGATGACGTTCACAATTTTGAAGCCAACAAAATCAGTAACAAAACCAAAAAAAAAAATCAAGGGAAATGTCCCAAGTGCGACGCTCAGATTTCGCTAAATTTTGAGCAAACCTGAATTGAACGCATGAATTAAAAAAAATTTTTTGCCAACTTACTACTTGAAAATTTCGACCGTCTCTGCAAAGCGCGATCTAGGAAATCTTGCATTTTTCTTCAAAGAAATTTATCTAGCACTGTAAAACCACATCACAATCTGAGCGCCACATTTCAAACCCTTTCCTTGTAAACGCCCCCCAAAAAGTTCCAACAACTCACATTAGCCGTATACATCTGCGTTCCAATGATTTTATCATTCGAAGTGTAGCCGAAGCTCATGTCCATATCATCCGCGAACGTGTGCAGTACGTCTTGAGTGTCGCCGGTTCTCCACAACGCCGACAATGGGGGGACATACACCGAGGAGGTCAGAAGCAAGGTTCCGTCCTTCGAATGTTGCACCGACGTGATGAAGGTGTTGTGGCATGAGGTGCTGGACTCGGAGCGCCCGGTCACCAGGCTCATCCAATGCACGTCGCCCGAGTAGGTGCCCAAGTGGATGAAGCTGTCGTCGTAGGAGAAGGCGCACGCGGTCAACGTCTCGCCCTCCATGTCGAACAGGTCCACGGGGCAGTAGTGGGAGAAGGCGAAGTTGCGGTTGGCGCGGTTGAACATGGTGTGGGAGTGGCGGTAGGGCATGGACTGGGAGTGGAAGTAGCGGTCCACAATGTTGATGGGGGCGCGGAAAAGGTCGCGGGGCTTCGGGCACCGATGAGGACTAAAAAAAAGCAAAGAAAAAAATTAAAATCAGCGTCCTCCACTACTTATAGGCATATAAAAACTAACTACAAAAAACTCACTAATAAAACGAAAATGGAGGACAAGTGACGACAGGTTGTTCGCAGTGAGCGTGCTGATTTCGAAAGTATTCCGTGACAATATCCGTCAAGGCCTTGTGTGGCTTCAACGGGACTTGTTTTTCAGTCATCGAGATGGCGTTTTCCATGTGCCGGTTCGAGAACGGGAGGGATTGTTGGGCCAGGAGAGACGACTTGTTGTGGGAGAAGCGTCGATTTGGGACCGACTGGTTGGCTGGGGTCGAGGGGGCGCCAAATTTGGAGACGACTTCTGAAATTTGGAAATTCATCAGTAAAAAAATTTTTTAATTTTTTTTTTATTTCGATATTTCACTTTCGTATTTTACCAACAAAACTTACTCCATTTCAGGTCATTTTCCACCGGGGTTCCGCGATTTTCTACAAAATAAAAAAATTATTTCAAATTAATCAAAAATAAACAAAAAATGATCTAAAAACCATCATGTCTCCCTTACTCTGCTTAGTTTTCTGGCTCAAACTTTTCCTCGACGGTTTTGCGGGGGTGGAGCATTTCGGTGACGCTTCTGACCTTGTGGTCAGCTCATCCGAGAATGGCAAAGATGGCACTGATTTCAGAGTGTCATCAGTTGGCGAGTTCGGTGATTCAAAAATGCTCTTCATGGGCTCTTTATTCTCCAGGCCGGCTAATCGGCGGGGCTGAAATTCATGACGTGATCTGTGAAGTTTCGGCATCATTTTTTATCAAATTTATCATGTGCCGAAAATCTTTTTTATTAGGAAAAGATAAGCCTCCGGATGTACTTTTCTTGGGATTTTCTGTGTCGTAAATTACAAAAACCGCAGGGAAAACGTCTGGAACATAATCCGTAAGGCAAATTAAGAACTTTACGATCGCTCTGCAGCTGCAAAAAAGAATTTTTTCATCCTCTAAAATCTACAAATTCCAGTAAAAATCTCATGTCCAATACTACATTTTTTTCTTCCCAAACTCCTCACTCACCTTAACCAAGCTTTTGGGGGTGGCCGCCGTGAACGCCGGCTCCAATCCCGCTTCGATTTGGAGCATTTGGGCTGATTGTTCGAATCCAGTCTGCATCAGATAGTCATGTATCAGTTGTTGAAGGCCAGTTTGTTCAAAATCGATTTTCGTTTGCTTGATCACCTTGGCTTTGACCATTTTCTCGTAGGTCAAGTCTTCTGCTGCTCCATCGAAATCGGTCTGATGTACTCGGCGGATCAGCTGGCGCGCTTCTTTCACGAAGTCGGCGTGTTCGGAGGCTCGATCTTGAAGAACGGGGCCTCGAGTTAGGGCTGAAAACAGCAAAGGTTACAACTGAGATCCCTGTAAAGCGATGGACAGGCAGTGGTCAAAAGCGCTTTCCGTTGCCTCTGGGAAGCATTCCGAATGTCTCCAAATACCTCCCCTTTGTGATTGAAAACAGCATTCTTCCGAAGGGAGAGCGAAAAAGTTGTCCTTTTGGAAAGAAATGAGAGGAAAGCGTTTGGGAATTACTAACTTTCCCTCTCTTTTCTTCTCAAAATGGCAACTTTCTCGCTCTCTCTTCAAAAGAATTCTGTTTTCAATCACAAAGGGGAGGTATTTGGAGACATTCGGAATGCTTCCCAGAGGCAACGGAAAACGCTTTTGGCCATTTTAATCCAGTGTAATGAAGTTTCAGAATTATCAAACCAAAAATTTCTTTCATCCCGTTCATCCCAACATCATCTTTCAGATTAATAAACCTAACTTACAAGCCAATTCATTATCCGCGATCAACGGGAGTTTGCTCAAAATCTGTCTGATCTTCTCCGATCTGGCCAGTCCATTCAAAGCCCGGCATGCAACTACGTGAATTGCGTCGGCGTCCGTGAACGGTTCGTCGATTTGAACATAGTGGATCAAAGTCTACAATTGTGAGATTAGCCGCCAAAACTGACAAGACAATAACCTTCCCCGAATTAAGGCCAGATCTCTGAAATAATAGCCCAACGGTCGAGGCAATTATCGCGTTTCATCCGGCGTTCTGTTCAGTTTGCGAAACAAACCCGCTCCCCTTTAAAAGTGCTAATCTCACGTCCCTTATACAATTAGTCAATCGGGGTTTCTTCGACGAATACATTATCTCTTCGTACCTTTGGGATAATACTCTTTCTGCATGCACTATTCCCTTTGTCTGGAGGTTCAAGACAAGGGGATAGTGTGACATGTAATCGATAGGACCTTGCGTTCTTGGGGTTTCGAACTTTTCTTTGCAACATAAATCTAGCATACATTTATGCTCTTACATTCCAAGGGGAAGTGCTCGACGTGTAAGGCTGAGATTTTGATAATGATTGGCGTAAATTTTTATCATGTTTTACATCATACAGTAGGGGACCTGATCCAGTGGCAAAGAACGTACCATTTTGCATCTGGGAAGTATCAAAAAATGTGGCAAAACGCCTACCTCTCCAAGTGAAAAAACTCAGGTTTCAAAAGTGCGCCCGCTCTTTTTCTGAAGCAGAGGGCGCGCCTTTCAAAACGAAGTTTTTTCACTTGGAGAGGGAAGCATTTTGCCACATTTTTGATACTTTCCGGATGCAAAATGGTACGTTCTTTGCCACTGGATCAAGTCCTCCACTGTAATTTTTTCATTGCAGAAACAACAGGGATTTTGAGGTCGAAAGACTTAAAAATCCGAAAGTTTCTCTTGGCTCTCTTCAAAGTAAAACACTATTTTCGAGCAGAAAAGGGATGCAAAAGGATGCATTTGAATACTTTTCATCTTTCCCATGACAGTACGCTCCATACCACCTCGGTTTTTTTTCAATCCCATTTGGGTTGTAAATTCCGTTATGGCTCATTTTTTATTCATTAGTATGACGTTTCCGGGAAGATTAAGCCGCCGATTTGCATAAATCGTCAGCCAAATCTTCTCCATGCCAACGTTTCGCCGAAATTACCAATTTTCTTTGAGGTGCTAATTCGGATACCTCCAAAATAACACCTCCACATTCTCAAGTATTAAGGGAACTCTTGTTTACATTTTCGGTATTACTTTACGTTAACGTTATCCGCGAGCGGTGGTGCGGCTTACTTTCCATCCCACGTCTTTGGAATCGGGGAAAATGTAATCTCGACGGGTTTAATATTTAATTACATTTGATTGCGACGTTTCGATGTTTACAAAATGTAGAAGACTTTTCCACTGTACGTAAAGTCCTAATCAATGTGTTAATTGGATTCTAAATTGGAGATTATTAGTCCAATTATCATCCCATAAAGCCGGGACGAATAAAGATATTTGTTTTCAAAATGTGTAAACATCGTTTTCCATACTTTTAGTGGGATTAGTGCCCATACCACATGTTCTTCGTATCGCGCTACCCATTGGATATTTCGGGATAGACTAATAAATTAACTTCCGATCTGTCAATTAGAAGGCCCAATTTTTGTGATTTACTCCTGATTAAAATTTAATTTACAGCTGATGAGAAAAAGTCAGATTTGATCTTCCTAATCGTGAGAAGATAACGTTAAATTAACAAGCAAGGGGCTTGAGATGCGCTCTAATTTTTTTGAAATTTCTCTTAAATTGGAGCCTATCCACATGGTAATTTCTAAATTTTTAGCTTATGCTTTTCACATTTTCCCTTGCAGGCGCGGAATATTCAGCGATTTTTTTATCACTTTACATACTCTATTTACAAAACAGAGTATGTAAAATAGCAAAAGAAACCTTAAAATCCTAGCGGGTTTTGCAAAGCGCGAGCAAAACATTTCTTTATCAAAATTTTAGTCCTTTATTTGCTCCCCCACCACGTGCCTCCGAACTATGACACTAAGAAAAACGCAAAACAAACAGCCTCTGCAATGATACCCAAAAAAACTTAATTGCATTTCTGTCGTATTCTGCTCTCTGTGCTTACTATTTTTGCTCTCCCCGAATAATACTTCACTTCTTGAACCTTTGAACAGATGCCCGTAACGTTCTCTGTTCCATTAGCTACATCTTACAGTTTTCCGCAAACGCCCTCCGTGGATATAATTTCCCAATTTAGTGCATTAAAAATTTTGCAGGTTATTTTGGGGGTCTTTGTTTCAAAAATACTTTTGAGCTTCGAATTATAGTTGTTGTAGGTGTAAAAGTGCCGCCCAGCGAGAGGCTTCAATTCGTAGAGTGGGGTTTCGAAAAGCAAAAGGATTAGCAGTGCAACTCGAAATGGGTGAGGGTGGGTACAACTCTGGGTGGCATTACCTCAAGCGGAGCATGATTAATCCTTAAATGACGTTTAGGATCTCATCGACTAATGCCGCTCTCTTCTCAGTCCATTTTTCGTAGTCTTGATTTCGGACCAAAGCCTCTTCTTGGATTGACTTTTACAGAGAGGAGGAATGACTGTTCTCCGCTTACCTCAAAGCCCTATTAGCCAAAATTATGGGCGCCTTCATTTTTTTAGGGATTTCTCGGGGGCTTATTGCCAAAACGGGAAATATTAGCCTTCATCGCACTCGTAAATCCCACGAACTTTTCATTTTCCGTGTGCATTGCGTCAACGTCTATTGTTCACCTATTTTAATTCGGCTGGAAATTCGAATACAAACAGCACTTTCGTGCCGGAAATCTAACTCGGTGCGATCAGTCTGTGGGGAAAATAATGAGCACAATGTCGCATCGAAAATCGCGTCGCTGCCGAGAAAATGAATTTTGTCGCGGCAAACCCAAATTCTCTTTCGCTTCAGCGGCGTGATTCTCGCAGCGACATTGTGCCCATAATTTTCCCGACAGACTGATAACTGGATCAAATTTTAATCGATTTCACGATAGTTTTCCGGAACCCGATATTAAATTCGAGCCTTGGCCTAATAGGATGTGTTAGACATCTTGTCAATTCCGCTTGTTATGGCGTACTGTCCAGGTAATCCGTAAATCGAGGCCAAAATTTGGCTTCGTCACCGGCCCTCCTACCCAATTTTCGAGACAAAGGTAGGGTAAAAAAGAGACATCCATTACACCCCGTTAATGCCTTGTGGTTAAGACCTTGTTTCGATCCTCGATGTCAATAAAATTAACATTTGAGTGGGTGTTCCGCAAAGCCTTTGAAAATGGAATCTGTGAGTTCAATATTCGGAAGGAGCAAGCGCGATTAAAGTGTGAGCCGTGTGAGAATTCCTCCTGTTTTCAAATAACCTTGTAATCGAAAGGTCGTGGGCAACTAATGTCTAGCTTTTTGGCTTATTACTCACGGAAAAATCTTGGATTACAAGTCTGCGTCTGCGTAAGGCGATGATTTCCCTGTATTATCATTCGTAGCGCGCTTTTGTTACACAAGCAAAATAAGGATCTTAAATCAAGCGTGAATCCCTTGGCCTCCATTTTTAGTCAAAGTAATCGAAAATGCCTTTTTCTCGAGGGTTCTTCGTTTTATTGTTCGATGAAAACGGGTTTGTAAAACTTTGCAGGTGCCCTTTCTCCCTCACCAGCATGGACTCTGCGAATGGGTCAGAATTAGTCCTTTGCCGGCGGCAAACATTTAATTAATCAACGGCGATAAAACATCATAGATGCTAACAAGTCCTACTGCCAATCATACAGTCCCGGACAGGACCATATGACAAAAACTCATCCAATTGCGTTCTGGATGCAGTAAATTGAATCCCTTTGCATCCCTGCTCTGACCGAAAACGCTGTTTTCCTTTGAAGAGAACCAAGAGGAGCCGTTCTCGGTCAGAGAAGGGATGCAAAAGGATGGAATTTACTGCATCCAGGACGCAATTGGATGCGTTTTTGTCATATTGTCCTGTCCGGGACTGTATGATTGGCAGTGGGACATGTTAGCATCTATGATGTTTTATCGCCGTTGATTAATTAAATGTTTGCCGCCGGCAAAGGACTAATTCTGACCCATTCGGAGAGTCCATTGGGTGAAGAAGAAAGGACAAACGTCTTGTCCTTTATTTTTTGTTGATAGCCATGACAGACTTTCTAATCGCACAGCGCTTCCGTCTGTTTTCCAGCAGGGAGGCCTACGACTTCTACTCGAATCAGAGCGGAGATTAAGATAGCCCGAACGACGGAGTGAAAAAGTAAATTAAATGTGCGATTAGTGGGATGGGTTTTTTAGTCCTCTCGATGGGATTGCGGGGCCTCTATACCCAGTTTCATATGCGCTTTGCCGGATTTTCGTTGTTAGCCCTGTTTCAAGGCCGCATAAGCAATACAGCTGGAGTTATGGGATGATAACGTTTTTTTTGCCTTTCTTATGACAATCTTTGACATCTTGTGTCCTATTATTTTGCACTATCATAGAGCTCATATCCGTAGTCTTATTATTATTTCTTTACAGGACTGTAGGATCCAACCGACAAATTTTTTTGTCGCAAGACATTTCTCGAAATCCCGGTGAAACCTACCATAAGTGCGTTGTTCTCCTGGGCCGCGTCCCAAGCCTTTTGCATCACATTTTCGATCTTGTGTTCGCTTTCGTGGAAGCTGAGGACCGGCTTCGATTTCTTCGTTGACGTTTCATTCGAATTCAGTGACGTCAGTGAGGTCGATGGGCCCAAAGATTCCATATCGGCGCCGCAGAAGCAGTTGGCCAACACTTGAAGGGCCAATTTGACTTGCTGCGCGTCCTCCATTGGGTCGGCATCGATGAGTTCCAGAAGGACTCTGAAATAGAAAAAATTATCCAGCAAATCCGTTTTTCTCGTAATTCATCGCACAAAATCCGTGTTTTCCATCCGCTTAAGCCTGTTTTACTGTTTATCATCCCGATTATTTGCAAGTATCAAACTTGCTGCACTCCCACTCGATATTAACTGTAAATGCATAATCACTTCCCCATTTCAGACTAATCGTGGCCCCGTAACCGCCCCGAGTTTTAGCTAGCCACGGTGCCTAGGCCAGTCCGGCTGGAGTCCTAGATGGCTCCATTCTACGAGCCGGGCAATGGTCATTACGACCCGCCGGTGCAGGCAGCGCAAGTCGCGTCCGCCAGTCTGGTACAGTCTCCCTCGGCCGGTATCTTGCAATACGAAGAGAGTGCTCCTTCTGAGGTGAGTGTGTGTAAAACGACTCCTGACATTTCTATTATTACCGCCGTCGGCGCTTGAAGGCTATGACAGCGGTAAACAAGTTCCTGCTTCTATTAGGGTGAAAAACGGAGCGGCGGCGACCCAGGTTCATTTATTAACTTCTCGGAAAATTCCGCGGTCCAAGACATCATTTTTTGATGGAATAAGACATGCGTATTCTCCGTCTACGACGGAAAAAATAAGGAAAGCTAGGTGAATATTTCACCGCGCACATGAAGAAAGGCTAACATTTCCGCTGAAGGGCTGGGGTAAACAAACATTCTTTGTTGTTCGTTTATTCGACTAGAATAATCCGCAAATCTGCCAAACGCAACTTTGTAGGCGTGAAAATTTGTACACACTAGTTAGGCGAAAATTTAACGTGCCGATTTCAAGAAAAAGAAGCCGGTTTACTATTTCTATTCGTATTTTGACGGAAGCAAAACGTGCACGATGTGGTTTCCCGAGAAAAAACGCTAATTTCCTGCTTAAGCAAGGCTGTACGCTTGTTTCATTTTAGGTTGTGAATGTGCAGGACAACTATTACATCAATTCGGACGCATATCAAGGGGACTCGATGGAGGATGCGAGCGTGATGACCGAGTTTGAGGAGATGTTAATAAAGGTATGACTGCTTCGAGATAATCCCTCTTTTGGTTGCACTTGGTGGTTTAACACTCTCAGTTTCTCAGCACAAAGAAACGTACTAAACGTATAAATTTTAGGTCAGCTTCTTGGCCGGCTATGTGTACATGTTGTTGGCAGTCACGGGTATTATTCTCAACGCATACGTAATCTCCAGATTAATACAACTCGCAATAAACGACTATGTAAGTTTTGATTTCAGATTTAATGAATATTAAATAAGTCAATCTTTTCTGCAGGCTTTGATACTATGAATCCCACGTTTATCTTGTCCCCTCGATAAACAATTAAAAAGATTAATCCATATGTTTTACGGACAAAGGGGGGATAATGGGAATTCTTTGAAAAATAAAATCCCACGCTTTAGGAACTGCTTATACCAGAATTTTACACGACGAAATATATTGCTCCAACCATTTTTAGGAGCGTTTCAAACATGGCTGCGGACTGCCGTTGGCCGCAATGTCAATGTCCGACCTGTGGTCGTTGGTGTCGATTATTGCGGCCGTAGTGCTTAGCGGGTTTTTACCGCCTTCGGTGCTGTCGGCGTCTGCTCATTCGGCGCATTGCAAGATTACCATTTACCTCATACACACATTGACTGGGTTCAGCACATGGTGCTGGCTGTTTATTTCGGCTTTACGGTACATTGCGGTCTACCATCCCCTATGGCATATCAAAGGGAGTGCGCTGGACATCCGAACAGTGCTTTTAATGTTACTGTTCGGCCTACTGATCAACTGTTGGCTTCCAATGGTGGTGGTTTCGTCGCCCGAATCCGGCACCTGCGAAGAGCAACCGCTCAGTCTGGGTGCGGATTGGAACCGATTCCTCCACGGGATAGAGCTGTTTTGGTCGTACATTCTGCCCGCCGTCCTTACACTGGCGTTGGACGTGCGAGTGATATTCGTCCGACCACCCAGCTTCTCCAAAATGGCCCAAAAAAGACGCAAGGATTTTGCATCGAGAAAAACGCCGCTTCCATTAAGACAAACACTGAGTGATGGTTGGTCGCAAGCGGAGGACAAATTTCGAGGTACGAAGAAAACACTTTCGCGAAAAAGCGATGATGTTCCATAATCTATTTTAAAATTTCTCAATTCCAGGATTCTGTTGTTCTCGCTGGATTCGCCAGAAACTCACAAAGACACCAAGGATCAGCATTGTAAACGAAGACGAGGAAAAGAAGCAGATTGAAAACCCGGACTTCCAACTCAAACTGACGCACTTGCTCGGGAACGTTGGACGAGCACGAACCCTGACAAACTCCACTTGGAGTGCGCAGTCCAATGCGACCGCAGCGTCGTCAGTTACCGCCTCTCCATCGGGCCTACCGCGAACAGTCGCTTATGCGCAACACTCTTGGCAGTCGACTTGCTCACACACCGCTGGTTCCACGAAACGAGGCCGGAAGACTGTGCGAAGATGGCTGGCCATTACGACCGTCCATCTGCTGCTGAATGCACCCGACAGTACCTATCGATTGGCAAGTGTGATTGGAACATCGTAAGTCACTTTTGACGCTTGCCACTTCTCTCAAGACTGCCGCATGGACGCAAAACTAAACTACACATTCCAGGCCATCACCAAACTCTCCGACCAGCCATATTATAGCGTTAGTCGTGCGTCTGCTATATTTCGCGCAATTCTGCTTCAACGCCGCTTACTTGACAGCAATTGTATACAAACGAAATGTCAGACCAAAGCCTAGACAGACAACACCAAAGCATTCCACAACCTATCTCAGAGTTCACCCGGAATTCAGCAGGCCTCAGGTAAGCCACGTTTCCAACACAGTAATCCAGTGGCAAAAAACGTACCATTTCGCATCCGGGAAGTATCAAAAATGTGGCAAAATGCTTCCTTCTCCAAGCGAAAAAACTCAGATTTCAAAAGCGCACCCGCTCATTTTGTGAGATAAAGGGAGCGCCCTTCAAACCGAAGTTTTTTCACTTGGAGGGGCAAGCATTTTCCCACATTTTTAATGCTTCCCGGATGCAAAATGGTTCGTTTTTTGCCACTGGATAAGGTCCCTCACTGTATATGCAACAGTGTCCTCAAAACCGGTTTTAAAATATAAATCCGAATTTTTCAGACCAGAATAGGAGTTCCTGAGGGCTCAGTGCGACATAAAAAGAAGCACGAAGACCTAAAACGTCGCTACAGCCATGATCCTCGAGGTGCAAAGAGGCTGACACAGCACCTCAACGTGAACCAGCCCCTATTGAATGCGCCGACGATGCCACTCTCCTACTCGACGGAAACCTTCCGCTCCGAAGAACTCGAGCTCACAACCAGCATTTATTCCGCAAATACCTCACCCAGATCTCCGTCGACGGAGCCGAGAAACGAGTACGTCGAGGAGAAATGCCATTCCGGCTCCAGTGGGCGTACGTCGGCCGGGCTTTTGACGTACGCGTCGTCGGGTGCGGCAACGCCCTGTCACGGCAGTCGGGCGTCCAGCTCGTTGACGAACAAGAAAGACGAGGAGTGGCAAGAAAACAAGTGCCATATCGAGGCCACCACGGCCAATTCCTGGCGGGTTTAGACTTTCCATTCCCCAATAACTGTTCGAATATTGTGTTATTTAAATTATTTTTATATATATATTCTGCATGACTATTTCCCCATCACTTGCCAAAACTACATTCGAGGAAGCATAGAAAAAAACTACGGATAACATTTTGTAATAAGGGATCTCAGCTTTTATACATATTAAATTTGCATTTTTAATAAATTATTGTCTATATTTGGCAGCGGCAACAAATGAAAAACTACTCACCTTATTCCACATCTCACTCCATGTTGGAAACTGATCGAATCTGTGAGGTCCTTGATGACCGCCGGGCTTACCGTGGCGTAATGAAAGATCTTAAGGATGCCGAGGACAACATCCGACTTCAGGGATGGCATTTGAAGGTAAAATTCGGTGCGCAGAGCGAGCGCTCGGATGTATAAAGTCACAAAACCGAGGTGTCGAAGGTGTGAGATTGGGTGGAAAGTTCCACCGGATGATGGGATAAAGTGCCGGAGGACCTCGAGCGCCTTGGATTCGGTCTCAGGATCCATTTTTAGCTGCTGAAATACGGGAAATCAGTCAAAATACGGGACAGTCCAGCTTACAGTGGCGGACCTGAACCAATGGTAAAAAACGTACCATTTTGCATCCGGGGAGTATCAAAAATGTGGCAAAACACCTCCCTCTCCAACTGAAAAAGCTCCGTTTTGAAGGGCGCCCCTCACAAAAGGACAGGGCGCGCTTTTGAAATCGGAGTTTTTCCACTTGGAGAGGGAGGTAATTTACCACATTTTTGATACTTCCCTGATGCAAAATGGTATGTTTTTTGCCACTATAGCAGGTCCGGCACTCTAATCTCGCCATAAACTAATCAAAAAGTCGGCATACCTTCTTGCACAAGTCCTTGTACGGGATTTTCCCGGTAGCGACCGCCTTCTTCAGATGGGCCGGCAATTTGTCGGCGTGGTTCTTCTTGATGTGCTCGTATTTGAGGAGGATATGGGATAAAATGTATCTAAAATCAATCATATCAAGCGAACAAAGCCTTGGTTTAAAAAAATAGTTGCCACAAAAAACTCACTGTGTGAGACAAACATTGATGTTCCTCAAGACCTGGCAGTACTCGCCCATTTTTTCCTGGACTTTGTCGATTACATCGTTGTCTTGAAAGTCGCCGTAGAGAAAGTCATGGAGCTAAAAGGGAAGGAAGATTAGAAAAAATAAGGTGCAGAGTTTCAAAAAATACCAGAATGAGAAATTATACCTAAAGCAATATAAAAATCTGCTCACCTTTGAATTCCCGTAGTTAAAAAGGACTCTTAACCCGTCTCGATGGTCGAATCTGTCCAAGATATTTTTATAATAGAGTCCGTATTGAAAGAAAACGCAGATCCGACCACCACAGCTCTCGTATCCATGGGACAACTGCCAAATTGCATAGCTAAAGTCAAAAATTTCAGTACAAACCATTCAAAAAATCAGCAGTCACTGTGTTAACCAAAACAAATCTCCTCTTACCTCACAATATTGTCGACCGCTTTTCCCGGCGCCTGACAAACATGCTCCATGATTTCGTCAAACTGTGAGATGTGATGTAGACAAACACAAACCGCTGCCGCAGCCACCGAATTTCGATTCACCCCAATCAGACGCAGTAATCCACCTCGGTTGACAAAATCCCACGCCAATCGCAGATGGATGAGCATCGAGCTGAGAGAGAACAGGGCTTCGAACAGCAGTCGGATATCATGATATTCGTTTACATTGAGGTATTTGAGGATCACATCGAGAGCCGAATGCTCTGTGAGCACACTGACGTGCTGAAAATTTTAAAAATTAAGAAAAAAGGCAAAAAAATGAAAGAAAATTGATCAAAAAATAATTTTTTTGCCTAGTATAATATAAATTAATATCCAAAACGCCTCAAAACCCCGGTAAAACTCACATCAGTAAACTCGAAGGCACATTGAAGGAACCCCAGAATCATTCGTTGTTCCATTTCTATGGTCAACGGATAAATTTTATTGTTTCCGATGAAGACCATTTTCATGTCGTCCACGGTCGAAGATCGACTCAACTCGTCATCTCCACAGTCCGCCAAAGGAGTCATAGCGCCGGGAATTTTATTTATAGGCCTTCTGTCTCTCCTAGAGACCTTTATTTTCTTTGCTGAGTTGGCTTCTGTGGTTAATTTGGCTTCATCTGCGGTTCTTTTGGATCCTGGAGGGCGAGGGGGTTTTATCTAGAAATAGAAGGTGAATTCATCGATGAAAAATCATCTAGGATTATTACAAACCCTCAAAAACCTCAATTCAAAAGATTTTTTTAGTCAATTTTTACACCTATCACATGGAAACCTACATTTTCCACGGTTGGTTCAGCTGAACTGGTCCCATTGATCTGAGCAGTCCCATTCTCTCTTCCATTCTCCAATATTTTCGCTCTATTCTCACATTCTTTATCCTCTGCCTCTTTTCCGAGTGCAACATCCAAGCTCTTGCCGTCTTCAACGGCCCTCGCCCTTTCCTCTTCCTTTGCCTTGGCTTCTGATCTGACAAGCTCCGAAAAATCAGTTGCACGAGCAATTCCTTCAGCCGGGACACCTTCATTCGAAGCGGTCTCACTTCCACTTTCAACCATTTGGCCCTAAACACATCAAAATCAAAGAAAAACAACTTACATAGAGTCTTTTGAGGTTTGTCAACGATTGGATGATCAATTTTACAATTTCGCTGCGGAAAATGTGCGCAGTCTCGGGAGTTATGGATGGATTCAGCAACACCGTCGCATACGCTCTCATCTCTCTGGACTCCGACTCCAAAGCATATTTGAACAACTCTTTTTGCACATCAGCCTAAAAATTTTAGAAAAATCAACAAAGAAATTCACGTACATCTCCAGGGAAGATCGAGCTGTCAATCACCGGTAAAGACATCACCATTACACGTGCCGCCAAGATATTCAACTCCAAGTTGTTGTGATGCGGCATAATATAGGAGACCAAACACTAAAAATCGAAAAATTATATTATCTATGCCAGTTCTCTCACCTTGTCCAAGAAATCGGAGAATTTGAGCATATAGCGAAGAATGTAGCCGTAGATACAATTTGGCATAATTTTGTGGGGCTGTCGTTGATCCAATGGGTCTGGATTGTTTGAATAATAATCGTCCATCGCCCATTCTAAGATCTCAACTATTCTGAAACAAAAAAATTGAGAAAACGTTTGGAAAAGCCTATGATAGAGAAAATCTAGAAGGCATGGCGTTTTCTCGCAGCTAAAATAAGGCAGAAGCTGCCCAAAAGAGTGACCTGAAAGGCCAAAAAATTGATAAATTCCATGTTATTCTCCGCCACAAGCCGTTTAGTACCTCACCCCAACAAAAACAATTAAAACGATCTAGAAACCACAAATACGAGTGATGAATTTCCCGTTCGATTCAAAAAACTGCTCAACAATCAAACAAAAAAATCAAAACCCTCAGTTTCCTCTGATATTAGCCATGTAGAAACATCTAAAAACAAGAAAAAAGAAAACACAGATAAGAACTTACTTTTGCATATGAGGAACTGGATCAAACTCTGTCTCATGATGTCGGTCTTGAAATCTGGCCAACGTTTCACGGAATTCGTTCTCCTTCACAGTGGCTTCATCGCTGAAACCTTGTTGTGCTTGGCCACGGGCCGGTCCCCAATTAATATGAGACGGAATTTTGACTGTTTACTTGTAAAATGAGGTGAACGTTGAAGAAAGACGTTGAAATTTTGTCCTTTCCGAAAAATATTCTTTTTGAGATAGGTTGAATTTCGGACTCGTGGGCGCAGTTCGCGAGGATGGAATTAAGAGAAAACGATTTTTGGGTTCGTATAAAATGTCGATTTTATGTGAAAAAAGCCCTTATCATAGGAAACGGCTTTGCATAGTCACTCTAAAATAAGTTTCTATGATTTCCTAACATCAGTTTCATGATAAAACCCCCCCATTTTTCGGAAAATTGGAAAGAATTTCGGCGCAGCCTGCGTCCTAGTTATGAAGAAAGGCACCGAAAATTTTCTAGAAATGTTTGCGACAGAATGCCATGATGTTTGGCGAACAGTTGTTTTCGTGGCGAGAGAAAGCAATTTTACCATGAATTTGTAGATTTGCAATTGGCAAATAACTAATACATAGTAAGCAATAACGAATTGAAGAGTTTTCAGTCGAACCGAAGTTGTAACGCTGCGTAAAACTAAAATTTTCGTATTTCGTTTTGCGACTCGAGGGTTTCGAGCTCTACAGGGAAGTTCTCGGAGTGCGACGCTCCCATTATGATGAAACTTGGCCAAAAATTAGATTAAAATTTTTTACGACAGACACGGAATTTTTAGGTCGCAGAAACAATCGAGATTTTTTTGGTTAAAAGTTGGCAAAAAGTCACTTTTTTGCGATTTTTGGGATAGAAAGTTAGAAAGTTTCGTATTTATTTCGACCGCTGAGAGCAATGTCTTCACAACAACACAATTTTTTCCACAGAACACGGACAAAGATATGATAAAAAAAAGTGCTTTTCTCCTTGACTGCTCTCCGCATTGCGCGTACTCTCTCGGCCGCAAAGATCGTTCAATATCTCGGTTGCGCCTGCAAAACGCGAGCTGAAACTTTCATGAATTGATGTTGTGCTCGATGCGTGTCAAAATTTATGGAAAATCTGAGCGTCGCACTTGGGACAATTCCCCTGGGAAATTTGATTATAATTGCACCGAGCCGACCACCTCCGTCCGGAAGACCTCAAACTTACAATTAGTCCAGAAATTAAGTCCACTGACGAAAGAAAGCGATTTTATTGCGAAGTATCAGTCTGTCGGGAAAATAATGAGCACGCTGTCGCATCGACTATCGCACCCTCGCCAAAAAAAGTAATTGCGTCGCGGCAAATTCAAACTTTTTTCACTTCAGCGACACGACCGGCACAGCGACACTGGGGTCATTATTTTCCCGACAAGCTGATATCTTATACTCCCCGTACAATGTTTTGACCCCCCTCCTAACTCCGTCCAAAGTGTACTAATTCGGACCAAATTTGGTATGTAGTATACTCACAGGCTAGTAACAAAAAATAACATAGCAGGACATACCTTATAGTTGAATTTCAAAAGCTAGGGGCAATTTTCAAAAATCACCTTAAAAAATCGAGGAAAAAGTTTTGACCCCCCTTAAAAAACGTCAGATATCGCCAGCGGATGCCACGCAAACTTATTGTAATCGACGTCCCATACCTGAATACAGGTTAATAAATGGTTTTCCGTTGAATGCTTCGTTGCATTTGAGGATTCAACGCGTTAAACCGTTTTTGATGTAGAGCTGCCCAAAATTGTAAAAATCTTGCCCTAGCGCTTTCCTAGAGCTCTAAATTGGGTTTATATTATGTGCTTTAGACCTGTATTTACATTCTCCATTCAATAAAAGTGCATGGTGGCCTGGCGGTGTAGATTCGGCAGATACCCTCTTGTCATGCCCAGCCTTGGTGAGCCATTTGCTCTTTGACTCAAGGTCGAGATGTGGTCGTTAGGTCCTCATTGTAATCCTGAGACTCCTCGTTCCTCTCAAACAAAGAATAAACTCCGGCTGGCACGGTCTCATATGGTTTGCAGGCGCAACTTCGCCGATCTGCACCTTAACGAAAAACCCGAGTTTTTCAAATGGATTTTTAGCCACCAAAAACGGCTTTCATTTGATGGACCAGTTAATTTAAGACGCTACAGCACCCACCATACTCATTTGAGACGTATGAAACACCAAATGGGAGGTGGGGATGTAATAGTACTCGGGGTCATCTACAGTAACGGCAAACTTAAGATTAAGGTGAATGAAACCCATTACAAAACGTGTCAAATCAAAACATTTTACATTACTGAGAGTAAATAGGAGTCTCAGGATTACATTGAGGACCTAACGACCACATCTCGACCTTGAGTCAACGAGCAAATGGCTCACCAAGGCTGGGCATGACAAGAGGGTATCTGCCGAATCTACTCCGCCAGGCCACCATGCACTTTTATTGAAAGGAGAAGGTAAATACAGGTCTAAAACACATAATATAAACCCAATTTAGAGCTCTAGGAAAGCGCTAGGGCAAGATTTTTACAATTTTGGGCAGCTCTACATCAAAAACGGTTTAACGCGTTGAATCCTCAAATGCAACGAAGCATTCAACGGAAAACCATTTATTAACCTGTATTCAGGTATGGGACGTCGATTACAATAAGTTTGCGTGGCATCCGCTGGCGATATCTGACGTTTTTTAAGGGGGGTCAAAACTTTTTCCTCGATTTTTTAAGGTGATTTTTGAAAATTGCCCCTAGCTTTTGAAATTCAACTATGAGGCATGTCCTGCTATGTTATTTTTTGTTACTAGCCTGTGAGTATACTACATACCAAATTTGGCCCGATTTAGTACACCTTGGACCGAGTTTGGAGGGGGGTCAAAACATTGTACGGGGAGTATATTATCAGAGGCCGCTGAAAAATGGGAGCTGACATTTACAGGGACTAATATAATGGTTGTGATATAGCAGAACAGTTGACAATTACAAAGCTATTTTTCTTTCCATTGATTACGGTATTCGTGCCAGTACACACCTTTATTTTTTAATTTTGTCCATTTTTTGGCTCACCCTGTACAATCTGATAAATGCAATATGACCATCGAAACTAATACATTTTTCTGCCGACTGTTTGCATATTCATACGTATCTTGACGTATGTCATTTCCAAGTTTACAATTAGTGCAGACTACATTCGAAGTTCCTACTTTCAGATACAAAAATAGGATGGAATGTACTTTGAGCAGTTTCGTTTTATCATGATTAAAAGACATCCGGCCGCGTTCGGGAAGCTTTGTCTGCCAAAATTCCTTGAGGAATTTGCTAATTCACTGTCACGTTTGGATTTGTAATAACTTCTACAAAAGGCTAAGCCGCTCAAAATGCCGCTGACGACGTTTCTGTGAAAAAGTAATTTTAGGCGGCTTGGCAGCGATGAGGCCATTACGAAACGGGTTGTTTTGTTAGACAACATATTCATCAGGCTTACTGTGGGTGTGTAGAATTCGACGAACAGATTATCAAGTTTTATTTTATCAAAAACAAAAGCCATCGGACAGGACAAAGGAAAGGATTAGTCAATTTCCTTATTTGCTTCCTGATTATAACCGCATTTCCAACTTCTTTGCTGCACACCTTTCCAAACTCCCCGCATAATCCATTTCGGAAATATTTATTCGACGATATGGCTTGCATTATATACAATAACAATAAAAGATTTACCCATTTTCAGACACTTGTACGTTAACAATTGACGAGACACAGCTTTTGTAACAATGTAACCGTTGAATGACATAACAAATAAAGGTATTGCGTGTTTTCATGGAATTCAGCAAACGTGAAGGGAGTTCGAACCGAGAGAGAGAGAGAGAGAGAGAGAGCGACAATTTTGGGAGTTTTTGGCTACGAAGAAACGTCAAATTTTAAGGCAACAACAACAGAACATGGCAATCACAACAATAAATTAAGTGGAGGCACTGAAGGGTGTTCAATCGTAAGTGGGGTAGAGAGGCAATCAATTTTCTGGACGGGGTTTTCACAAAAATTTGAAGGAAATGATGACTTACGGCCATTTTTTCAGCAAAAATTCCTTTGGACTTGGGAAAATTCGCACTGTGCAGTTTTTGTCGCAACCGCGAACTCTTGCGATGACTTGTCGCGGAAAAACAAGCCTGCGACAACAGCGATTCCCTTCGAAAAGCAAAAGCTCTCTCCAAAATCCAAAGCAAAATTGGAGTTTGGAGAGAGCGGCGAGATCAAAAGGACTTTCTGAAATGGATCGCACTGTGCTGTTTTTGTCGCAACCCGGAATTCTTGCGACGACTTGTCGCGCAAAAACCAACTTGCGACAGCCGCGATTCTTTTCGAGACGAAAGAAAAAGCAAAAGAGCGTTCATTTCGGCGAGATCAAAAGGGCTTTGTCCAAAGATTCGCACAGTGCAGTTTTTGTCGCAACGCCGAACTCTTGCGATGACTTGTCGCAGAAAAACGAACTTGCGACAACCGCGATTCCCTTCGAACGAGAGTTTTTTCCGAAGCAAAGGCAAAAGAGAATTCATTTTGAAGAGAGCGGTGAGATCAAAAAGGACTTTCTCCAATGGTTCGCACAGTGCAGTTTTTGTCGCAACCCCGAACTCTTGCGACGGATTGTCGCGGAAAAAGGAGTCTGCGAGAACCGCAGCTGGAAAAAAGTGAACGTCCAAAAAATGCGTCATAATGACTTCCGTTAAGATTGCAACAGGATTTTAAAAATTTGCCGGATTGTTTACCGGTTACAGTAGACCGGGTGGGGATGGCAATTAGCATCTTTTCCATTCGCAATACCCCGAATTTCCTACTTTTTTTGCCAAAACCTCGTCCAGCATGGTGAATTCGAAGTGAGACGACTACGGAGACAACACTACATGTCTAGAGGTTCCTATGAAGCGAAGGGGATTCGAGATGGTCCCGAACTTTAGGTCAACATCCTCATCGTCGTCGTCGCGCCGCTGAACGAGTACATCGACAGTAGCAGGGTGGACATTTTGGTGAAGGCGCGCGCCGAATTGACCTGTTGATCGATCTCATTCCACTTCTCCATCCGCCCCTCCATGAAGTTGGGCTGCAGACGGGTGGCGTTCACGTCGATGGACAAGTATTGAGGTATTGAGGAGTTTTGCGCGACCGGCTCCCACTGTTCGGTCTGGTTCTCTCCGTTGGGGTCGCTGAAAATGACGAGGTTAGGGTTTTGTCATCCAACCGGCTTAACTATGAGAGTTAACGTAATTTCACGGTTAATCTCTTAATTGTATGATATAAACGTTGTCTTGTGCTAGCCCAGAGGCGCCAAATACATGACGCACTTCCTGCATTCGCTTCGAAATCCGTTTAAATCCCAATTTTCGAGGAAGATTAGGTGTGGAACTGTACGTTAATATCAATGTGATATAACCGCCACAACATAATATACAAATTTTAATCTTCGAAATTCTGGGTATTAATTCACCGTGACATCAAGCAAAACTTGAGGCTTTGAGGACCTCCGAACGTCAAGGCCTCTCAAGCACATGTTGATTGGATTAATGAATCCGTAAACACTTACCTGTACTTGGCAAAGTTGACAAAGTACGTGCTGAGCTGTTCGGAGATGATATGATCGTCGGGCGTCGGCTCATAGACTTCGTTTTCATCGAGCCCGAAGAGGTACTGTAGGTCTGAGCAATGCATGGAACCTAAAATTACATGAATTTAAATGACGGCAGGGATTAAAATCGGCTGGAAATAGAAGCAACGTGAAGATTAGAGAGTCGTTTCACGTCATCTCCAACCTGAGCAACGTAAATTTCGCCAATTGCAGAGGACAAAAGATGACAAAAATTTTACAGCAATTCACTGCCGTTTGGGCACAGTGAAATTTTCCGAAAATTCCGCTTACCTTGAAAGGGATAACGTTCAGTGGCTGGGGTCGGTCGGAAGTACTTGAACGTGTACAAGAACACGGGATTCTTCTTCTCCGTCGACTTCATCGCCAAATGATAAATGTCCTTGTTGAAGATAATGTCCGACACAACCAACACACACTGTTTCATGAACTCCTCGCTGTCCTGCGGAAGCGACTTGTCCACGAAAAAGTCCATCGCCGCTTTCGCCAACATGCTGTCGCCTTTCGTGTAGTAGGTCGCCATCGCAATGGCCGTCTCGTAGACATTGCCCTTGCCGAAGAAGGCGAGTGCTTCGAATTCGGTGTTGCCCGTCAACAGCGGGACATCGTGAATTCCTTGCTTTAGGTCTTCCAATGTGCCGGGCAAGAAGTCGTTGTCATAGACGGGTACCATCTTGAACTGGCCGTTCCCCGAGTAGTTCGCGTTCACATTCAACGCGCCTCCCATGGCCAGCTTCTCCGGCTCCAACGACTGCATGAACTTGAGCAGCTCTTTGTTGGTGTCCGATGCAGAGTTCTCGTTCGTGGGCTGGAAACCGTAGAACTTGGCGAGATCAAGCATTTGTTGTCGTATCAGCGCGGGCTGTGTGACTCCGTTCTCGCCCGTCGACCCCGACATTGGTGCCGCTTTGTGGAACAGGCCTAAAAATAGGTCGTATAGGTCGTAGGATCGGCGGAAAAAAACCCGGAGAAATGCTTGCTCGAGCGCAGCCCTTACCTTTCGTCGTCGGAGACATTAGCAGCGCGTGCGTGGCGGACCCGCCCGCACTCTGGCCGAAGATCATAATGTTCTTGACGTCGCCGCCGAACGCCTCGACGTTCTCGTTGACCCATTCGAGGGCCTGCTTCATGTCCCAGAGCGCCTGATTGCCGGGCGCGTTCGCGTCGCCGGTGGTGAAGAAGCCGAAGATACCCGTCCGATAGTTCAAAGTAATAACAATAACATTTTTTGTAACAAGAATGCGCGCGATCCCCTCGTCGCCGACGGTGGCCGATGAGCCCATGACATAAGCGCCCCCGTGGATGTACACCATGACGGGCAGTTTTGACTTGACTTTCTGCAAGAATTTACAATAGAATTCCATGTTATTTGTGTGTTGCAAGACAGCAGCGAAACATTTTCTCACCAAATCCTTATCCAGCGGCGTGAAGACGTTGACGGATAAGCAGTCCTCGTCGAAGCGTATCGGTGGCATATGTGGCTTCCTGTTTTCGGCCAAAAAATAACATGCAGGCCCAAATTGTGTGAACCGTCTGGTCCCTCGCCAGCTCCGCGGCGGTCGGGGCTTCTGAAAATCGCGATTGGAAAGGTTAATACGCAGTGAAATGTCGTTCTCTCCTCGGGACTTAAAATTCTTTGGCATTCCCGTGAATGATTTAATGCGATTTATTTAATTTTATTTTGGTAAAAATCGGTTTGTACTGTATGGCGCTTGGATTAGAAAATAATACAGAGGTGTTAGGGCTAAGGCGACTAGAGTCGTAAACGCGCAGTGTATTCAATTATCGGGGAATGTCAGCAACGAAAAAAATGTACGTCCTGTTGACAAAAATGGCGTTTATGAGTCGTCATAAATTTTTGGACGTCGCTTAAGTGTCGTATTGCCAAAAATCTTCCGCTTTTGGCAGTCAAATTTTCAAAGATCACCGCTCACCTGAAACCGAAACTCTCCGGACGGCGCTCGCGCGTACGGAATCCCCATGAACGCTCCGACTTTGCCGTTGTCGCCGAAATCGTAGACGCGGCCCTGCGCCTTCCCGTACTTGGTGCGGATCTGCGCGGTCAACGTAGCGGCGTTGGCGCGAACAAGGCTACGACTATAGGAGAACACTATCATCGTTATTGCCATCCAGGCACTGCGCATACTCAACAATATCACACAACAAAATGGTTAGTCGCGGAATGGTTATGTGATGATATATGAAGGGTCTCCAGTTAATCTGAAAGAACACAACCAATTACTCTGCAAATTGAAACGGCCTAACAAATGGGGCATGGCCTAACAAAAAAAGGCGCGGCGAAACAGTGGGTTCCACCCGCGACGATACTCGGAAAAAGCCGGCTTCGGATTAGCTTCCGACTTGAAAATACACTCTTAAAACGCCAAACTAATAAGCGAGAATTAGTCAGACGCAGCCTCTCATCATAGTACAAGCCTTCGACTCAAAATAAACAGTAAAATTCGACCCGAGGAGGTATAATTACTGCGGTTAAATCCGCAAAAATCCCGAGATTAGCCGAAAAGGTTGCACACGTATCACAAGTGCCCGAAATTTCGAATGTAACGCGGCTTAAATACTGTATTAAGGGATCGACGACGACCGCTTGTCAAGGCGTACGACTGATAGGGCTGTTTTGCGAGCGCTATGGCTCCCCTACGGTATGCGAAATTGTTGGGAATGAGGGTGGACATAATTACGGGCCTAATTACTGCCATGGAGTGTAAGAACGAAGGAAAGGTGGGGCTAATTGAGACTTCCGGAGCAAAACAATAGTGAACATAATTAATAGCCAAGACTTCAATTTTCAATTACACGTCCGTTTCCGCGAAAAATCTTTGAAATCCCCTCTAAACAAACATCCAGATTTTGCTTTCAAGACCGGATAACAGGAAGAGCATCGTTGGCAAATGTCAAATGCGGAGTCTAGGCGGTCAGGTGGACGAAAATTCAATATCAAACTGTCGGGAAAATAATGAGAGCAATGTCACTGCGTAATTCGCGTCGCTGAAGTAAAAAACAACTTGATTTTGTCGCGATACAATTCATTTTCTCGGCGACGATGCGATTTTCGATGCAACAGAGTGCATAAGTATTATTTTCCCGACAGACCAAAAAAAATCTCTGCTAGAGGACGCAAACAAGAAAAAAATAATTAAAAACACGACATTTTAAAGGCTTAAGCCAAAGTACTACAAATGTCGCAGTAAATGTTCCAAAAAGGCCAATACTCTTTCTCTCCAAATTTAGTACAAGTTTGTACAAGTTGAAAAATGAAGTGACAATACAAAAAGCAGATTTGTTTGGAGGTGACATTAAGTTTGAAGTAAAAATGTTAAGTCTCCTCAAAGTTTACAACAAGACATTTGTTAAAATTAAAAGTGGATACGTATCAGTCTGTCTGGAAAATAATGTGGATGACACATTATTTTCCCGCCAGACTGATATTTGTAACATTATGTTTTCTAAAGGAAATTCACTACATGTAATAATACAAAGATCGGAAATTTTATGACCAATTGTTTGCACAAAAAAGTAAACAGATTTTTGAAAATTCATTTTCTCCAAAAATTCAATTTCTTCCAGCCAAAAAGTCAAGTTTACAGATAACTTATCGCCCAGAAACCCGCAAAAAATCAACTGATATTTCGCTTAGGTTTATCAAAAACCATAAAACATCAGTCTGGCGTGAAAATAGCCAGCACCGAAAATCGCATCGCGCCGATAAAATGAATTGTGTTGCGGAAAAATCAAATTGCTTTCACTTCAGCGACCGTTTGGCGCAGTGACATTGTGCTCATCATTTTCCCGACAGACTGATAATTCGTCTTATCAAGACTGATACAACGAGCCGGATTAAAACCAAACTGCATTGGGAAGCGGTTCGAGCCCTCAGTTGTGGAAAACCATTGGGAAACCGCGGGTTTATAAACGTTCAGTGGCTTAAGCCAACCTCACAAGAGCGTGAGGTCAATCCTCGGCTAAATCGCATAACAATTTGCGTGCGATTGGGGCGCAAAACACAAACTGAATTGGGATTGTAAACGGGAACAAGTGGTCACATCACCCAGCCCAATTATTGCCCAAGGCCCAAGTTGTGGGGACCGGTAAAAAGTTGCGAAACATGACCCGGAAAAATGGCCGGGCCCATCCGCCGTTCCGCCGCACCGAAAATACGAATAGCGGCGCGGTCGGCGTTGAAATTCCCGCTCCATTCACACATGTTTTTTCGACATTATTAACTCGACGAAAGGGGCGGGGCCCGGAGGGCGGCGGTTTTTTGGTTTTTGACGCCAGCACGCGGCCCCCGAGAGGGAGGGGGGAAACTCCCTTCGGCGCGGGGCATACGGTGGTCAAGTTTGTTATATACCGTAGACGACGGACATCGGTCAAGGATTAGGCGGGCCGCATGGCCAATAAAAGCTGCAATCAAAGGATTCGTGGGCATGACATTACCGTACGCTAAGCGGCGGGCATGGACAGGGCCGTAGTTGTGGGAGAGGGGAACAGGGGGGGGGTACCCTTCAGGCCGGGGTCGAAGAAAAAAATGATAAGGGGGGACCAAGGAGAAATTATGAAAAAATGGTAAGGGAGGACCAAGGAAAAATTATGAAAAAATGGTTAGGGGGACCAAGGAAAAAAATTGTTACATGGTGACCTCCACCCAGGCGCCTCCCCCAGAATTTTCGGCCAGCTACGCCCCTGGCCATGACATTACCGTACGCTAATTGAAGCCTGCACACAATGACCTGCTGGCATTTGGAAAACAGGCAAAAATTGGCGGTGTCTGCGGCTTGGCGACATGCCTCCCTCTGCACCAAACGGCGTGCTGTTTAATCGCCCCGATTGAAGGCGGTAATTGATAGTATCTTCCTTTTATGAGCAAACTGATAATTACCCGCCTTTTCAGGTGCGGGTGATTATCGCCCTATGGCCTCCTTTTCAGCCTTTAAATGCAAAGCGGGGATCCTGGAAAAGCGGTAACCCGAGACCGAACACAATTTGCAGTAATTTCCAAGTAATTTTCATGGTCAATAATATTTGATTTTTGCCTTTGCTGAATAGACATAACATGCGGAGAAAGGGCGTCGAATTGCAATGAAATTTTTTTCCAGCAATGAAAGGGGTTGAAGGTGGGGGCAAGTACGGTTGGAAGTGGAAATTTTGGACCCTTTTATTCCTCTAAATGAGCAATAGAAGCTATAACGATGTAAATTGTTAAAATGGAGGGCCACCTTCACAGAAACAACTTGCAAGGTCAACAACTGCAGTCTAACAAGGAAGGTGTGCCACGTGCGAGGGTCAGATTTCGGGAAAAATTTTTTCAAACTCATTGGGCCACATTAATTTTGGAAAGTTTTAGCTTACGCCTTGCAGGCGCAGCCAAGATATTCAACGATCTTTGTTGCCCAGAGGGTACGCGAAAGGCAGAGATCGTCCCGAAAAACGCGCTTGGCTATCTCTTTGTCAGCTTCGTGCGCAAAGGGCTGATTTTTAATAGAAACATTTCTCTCTAAAGTAGGAGCCGGTAGGGAATTTTCTAATTAGCATAAAACTGCCTCACTTTTGAAAACTTTCGATTCTAAAACCTTGATTGTGTCTAAAAATCGCGAGCTGGTGGTCTGAAATTGTGTCTTATCAGTCTGCGCAATGTCGCCGTTACTGAAGTGAAAAGCAATTTGATTTTTTCGCGACTCAAATTTTTCGATTTTGGATGCGACAGTGTGCTTATTATTTTCCATTTTTTTTTTGTTGACCGTTCCACACTTCTTTCCTAGGACATCCTAACTTTTTACGTAGCCATATTCTAAAAATTCCTCGGTAAATGTAGGTTCTCCTATAAAAATACTAGGCATTGACAGGTTAAATATGTAAGCTTTTTGTATAATATTTTACTACAAATTGCAGTCTACATTCCACGGTATGACTTTCTGCCTACAAGTCAAAGAATACAATACCTTTATATACCGGCACCGGAAGAACGCCAACAATGCGTTTCTTCGGTGGAAAACTGTTTGTCAGTTTATTCAACGGGTCGCTTTTTTGTATCCTCCGGCATTTTGAGGCACTTGACGCCCTAAAGGCAAACATTCGGCCACTCAAGTGGCCTCTGACATCAGCGTTGGAGTCGAAGTTGTCGGATCAAAACGCCGTTTGTAACCCCACAACTTTAGCAAATTACAACTCGGCCCCCAACTTACGATATTATTCATGCCCACTTCATATCGGCGTTTGCTTTGTTTTGAGTGGCGCCTGCTGAATGTAGCCTTCCCGAGTTTTTTCCGACCGTCGTATGACCACAGAACACTCGCTGAGTGGGCGAGTTGTGGGCTGCTGAAAGTGGGCAAATTATGATTGTAGCTAACATGTAGTAAGTAGTTGAGGTCGCTCGCGTTTGTAATAATATTGCAAAAAAAATTGTAATTTGTCATGTCATGGTCATCGCAAGCGGAAGGTGGCAATGCGTTGATGCAAGCACTCGAGTAGAAAACAAGTGTTGGTATGAGCTAAAAAAAAGTGTCGGGAACAAAGGTTCTTGTGACCTCGCAACTTGTTAGGATTTTCAAGTGAAGTGTGCGATGCCCCAGCTTCCTTTTCCATTACGGCACGCATGTCTTGCCGGGGCTACAAACCAGGAAAAGTTTGGTTTGCACCCCGCAGATGTGGTTGGTATATTTAGCGACTCTTGAGGCTATTGAAAAATGTCGTTTCGCCAAATTTAACTTATACCTAACTTACACTTGTAAGAAATTAAGAAATAATTTTGACTGCAAAACGCACGCTGACAATCTCTAATACGGCTTACGTGGGAAGTCAACAGAATTAGATGAAAGGTGGAAAAAATTTAGAGCATAACTTTCTAAATATCATGCGGGATTCCAAGCCCGCGCCCTTCAGAAAATGCTATATTCTTCATCTGCATTTTAGCAACAATCCATACTTTGTTTTTGTGACGTGTTTTTTTTATTTTAGGAACGATTTCTAGCGGATTTTTGTGGCCAAAAATTTTTTGTAGTAGCGGAATAGTTAAAGGCAAAAACCGTTCCTTGTCTGTACCAGACTCCTCCCTTTGCATGCTCTCTATGAAAATAGCAGAGGTTTTGTTTGAAAAAGTATTTTCCTCTATGATCTCTGCATTTCTAGC